ACTAGAATTTCTATAGTTCCTGATAGGTTTTAACAATAGTTCTGCTACGTAACATCGTTAAAACAGGAATTTTCCAAAAATTGAGGTGCTGCATCGGTGTCAGCTCCAGCACTGCACTTTTTTAAAATCTCTTGAAAATGATTCGACAATAGGCTTTTTCAATAGCTCTCGAGGAGTTCTATAGTTCCAGATAGGTTTTAACAACAGTTCTGCTACGTAACATCGTTAAAATACCTATTAAGGATACTAGTCGCACCATATGCTTCAGTGCAGGTATGCATAAGGAGCTGGCTTTCAGTGTTGTTTTCAGGTTGTGTTTCAAACATTTCCGGAATAATTCTCTCTAGTACTCAATGTTGGGACCATAGTTCCGCTTGGAACTATTGGTGAATAATGATGGAAGCTAGCACCGCATCGCTGCACTCCTTAACACAGGCAGGTATAAAGTGCTGGCTTTTGTCTTAGTAAATGTTATCGAGCTTACACTGTACATTTGAATTTAAGATTACAAAAAAAAAGATTTAGGCAATATCTGATAAGCGACCTCTTTCTAAGGGTTGCTCTGGGAATCAGTTGTAAATTGTGGAGAATCTCTGCCCGCCAGGGTACTCGTTCGTGATCACGTTCAACTCGGCTACGACGGGATATGCATTATCGACGGAGGCGATGATCACAAAATTCTATTCCCGGACTCGCCGCTACGATTTAGCGCCATGTTTTTGGTATCGCCTAAAATCGGAGCGTTGTGCATCTGCCTGCTCATCTCTGTCCTTCCTTCCTTTCCTTATGGCTGACTCCTCCAATGAGGAGATGTGCCAGACTCATCTCTGTCTGGTATAAGACCAATTACATGTCCGCCATTGGGGATACAGCCATAAGGAAAAAAAGGTCCTCCATTGGAGATACAGCCAAAAGGAAAGGAATGACTCCTGTTGGCATGACAGATTTTGGATCTGTTTTGCTTGTGTTTTCGCGATGGTATTTAAATGCGTGATATATATTATTAATGGAAGTGCGCGTATTCATTCAATAATAACGAATGGTCATTGGATTTCAATACTTCTATGGAAGTAAATTTCGCCTGTTTTTCTTAAGACTTGGTGCAGGTAAACTGTGGAAAACATTTGTTACTTACTTTGGAGTCTGTGTTGCTGAAAGTTTGAGCCTGTTTTTGACAGTAAGGTATTAGAGATGAAGGAACTTGCAGCAGGAAAGTGTGCTGTTCCTAACTGTGCCTCTGATCATCGAGATATCACCTGTCATCGATTTCCAAAAGATCCATTGAAAGCAAAACTTTGGAAAGATGCAGTGCAAAATCCATCTATCAATTCTATAGATCATATAAAATTGAACAAAAGTTACTGTGTTTGCAAGCTTCATTTTTCACTTGATGATTATTTACTTCATACTAAAAGACCGACATTGAAGTCTACCGCAATACCAAGATTTTTTCTACCAGGAGATAACAAAGATTTCCTGCAATATATTTCAGTGGTAATAACTAAACCGTTTTGAAAATCTGTATCCATCAAAAATTTGTCCATGATTTATCCCAATAATAATTAAACAATTTGAAGATATAGATGTGTATGTAAGGTATCAAGAATGAAGCAATAATATCAATTCTATAGAAAATATAAACTATTGCTGTTGCAAATTTACTTCATGATTACTTCTTAATAAAACTAAATAACCAAACTATCTCAGTAACATTCTTTTCTGCTATAGATATAACAATAGTAAATGCCAAGTATTTTAATAGTAATAATCATATAATTCTTTTAGCTCTTTATCATACCAATATTTTTACTATTTACTCAGATGGGAGTCAAACAAATCTAAACTGTACATTTACTTAATTATATCTTGGTATGCAAATTATAATTGCAATGTAGGTGAACATATATTTAATAGTTTCTGTTTATTACCAATGTCATACAATTTATAGAATACTGCTTTACACTTGATTTTCTAAAATTTTATGAAATATCAGACCATTAACTGTATATCTGCTACTTAGTCCAATTATGATATAGAATGTTGGTTAGTTTCTTTATATTTTTTATACGTTTGTAATTTGAGTGTTAAGTAAATGTTAATGGTATTAAATAAAAATTTAACATTTCTACTGCTTGTTATTGAAAACAATCGAAGTAAAATGCGTGAATTCGACGACGAAGAATTCAAAGCGCGAACACTAATCTCCAATTAGATATCAGTACGTCATATCAACACTGGAGGGCGCAAAGTTTTCAAATGAATAAACCATTATTTAGATGGCGACTGCTTTCCTTATTGGTACTTTCATTCTATATTTCCATAAATCTATAATAATTGTTAGGTTAATAATGCATTATTTTTTCAGTTTCACAACATATGAGCATATTTTTCTGTTACAGGAAAGTAAGTGCAGTAATATAATGTCCACATGCAGTGCACAAGGTTGCAATTCAAATCAAAACACAAAAATTAATGGAAGGAATATTCACTTTTTCCCTTTCCCGACGGATGTTTCGTAAGAATATATAAAAATTGTTTATGTTTTAAATACTTACTATTAAGTTGTATGAATTGTTTTGTAAAATCTTAAAGTTAAAGGAAAGAGTTATTTATCTAAAAAGCAAATAGTATCAAACAAAAATTTATTTGCGTACGAGTATTATGAGACATGTGCATTAAATGTTAAAGATTTTAATTTCTCACGTTATTGGTTTTCTTATTTTTCATCTCAGTATTCTGAAGAAAATTGGAATTAAGTTATACGTTAATTATTGTGAATTAAAGTAATGAATGTTTCTTGAGAAACATAAATTGTCTTATTAGGTAATTTATTGCAGATTAAAAGAACAATGGGAATATGAATCCAATTTGTTACATGAAAAAGACTGTGAAAAATATAATCTCCAACTATGTGAACTACATTTCGACAAGTCTAATTTCACAGAAGATAATATAATAAATCCTAATGCTGTCCCAACGATCTTTGGTAAGTATAACTAGTATGTACTTTCCAACAATAATAATCAACCAGTAACCATTTATAGAAGATTTTTAACCGATTGTACAAGATTTAACGCTTCCTAATATCATTTGTAATATTTATAGAATTTCCTAAAAAACGAAAATATGATAATGCACCCATTCAACACATACTATCAGAAGTTAAGGAACCAGTGATTAAGCAAATAAAATTGGCGGAAGATACTCACAGTTTAGTAACTCCACCACACAGTCCATCAGCCCAATTAATACCAGCAATAAATGGAAAGGTTTTACCATGTTTTAAATATTTGTTAAACACAAACTGATCTTATCCAGCTGATTCAAAGTCTAATAAAAGGTCTTTCAATATGGCATAATTTTAGGTCAAAGTTGAAAGCACAACTGTAAAAAGAGCACCACTTGATAATGAACAATGTGCCTTTAAACAAATTGGCGTATCAACTTCATTATTCACCAAGCAAATAGATATAGGGAAGAAAGTGTATCGCCTCACAATACGCATTGATAAAACTCGTGCGCGTCCGTGTCCAAAATCAAAGAAAATGAATATGACTCCGCAACCGGAAAACAAGATACAAGAAAAAATACAGAAAACAAATGAATCTCATTCAAACGATAGATTAACAATACAGAGAGATAATAAAAGTCGTCAAAATTCATCTTGCGACATTGCAGGTTGTAAGTTACAAAAAACTCTGCTCAACAAAAAACCTGTATTCAAGTGCGAGTGTTGTGCACGATATTACATTGTCAAAAGGAGTACTGGGCAGAATGAAAAAAACAAGTCCTGTTTTGTTTGTCATTTTGTATTCCCTACGCGACAAGCATTGTGTCTGCACATACGAAAACATTTTACATGTGACATGTGTGGCACGGAATGCGGTACTCAAATATCATTTAATAAGCACGCAAGGCAACATGTAAGTACAGATCCTACATTGCCATACAAGTGTCATAAGTGCCTGGAAATCTTTGAAACAAAGAGCGATGTCAGACAACATAATTTTCTAATACATTCAGCAGTAAAGTTAGAAAACAAAACTGATATGGACAAAAAACCAATAAACTTGATACATTTTCAACAACGGTATCGCAGACTTGAATTCACGTGCGATCTTTGTCAGAAAACTTTCCAATCATCAAAGCTATTGGATGCGCATCGCGCAGGACATATTGGTACATTAAAATTCACATGTCGGGTCTGCTGCAAAGAGTTTGATAACGTCGAGGACGTTGATATGCATACAAAAATACATTTAGAAGTAGTTAAAGAGGAACACAAATGTAATATTTGTAAAAAATTGTTTAAAACGGACAGCCTGCTCAATGAGCATTTACGCGGTCACCTTTCACGGGCTCATCACTGCCCAATATGTCCCAAAGCATTTATCAATAGGACAACTTTGAGAATTCATCTAAAAACGCACAGTGAAGGTTAGATCATTTAGAATAAATAACTTATTAATTCTTTAGTCGTTTTGTTGGTTTCTCGTTTTTACAAATAATGTCTGTTAATATTCTTATTGGAAGGTTCGTTGAAGTTGAATTGAATTTCTTTTTTCAACAGATTCTGATCGTAAAGATGATCTTAAAAATATAAAAACTGAAAGAGGTAAAACCTATTGTTGCACATTATGCAGAGAAGAATTCAACACTTATTCTAACATGTATAGTCATATAATGACTCATTTGGAGAAAATGCATGAGGACGGCAGTAAAACGAATATTGATGATCTTGCAGATATATTGGATATCGAAGATTCATAGTTGGTTTTTTTATTGGTCAAACATATCTTTTCCTATCATTTGATTATTAATTCTTTGCATGATATCAGGATTAATGTTACGGTAAACTCATCTCAAATATCTTAATTCCATTAAATATATTCGAGATGAACTTCGTAATTATTAATGTGACTTTCACATACCAAAAACAAAATTATTATATTATGCGAGAAAAGATAGAATGACTTTTAAAATACGATAAGCAGTACCTATATAGAAATATTTATTGATCTATTGAAACTACTATTTTTTTTTAATGAATGCAATTGAAATAATGAATAATAATGAGGGGGCATAATAAAATTATTTCGATAGTTCTTAAGAAAACAAGTCCATTGTTGAATTAAAATTAATTTGGAACTAAATTAACGTGTTTTCAATTTAACATTAATGGAAATATTCTGATTTTTTTTACACTCCTTTGGTACTTGAAAAAGATGATGTAAAACTTAGTGCTTATGTATGATAAGACTCGTAATAAATAAGCAAACAATATTCTGGTCAAGAATGCGATTTCCAATACGATATTCATGTAAATACAACCGATAATTTTAAGTGTTAAAGTTGTGAACGAGTTGATGTTCTATTTTTAAACGAATATAAAATTTGTATTTGTAATCCATTAAATGAATATTTATAATAATAAAAATGAAAAAATCCTCAGTAGATACTGCTGTAATAATAAACATACCCGTTGAACCTAAAACTGAATACGTCAGTCGTTTTCGACAGTCATCATTTAAGTTTATTTGAAAATGAGCTCATAGCGTTAAGAAAATCGTCATATCTCGTTCCAATGCATTTAATAAACTAAGGTAGCACGCGCAGTGGGCCTCTAGTCCTCTTCTAAAAAAACTAGTCCTTTCTTAAAAAAAAAACTATGTCAGGTTTTTATCGAAGTTTCGATTGTAGCATTTTTGTCGCTTTTCCGAAATGTTCATTGACTGATAATGTCCTCAACAGCGAGTCTTCGAGTTCTACCTGAAGTTTGTGTTTCGGAGAGAACGTAGTTCGTGCCATTCGTTTGACAGATCGGGGTTATGATGATCGCGGTTGGGATTGTGATGATGATTTAATAAATAAAAAGTGGGCGGTTTAAGGAATACAAAAGATTATATTATTGAATGAAAACGGTAAAGTAGTTCAGTGAAATAAGTAAGACGGATGATATACAAGAGAGTATAACAGTTTTGTAAGAAGTGTGCGTGTTTTCGATTTTTATTGGGTTTACGAAAATGCTAATTTTAATGAAGTAATTAAATGATCCTTTGGATAATGTCAGTGTACGTTATTTGTGCTTGACGACGAAGGGATAGCCTTTTAGAATTTTATTTTGATCATTTTAAAGTGTCGAGTACGAAGTGTTTAAGTTAGCGTATGGAATTTGGAATATAGTACATTTGAAGTTTGATGGATAATCTAGTTGCCGACGAGATCATGATTATGTAATTTTGTAGTATAATTGTGCAGCGGGATAATAATTTTGTATTCAAAGCGCTGCAGCGAAAACGGAACTCAAAGCACGCGTATCGCTTTAGTTTTATATGTATAAAATTATGAAATAAAAAAAATTGACTATCACGTTTATTACTTTTTCTAAAATTTGACACATATTATATTTTGACAGTTAACCAAATTAATAAGGTTTTACCATTCGTATACGTTGTTTATGATGTATATCAAGAAAAAATGAAATATTAAAAAGATTCAGTATTATTAGGATGCTGAACATTGAGACACCTGCGCAATTCATCTTGAGTCTTCACTTTAGTCCGTTTATGTTAGAATGTATATTTTTACTCCTTATAGCTCTTTTACTTTCAAACCCCTTACTGACAAGGATTGAAAATATTATGGTATGTAAGACATCAATAACGTAAATTTAAGGTTCTAAAGATTTCACTTTTTTATTTACTTACCACTATGAACCACTTTATTTTCGCAGAACTATCAGTCGAAATTATTTAAGGTACTGCAACCAGATGCACCGAAAAGGGAAAAAACGTTTCCTATGATTTGGACGCGTTATCCAGTCATGCCAATGCTTCTCAATATAAATTCCAGTTCCACAATAGATTTTCTTGCTCTTAGAATAATTTCTTCAACACCAGCGTCCCACGACATAACCGACTGCGACAAGACGAATGCTTCAAATATTTATCCACAAGCGATTGAATGTTCTTCGACATTTATTCCCACAAACATTGAGCTACCTATAGTGGACATATCGTCTTTCGAATATAATTCCTATCGCTACAGGTAAGAAGGAAGTTATATTTTCCTTATATAATTAGAATCGAGATTCATACGATATACTCGTTAAAACGATTTTCAGGTTAATTGAGTCACTGTTCGAAAGATTGTATGGTTATGACAATCCGCCAGGAGGATTGGTCTTAAAATTTCTTCAATTGAATGAAGTCGCATCCTGTGTAAATACACATCAATGTGGACAAAATTCTACGTCATTGAATAGCATCGACGTACCACTGGAGTCAGATAAAACCGTTTGTATTCCAGAAAGGATTTATATGCATCCTCTGGATCATTTTTTGGGAAAAAAGTCTTTGTGTAAACGAACAACCGTAGATGCTGGAACCGAAATTAATATTGAGGATAATGATGGTTTTCACAGTACCACTACGTTCACAATGTGTCCAGTGAGAAAATTTACGTCAAATTCAATATCTGTTTTACTATTATTTTTACTTTCACATTTTGTATCTACAGGATCGTTATGCTAACGTTTCTGAGAAAAGTACACTAAGGGAAGATATAAAAATTCCACGAGGAAAAGTGGATTTGCAGGAAATAAATTGCAGGAAAACGCCAGGAAATAAAGGAGTAATTTCGAAAAATTCTATGGAATCCTCAACCGTAGTTTCTAAAGTATCACAATTAAGCAATGGTTTAAAAGTTTCCCAAATAAGGTTAAAGAATCTGAAAGATTTGTGTGGAGTATCGACTGTTGCCTCTAGTAACAATAGATTGTCACATTATTTTCGAAAAGGATCGTCCGGATCGTGCACAAACTCACCGACAATAACATACGGAAAAACAGACATGACTGGTAACCGTAAAATTACAAGAAACTTAAGTTCACCCATCGAGAAAACGCATTCTCGTTTTCCAAAAACTGACTCAACGAAGTTAGTATTCAAAAACGTCGTACGAAACACTACACTAAATGCTCCAAAGAGAACCGTGCAAAGAAGAAGACAAAATCCTCCAAAAAATCTAAGTAACTTAAGCAAATCTCTAGAACCAAACACTTCATGCATTACAAAGACATAAGATATGTCAATAATAAAATAAAACCACACGATATGCATATATGTATACATTGGATGAATCCTACTACTAAAAACACAGAAACATTTTTCCGTCTGTAAGCTTTAAAATAAATATAACCATGTAAAAAATTTCGCACCAAGTATTATATTTCTATTCACGACAAAAATTCCGTGGTTTAACTTTAACAGTCACTGGAATGGCAACGCTCAATAATAGTTTCCACAACTTCCTTTGAGAAACGCATAAAGTTTTTCGGGCATTCGAGCAAGGTGCAACTCGTAAGAATAATCCTGATTTCGAATATACATTACGAAGAACCACAGAGACGGTGGCGGCAAAAAAAAGAGAGCTACGAAATTTCCCGGAGAGACCAGCAAAGGTGCCGACGAGGGTGCAACAATGGCAAAGGTACCTAGGCCCTGTCAACGGGACCACTTCAAAAGTTGCCGTCTTCAATGTGTTTATTTAGTTAACGTCAAATTTACTCGCTCCAAAAGGTATAGCCGATCTCGCCATCGCATTCGAGTTTCTATGTCCGCGACACGCGGTCCTATTTGTATTAAGCAAATCCACTCGATTGCCGTGGAAGGGCGTGGCTCGTGATCCCCTTTGTGCCACTGTGCAACCTAACCAATCATTCACAAAATGGAACACTCGACTTTTCGTGCACGACTTTTGACTTTGGAGTATACATTTCACTTTCGGCCGACACTTTCTAGAAATCGTAATCCTCTTTCCATAATCAATGGTCAACGACTACAGTTGGAATTTCAATAATCCTCGACTACTAGAACCGACAATAAAATAAAGTTACTCATAATCATTCATTAACACAAATTTGGCAATAACTTTTTTCACATCATTTTTATCACTACATTCTACCGTGTACTTATATAAAATCGTATATCACTGTGCACAGAATATAACTTTATTGAATTTTTGCTATTGTTCTCGTTATTTTTATAAAAGGATAATTATTAGTTATAAGATAATTTACTATAACTAGACGCTGATATCTTTTTTTCTTCGTTACCTTGTACCTCTGTGATCACAAAAGATTTCCATGTGTGCTATCGAATTGCATGGACCCTCCTTATAGTAGGGCGATGTTTAGTCACGCTCCGTTATGTCGCAGATGTGGGATTGCGTAAGACCACCTTGGTGAGAAGGAGTCCATCAATTTGATACGGTTTTCCGAGGCTCCTAAATAGCAAACACCCAAACATTAGACGTTTCGCCTTTGGGGCTCAAACTGTTCGTCGACGAATGCGAAGGGCTGTCGCGTGACCAATTGCGATTCGGCATGTACATTTCGAAAATTTCAACTCTCAATCTGTATCCATTTAGTCGAACAGCCGACATGAGTATCTAAATCAGCCTAGGTAGGGTAGACGTCATTTTCTTGGTCACCTTAGTGCCGTATGTGATCATCAAATTGATTGATTTCACTGTGTTCACTTAAAATATTCCTAATTTGTAAATATTTTACAGAATCTAGTTTGTATTTTTCGGATGAGTGCAAAATGAAAAATTTGACGGCAGTTACTCGCTTCGAAATTGTACTTTTATGCAAACGAGCGTGCAGATCAAAGATCAAAGCTGAAAAGCGTTCCGTCGGAGCAAGTCTTTCTGGCGCGTTGAGGTACAGGCAAAAATTGGCAAAAGGGTTGACAGAATTGACATGACCGGCTCTGTCGGTATATTAATGTATACTCGGGTGACCACTTGGTCTACACCTTGCTAGGAAGCAACAATTACCTTCTAGCTGCAACTTTAGAAGTGCCGCGACCGCAGGGAGCAATCATGAAAACGGACATCAAGCTGAGCGCCCAGCTGGTCGTCTCATTGCTGCCATTATGACACATTTGCTGCGATCAATAGACAACAATTTTGCATGAATTTCGGACAGTTTTGATAGTTGTTACAAAATTATTTATACTTCTTCTCATGGTAACTTGTTATTCTTCATTGAATTACGTAAACACGGCACACTATAAATTCATCGATAACTCACTTATTAACTGTTCTCTAACTTTTTAACACTCTGGCTTTCATATTGTTTGATATAAAATAAAAAATATATAATGTCTACATAACCTCTTTGCAACTCTCGCGCACAGTTTAAAACGACACTAAAACCGAAATGTCTATGCAGAACGAAACGATCCCGTATGAAAACCAATAGGAGTAACGAATCAAAGAAGAAGAATTCTCATTGGTCGTACTAAAGTGGCGTCACCGCCATTAATCAAGTAAATTTCCGCGCCAGTGACTACTCTGAGGATCGCCGCTCGTCGAGCAAGAGGATAAGGAAGAAGAGGAAGAATAAAGAAATGCAGAAGAGGATCTACCCACCAGATGGCCCGTGCCAGGATGCGAGACGACTCGAGCCACGTCCCATGGCAAAAGTGTCGGACCTCGTGTTTCTATGGGAAAGTCAAAAAGGCATATGTGTGTATATAAATAATCCCATAAGGTTGGCTTATTGTTACCGTGCGTTGTGGTGTGAGCACTATTGTGTTGTGGTCTCTTGGGTTGCCTGCCTGACATTTCAGCACGGGGGTTGATTCAGGATGAGACGTCCGAGATGCTTTTGTGTCTGTTACGTCACTTATGAGACTTCTACGTTGCTAATCTGGATATCAACTAGACACGAAATGTATGATTGCATAAATACAATAATTAAATATTAGAATCGTTAAGATTAACGACCATTTTAACGAAAATATTCGCATCTGGATTTAGATTAAGTGAAATTACGATTTTTTTTGTAAGCACATTCAGTGCAGGGTTTTTTAATTCTTTATGAGAAATGTTAACCAGTTCTATCAGTAGTATCAAGTTATTTCATGAAAACTAACGTAATCACAGAAAATCATAATCGGTTTTGCTTTCTAGGTTAGGTTCGGCAATGGCTCTTCAACAGTTACACAGTGAAGCGATGACTTTATAACAATATAATCCAAAGGAGACGCGGACATAGCGTCTGCCGCGTATTTGTCAGGGTTGCTGGTATAAATCAAGGGTTCCGCCGGTTTTGCCGGGTTCATCGGCGCGGAAGAGCATAATAAAATTTTGCCCGCCATGGCAGGGGCGGTGACTGTGGTTGCACTCGAGTTGTTCTGGAGGGAGGGTCCTGCCCGAGGGCTATTATGGGGCTTGCAGTGGGTTGCCGTAGGTTTCTATGGGTCGTCATGGGTCTACAGTGGTTCCTAAAGTTCTGGTAGCTGAAGGGGAGCGTGCGATACGAGGGCTTTACCCGTGGGGCGTGGGCACCACTCTGGAAGGCTGTCATTCTATGGCAAACGGCTGGTTACACGATGTGGTTTTTTAAAAAATTTGGTTACATACTTTTTATTTCATATATATATTTTTTGTGTTCAGATTAATTATAACGGTACTATTACACGATGGACTGGAGAATTCACCAAGCTGACGAACGTGAAACAATTTTGAGTGTCTATAATTTAATTTCAAAATTGAAAGCATTAATAATAAAAGAAGCGAGAAAACTTCTATTCCAATACAATGCATAATCAATATACAAGAAACTTGATTACTGAAAAACTCGTAATCGGGTCTCTGACGACTCGTACAATCAATGCAAATAGAAATCAGCAATCGCTCACACGAATTGTCACATGCCTCCCGCTGAACAATATACTTGAAAACATGAAATTCGCTGAAAAAAAGCACGCCCAGCGAATTAGGTCGTATTGATAAAAAAGCTGGACTTCGTCGACGTTTTCTGAATGACGTAATTCAGCGCGCACCGATTCGTCATCCGAGGGGACAAGATGGACAAAGCCATGTTCTCCTCGAATTTTGTTTGTGATCGGTCAACTTTTCTAGACTGCTAAAAAAAGTATTAAAAAAACTCATTTCTACTTACAAAGTTTTTTCATTTTAACGCAAAACTATAGTTCTGAGATATCAATGCTATTGTACAGAATCTTAAACATTTGGGATATGACGAAAAATTGATCCAGTTTATGTGTGACTTTTTCAACGGGATTACATTGTTGAATTGTGATAGCTGTTTCTGATACATTTTGAGCGCAAATATAAATGTAACAATAACATTAATGTCGATCCTGTTATTAAATAGAACGTGCTACGTTTTGATTACAAATAAAAGTATAGCTTATATTAATGATTCCGTTAAATAGGATTAAGAATAATCTACTAATTCATTTAGGACATCATAGAGAGTTTACAGGTTATAATAATTTATACCGTTTATCCAAGAACTGTTATCCTTTATAATTATACCGTCAAATACTTGTATGAAATTTTAAAATGGCATTGGTATATATTCATTATGATATATTTATAACTCGTTGGACTGTATATGTATGTCTTAAAATACCGTTAAAGAATTATCGTTGGATCAAGCATATAGAAATCAAATATAATTAAATCTAAAGTATCCACTTGAACCAAATAAATTTTTTCGTTATTGTCATTATCGTGACTCAGATTAAAAATGTATAAATAACAAATTGCACAATAACAAATTTTTACCGGAACTCTGAACTGAGTCTTTGATCTGCGGATTAGCAGTTGTTGTGACTTTCGGAGACCGAGTAAGATGGATCGGTTGGCCAATAAAGAGAACGAAGTTTGTACCAATTTGAACTGACTGATTTCTATCGTCAATCGATCAGGACATGGACAGCCTTCAGGATTGTTGGGTCTAAGAAGAAACTGCTCTCCTTGTTCTCTATTCAGAGATATGCGAAATTATGGAAGACATTTTGTTAGAGTAAAGGTTTTTGAAAGGCCTAAGACGTGCTTCTTTGGGTCGCCGAGAAATTCAAAACCAGGAAGCAGTTTTGGGAGATAATATTGTAGTAACACAGCCAAAAATAAAGAATTAAATTTGAAATATTTTTTATTCTTTCCAAATTTATTAATTTAATTTTGACAGTGATTGGTTTAGTATTACTTGGAGGAACCTGTAAATAAATACTTGTTGAATGCCAGCAATATTGAACAATATCAATGGACCAACGACGATACGGTAAATCAGTAGATTCGTAACGCTATAGGGTCGTTTAGTCCCGTTCAAGTATAGAAAGCTTAGTCTATATTCGCCCCATATAGAATCCTGTAAACCCCTAGAGTAACGCCGCTTTAAGCACCGATTCGAAAATTTTGAAAAAAAATTTCCGAATTTAAAAAAAATTCTATGAATTGAATTCTATCGATAGTTACAGGATTCTTTAAGATCATCCAATTAAAGTTTGACGAAAGACCGTGAACTATATTGCCACTGAATGGGATTACAGGTTTTTCTGAAATCGATAATTATACATATTTTACCAATGACAAAACGATCCCTTACATACCGATAATATACATCGTACATACCAGTGTTCGCAAAATTGCAATATCTGATTAAAAGTGTCAACTGGAGTCTTCGATGTTTGAATTCAAAGAAGTGCTCTATACAACTTTTATCTGCTGACAATTTTTTTATTGCAATAAATGTTCGTCCAAGTTGCACGAAATGGGAAAGTGACAGTAGCAACGTAGAAAGAATAAGAAAAGGACAAAAAAGGATTGTCGATTCTACAGATCATACACGAAGTGTTCACAAAGGACATTCCCCATGAATGGGTTCGAGTGTCGTCGGTTTATGTACGAGGATCGTTTTGACAGGAGGGGATTGGTCGACGGGTGAGTCGGAGAGGGTACAAGAGGTCAGAGGGTATTCTGCAGTGAGGAAGGCATGCTGCAATGGCATAGGGGTGGCATCGTGAACGAAGGAGAGGTCGAGAGATAGAGGGTGAATTGTTCGCCGCTCCACGTAGGGTAGTTTCGCTCGAAGTGTTACAATAAATCAACGCTGGATCTCGTGCTCCACCCCCACAACCCCTGGATCCCATACATGGCACATGACATAGAATGCTATACGCATTATGCTTACAGTTGACTGTCGCGTATTGTGTTTAAAGTGGCTGCACTTTGGCGGCAATACGTATCAACTCTTCAAAAGTATTTTCGACTTATAAATAATTGTCTCGATTATTAATGTTATCCGAATTTTTCAAAATAAAGTGTACAGAATCATTGGTATTATAACATTAATAATACTCTTGTTTGTCAGAAAAAAAATTTTGAATTTTTAAAATTCAATCGTAACGTTGAAAAATTATAAAAGTCAACCCTTATAGTTATATATCCGTATTACGTACAACATATACAACGATCGATTAAATTAGATCCGCTTTCTCGGTTTAAGGCTATGAAAATTCACCAGCAGCTGTAGAGATTCGAGGGAGGTTAAGGCAGGGGGCGAGAGATCGAAAAGCAGTGGCATCATCCCCCTTGACAATGGGGTGGAATCACGTGGCCGCAGATTAATTCTCAACAAAAGATATCCTCATATCGCAGTGCCTTTCGCAGGCCTCCTAGAATCCACTTCAGCCCACGTTACGGGGGGGTTTCTCTTCGGAACGCCCCAATCCGGGCCCGGAGGTGGGCCCAACCCCAAAATTCGATCCCCTCCGTCAACCCCTACTATATAGGGTACCCTACGAGGACAGCAGAGTGCTGCCAGTAATAATCGAAAAGTCAAAGGTGCCAGTTCGTGAAAGTGTCTCTCACTTGACCTTGCAGTTTCCACGATGCATTTCTTCCGTCCTTGGAACGACGCAAACGGAGAGAGGCCACTGTCTCCAGAAGTCACCAAACCCGGTACCAGGTCCTTATCGGAAATGACGGAACGAAGTATCAGGGAGAAAGTGAAGTGTGAACCTAAGGAGGAAGAAAGTGTTCACGCTTCGACAGTGCCTATAGAAAACGTGAAGAATGTTGTCGAACAGAATTTATTACCTGAGGATAGGATTTCCGAATCGCCAGGAACGTCCTCCCCGTCTTCCAGAACCAGCGAAGACCTGACCGAGAGGAACAATTTGAGTATGTTGAGAAATTTCGTGTACAATACTCGTCCTGATAACGTTGCAACGTCCTCATCAAGTTCCTCAAGTTCCACAAGTTCTTCGCCAAGTGTATTCTCGTACCCATCAGCAAGTCCACGTGCGGAGAGCTCGCAATCGACGTCATACATGCCGCCTTATCAGTTACCAGTGTATCCAACTGAATATCCAGCCAACTTGGCTAATGGAATTGTTCCGATGGCTGGATCGATGGAATTTCCTACAGCATCAAAATTCGCTGAGGCATCGGCTGGATTTGCCGCCGCTTGTGCATCGTCTATGGAATTGCCTACATTTCCGCCGCAGCCTATGTATTATGGAATGCCCAACTTCAACCTGCCTCAACCATCTTACGCTACGATGGAGAGTGCTGTGAATTATATTAATCAACAGGAGGCCGTGGCTAAACAGATAAAGAAACTTCGACCGAAGAAGTTCCGTTGCGAGTACTGCAATGTGGCCTTCAGTAATAATGGGCAACTGAGAGGACACACGCGGATTCATACTGGTTAGCGTAGATCCATTCTTTCGTCATAGTCAGTACATAATTTTATGCTTTTTAATAATACATAAATGCATGTAGGCCTTGATGCTTCACGTATGTTGTCAATTTTCAAATTGCATACAAGCCAATCGTACACCTAGTAGATCCAACTTATACAACGTGTCGAATTGTGTTTAGGTTGTTAAAAAAATTGTTGCAATTTCAAAATTTGAATATTAATCTCAAGAACACAGGATGTAGGATTTTATCGTTTATTAAAATTAATTTGACGTATAGATTAGAATTTGATTTACTTTTACAGGAGAAAGGCCATTCACCTGTAATATCGATAGCTGTGGCAAATCTTTCACCCGCAATGAGGAATTAACCAGACACAAGAGGATCCACACCGGACTACGTCCTCATGCATGTATTTTGTGCGGCAAGAGATTCGGTCGCAAAGATCATTTGAAAAAACACGCGCGAACTCATGAAAATCGGATGCCTTATTATCTACCAGCACCTAATGGTTCAGGAACTTTTGCATTTGGTCATCCTCTCACTGCTGGACCCTTAATGCAACCGTATCTGTTCTCATTGTGATCTCGACATTTCAATCGGACTAGCAAAGCCTCGATATGTCGTAAAAAAGAAGTGACAATGCAACTTATCGTTGTTCTTGTTGAACGATTATTTTTATTGTACTTAATTTTCTTCTTTGAAAATCTGGTAACGTTCGCAGGGCAATTCCGTATCTGTCGAAGGACGATACACATACCAGTCTAATGACGGCCATGAAATATGTGGATAAAGTACTTTTTTCCGTCGCTTTTGTAGAAACTTGTACAAATGTTCATACCAAATATTACGATTGATTGGGAAAAGTGCAATTAATACCTGACGTGCCTAATGTCAGATTGTGAGATATTTCTGTACATAATAATATAGTAACTGACGGATATTTTTTATATATACTCTTATTCATACTTTGAGTACCTATATATGCTTTAGCTTTACATGGGACTTATTTTATATATAAATATTAGCATTAAACGAATGTGTATTTTGTATAGCGTTGTATAGAAAAGAATACAATTTAGATTATCTAAATTGTCGAAAAATTTTGTAAAGATTCTCTGGATATAATTATTGAAGGAATAATAAATTGTTCATATTTATATGTATATAGAATTTTTATCATTGACTTCACTATCCTCGTGCAACCACCCCTTACGTTAATATAATAATAATTAATTGGATAAATAAAGCATAGAAGCCTCCGCACAATCGTACGATGACGGATACTTCAGTTGCGTCAAAATCAGGATAAAGAAGGTATCTATTTATATGTGAAATAAAATTAGTCTTCCCTTCAGGATATCATTTCCGGGTTAACTCTGCAATTTCCGGCGGAAAGTTATAATATCCTGACAAAATTATGCGCACAGCGGTCATAGGCAGGGTGCAGTTCGCGACCACCATTTTCCTCTCGATTGAATCTAAGATGGCGTCACCAGTAATCCCTGCGTAATGTTAAACCAGAGGGTTGTACATCCCCTTGTTCAATTATGCGACATAGGGGTTGCTCCCCATGGCTGTGCTGTATTGGATACCGCAAACCTATTCGTTTTTTTTCCGTGGTCTTACTCTTCCCTATGGGGAAAATCGCGGTCGAGTATTATTGTTATGGTTGATTTTATGATGGTGACTAGACGGGGTAGAATACCTACTCAGGGGGGTCAAATAAAAAATTCACCTCTTAATATCTAGGGCGATTAATATTCCTCTGTCAACGGGGTGCACAACGAATGGCACCGTGAATTGGCGGTCTGTGTTCTGCAAGAAATGTTTTAGTCCACCTAGGATAATTATGCATTTTATCCAAATTGCATCAGCACCACCGTATTTCATATCCTGAACAGTTCAGATAAAAAAATAAGTACTGTACGGATTGATGGATCAAGCGCATATTTTGAAATGTTGAAAAAACGTAAAAATTTTTTAAGAATAAACATCGATAAGGAAGCTCATTTTAGGAATTTTATAGTGAAAAGAAGACAACGTGTACGCCCGGAAATCCTGATACGTGGCTCAGGAACGGCGAGATAAAGTATAGAGATTCTCACACTTAGCTACGGTAGCACTAGGGGTAGCAACCCTGCTGGGACATTCATTTGAGCCTGCTGACACCCTCCTACTGTCCTACAGATATATGACAGCATCCCTCCGGACCTTCTCTGTCCTCTCATCCCCCTTTTGGAGGCTCATTCATGGCGCAGATCACCCTACCTAATACCAGTCACAGCAACTTACTCGGCCACGGTTAAACGATCACTTACTTCAGGATTACACAGCCTTCCTAATCGCGGATTACATTTGCTTTTCGAATTGACAATAACGGATTATGATTTTATCTGTTTTTTTTAAACCATCACTACATACCGGTTATTTACTGTGTATTTTAGACACCCCTCAATATTTTTTTTCGGATATCCATGCTTTGACAGTGAAATTTTTACTTAATAAATTTAATATGGCTGCTCGTATTGAATTTAATTAATTTTATTGAAATGTGCTATTTAATCTATCCTATGAATATAGCCAATTTGGCATGATATCAGTACTCAATTAAATTCCTAAAAGTATCAATGAACAAAATAACTGTATATACAAATATTACCAGGGGTGACAAGTAAACACGTGGATATGAAATTTTCAACGGAATCGTCGTCTGTCAAGGAATCCAAAAATTCTGAACATCTCGCGATGGATCTACCTCGAGGCGTTTGACTCTCGCGCGAATTCAGAAAACTTTTGTCCATGTGCTTTTGAAATTTTTGAAGAATCGAAGGGAAGAACGCCCGGGGTGCGCTGACTGGCTGATATATGGATCTCATGGATACGAGCCTTGCGGGATCCCGTGAGTCTTGCACGTAACCTGAATGAAGGTAGCAGTGGGGTCGACGAGCGATGCTCTATTAGGCCTAAACGCTTTTTAAATGGAACAAACGTCGAGTGTCAAATCTGGCAACAATGGCGTAGGCAAACATTTTGGTACAGTACCACCCGCGGTGTTTGCCACTGGGCAACGATGGGCAAGTGATCGATACTTCTTTTCCTTCGCTGATCCAATTATTAGCTAAGCGTTATGTAAACGGATGTGGAGATCGAATGAGACTCAGGTAGGCCATTGCTTGCTGGATTTTACAAAAGAAATACTTCAAGTATTTTTACTGCTTTTCATGCTTCCATGCAGGATTTTAAAACTTATTGCGACTCGTCGTGTATGGTTCTTTTTTTTATTATAAAAATAAAAGCGTATACTATGCTTATAAAAATTATACTGCTAGGTCATTAATCATGTAGCATTAAGACAGATATTAATATACCAGTTAATTATAATTTCCCGTGTAAATCATACATAACGAAGGATGGAACGATGGAACTACGCTGATATATTGTTAAGTATTTTTAATTGTTAATATAAATATTTTTATTTTACTTGATAAATAGTTTGAATAAATAAAGCCAAAGAAAAACATATATATTGACATTAGAATTTCATGTGCACTATTGTACATGGACTTGTGTCTGTAATGTTGCGCTGTACCATGCGGGTAATAATTCCAGTGAATTATCATGAGCTTGCGCAACTAATAAATCCCATTATTTTCCACTATTTAATTCAAGTTTGTCATTTTCATTAGTTACGTGTATTGTAAATCGGTCGTCCGATTATATTCCCAGCTGGACCATAATTGCAAACAAGATACGTGTTATTCCATCCGTTTGATGCTATATATCTGATAGCACCGCAACCAATCAAGTGCGTATCTGCCCATATCATTTGTGTGTAATGACCAACATCTGGCTCAAACCTGAATTAACAAGCAAGGGAAATGAATATTTAAAATAATATTAAAATCCCCTGCCAATATGACATATAAAAAATCCGGATACGAAAATTAGTGAAAACGGGAAAAAGGATATGTACAGTAATTTCTAAAATGAAATAGAATTTGAAGGAGAATTAAAAAACAAAAATATATAATTCAAGTGTTACGAAAGTACCAGTGCGAAGAGTAACGTTAAATTGACGCAAATAATCTAGACGATAGTGATTCATTGATGAATATGCATTGAGCAATGCACCATGTATCGCATGGTCGCACGTTTCTTTAAAATATCTTCAAAGCTATTGCATACAGCAGAGTCGTTATCATTTCACCGTAATCGCGTTTCAAAGAAATTCCGTGTTTTCTCCTGACATAGTCGTTCATAATATGTTGTCAAAGTTACAAGTTGACTAATACTTTTTTATATTGAAGAAGTAAAATAATTATTTAATAAAATTTACTCACCGATATTTGGAAACATGAGTATTGTTGAACAGTTTAACTTCGTTGTACCACAGGTCTACTAGTCTCGACAATAGGCTTGTTGCGGTTGTTCCTCTGGTAGCTTGAATTGCAACATTTTGCCCGACACGAAATCTATCTTTTGAATGTATATAAGAAACGTAATTCAGTTGGCAATAAAAAAAATATAAAAATTTTCGTAATATTTTGAAAATTGCGTAAAATCAATTTTTTTACAAAAAATTACTCACCTACTATTCTGCAAGTATCATGACCGAAGTTGCATTGATTAGCCCATCTCTGCGCCACTTGTTCTAATTCTTTATCCCATGTCTAAATTAATCAATGAAATTTCTAAAAATATCACGAAAAAGTAATTGAGAAATATATGTATGTATAGTGTACCTACAATATTACGCATATTTGTCGCCGGAGGTTGAGGCCCTGGATGACCCCTAGTTTCCTTACCGGAAGCTATCAGTCGTCGATACTTGTTATGTACATCTACTAGTGCCCTTCGATCACCGTCACTTAGTGAAGCGACTAGAATCTTTCCACAAGAAGATGCCGGAGCTCTGGACTGCCGTACCATGGAACGAAATAAAAGTGTGATAAAAATATAATAAAAAAAAATAATTCACTCCATTCAGCTATCTCGTTAATTACTTCAGGGCTGAAATATTATACAAATTTTGATGCAAAAAATTGAAAGTTTATAAAATATATATAACGCTTACCTTGAAACGACACATTGTATGCGTACCAACTTTACAACCGGTTTCACGGCAATAGTCTTGCGCACTCGTAAAGTCTTGCGACCATCTCAGTGCAATAAGGACACACAGTATGGTGCGAAATTTAAACATTGTTTAATTTGTCCACTTTAAAAACTTTCTCGATAAGCCGCGTGCTCTTGATGCAATTGATTCTCGTACAGTGCGGACATTCACAGGTAACAGGCTATTTATGCACACTCTGTTTCCCACTTCCAATAGAACTTCAAGAGCGTCTTATCAACTTATTTCACATGACACTGAAACTAGCAGCGGAAGTATCAGCCGGTGTAGAAAAGTGATTAAACAGTGAGTACTATCATTTTTTTTTTAAATAATGCGAATATTCTTTTTATATTAATAACGATTTGCCCAATTGATTCATGTCGGATTGAAGTAATGACAAAATTTGAAATACCTTTTAAGCCATCTTGACTTCGCTGTTGCGACGTACGCTGTAATTCTATGATAAAGCATGTAATAGTTCATGAAACGTCCGTGCTTGTTATAATCTATTGCACCTGATAATATAAGCTACATAAATTTACTTTACGGTATAGTAACACTCAGTATATGAACATATTGTGAAAAAATATGTTTTTCAATAGATAAAAATTTTTAAAAATAATTCATAAAGATAGTTTTTAAAGCGGTACGTCTCCTTATTTTAATTGCTACTAATAACATTTTTTTTAAAAGACGCTACGTCTAGTGTTATAACGATAAAATTATGACTATCTGCGTAAACGCAACGCATGTGAATTACGTGTTTTTTTTTTTGGCACAACAACATAAAAGTGTGCTAATTACGTGTTTCGTGAGTTATTTTTCCAGCCATATAATTATTATCAGTGTTTCTTCTGAGATTAATAATACGTCATCAAATCACAGTTTTTATAATTAGATTGTACTTATACATTAAAATCGGGATACTAATAAAATAAAATTATCACAAACACGATGATTATATCAGTTATTAATTAATTTTGTTATATACCATATATTTATACAACATAAAAAGACACGTGTATGAAAACTCAAATAAGGTCCGAACATTCCCAGAAATTTGTCACGTGCAAAATAGAGCCCTGTTACTCGTGTGTAAAATCATGTATTTGTCTGTTATCGTTATTATTACTATATGAAAATATCGATATTTCATCTTCCTAATATCGGACCAAATGTTTACTAAGCTACATTGGTATTACTGTACACATATCGAGATCGACAAAACAATGATTCATCATGTAAAAATAATTTCTTATGAAATCACCTTGATATCATTCGCAGAATATATGCAATTATTGCATTACTGTACATACAAGACAATTAAAACTTGTCATTCGCTAACGAATGAATTGTGTATTAAAACTCATTGAATATTTATAGCTATACATCAAGTCAATGCTATCAGCCGTAAGTCTTAAGTCAAAGTAGTACAATCGTCATTGTTATCAACATTAAGTTCAATGCACCTTGTAACTGAAATGAATGTCCCCCCTTGCATTTTTTACAAAACTCTAATTACCTGCTTGTGCAATGCAGTACAGTGAACTAGAAAATCGAAAATTTAATCGATTTTGAAAATAACTCGCGTTATATAATATTTTGAATATCAAGTAAATAATACCTTGTACAGGTAATATGGAATCAATTGGTTATTGTAATACAAAAATAAATTGTAAAGTCAGTATAAAATATTTTTTTTATTTTTTTTAAATGCCGGAGCTCATCTTTACGGAACCCTAAGGTTTTCACTTTTTTAAAAACTAGTCAAGGCGTATCTTCAGGGATGCGCGAAGAATGGAGACGATCATCACTCGTACCTAATCGCATTATGTTAGCCGAGGCTCGAAATTACGTATAGCTATGGGGTTTGCGTCATCATTATACTCGCGAGTATAATAGCGGAGGACCATAAACGCTTATAAGCCTTACGCATGTATACAATGGCGCAACTTTTGATTGTGCACTTTGCCGGGAAATCGTTTTCTTTTTTGTTCTCCTGCTTCTTTTCATTTTTTCCTTCGTCTCTTTCTCTCTCGCCTCAAAAATGGGCTCGTAGTGGGCGGGTGGCTGTGCGGAAGAATGAATGGACCAGAAAGTCCATTCAACAACGCACCTGACTTTTGGCTTCGGCCGTGAGAACCGCCAGGAGCTTCTCAAACTTTGATAAATTCTCTTCTCTGACCTTGTATGTTGGTAACATTGTATTTGACATACTAATACGTCACATTGGAATTTTGAAACCTGTCCCTCTTAAAGAGTCTTTTTTTTTTGGTAATTCTAACAAAAGTCCGGTACATATGAATATATTTTTTTGTATCTTGTTAATGAGTCTGGCCTTTTTTTCATTAGAAAAGCTGGAAATTATTGGTTATTAGATTTATGAGTGATTTTATACAGTTGGTATTAATAATTGATTGCATCTTTGAAGATCAACTATTCAATCCTATGAAAATGGGTCTATGAAGGTTATCGGTTATTAAGAAAGAAAAAGAAGAAATTCTACGCCCATAGATGTAGGCGCATTACACACTTGTCTAAAACCTGTATTATCTGAAAGTTGGTAGCCGTTCCTATCCAGGTTGACCACTATAGATATCTACATAGGACACGGCTGAATGGATCAATGAGAGCCTGACTTAACAATGGGTTCAAATTGATTTTTTATTTTTTGACGCTTATAGAAATTCGATTTAGCGCAGATAATTGCCGGTTACGTAAAAAAAAGGTGCCGCCTTCGTGGGAAGAAAAGTTCAAGCTTTTCTACTTTTTTCCATTGAAAAACCCGATGCTACGATTCGATCTCATTTCACGTGACGCATTCCAGCATTCCTATTGTAACTGTGGTCCAGTCTCCTTCAATGCACTTTGCTAAATTTTGAACATGATATTTCTAAGACGACTATCTTAGAGGTAAACAAACTTTTTTTTCTATTTACGCTGTTTTATTTTTTTTTATTTTTCTTCTTATCTTTACCCTTCTTCTTCTTCTTCCCCTCATCCTTGTCCTTCGACGTATCTTCCTGATGCGGCTTCGCAGGTGCGACCTTTTCAATAGGTTTGGTTTCTGTTCGCCAGGGTCTCGGCGTCCGAAATTCCAAATCGATATTGGTCTTCTTCTCGCCGTTATCACTCTTTTTTCTGATTCGCAGAAGAAAGATATTAGGATTCTCCTCAAGATCAATGGACCTTGGCATTCTCGGTTTATCGATCTTGTCCTTCTTCTCTTTCTTCTCGTCCTCACGAATAGTTGGAACTGCTGGCGCTGAAGGCGTAACATCCACTTGCGGAAATACTGTCACGGTACGACATCCGACATCATTTTGATCGCATGATCGATTTAATGTTGTATTTTGATTGATCTGTGTCGGATTTGCACTTGCCATTTGAAATACAACGTTATTTCCTTTCTGATTACCCATGAAACGTTTTTCTTCTCCAGCAGGCGTCTTCAATCCTGACAGATTGTTATCGTCGCAATCACACGGAGGATCGAATTCATTCTCTGCTGGATCCTTCTGTATTCTGATAACCATTCGATTGTCATTGATTATTGCTTCGATTTCTTTGTACGGCAGACCAGTATTCACAATTTCGGAAACTACTTTACCGGCCGTGGTATCAGCCACGCCTGGACAAGCATCTTCACAGACTTCATTTGATTCTGGTTGTGTCTGATTTGATGGGAGACAGATACAACCTGGTACTTCGTTGTTAGGCGGCAACATAGATGAGGGATATAATTGTGATAATTCGTATCTAGTATTTGGTACATTACTAATGGGGTACGCTGACAGTGAAGAGCATGGCGGATACAGTGGATTATGTCCCATAGGGGATGAATAATCTGGAAATTCTTTTCGTGACGATATTTGATCAAAAGGTTGACATAATTTTTGAGTTTTTGATAGCAAACAATTTTGGGGAGTTTGAGGTAAATAATTTTGATGTGAATATAATTTTGGCAGTTGTGTAGGAAGGTGAGAAGATTTTATTGGCTCGGAATGAAACATTGATTTTGATGGGCAACCGCACTTGTAAGTGGCAGCAATCATTTTGTTACTTAATTAAATTATTATATATTTGAAATAAATTCTTTTTATTACTTTTCAATACTTGCAGTTCTAGGTAGAAAGTGATACGTCAAATTTGGTTGATTTTGTGAATAAATTTTATGAATGATTTTTAACTGTCTGAAGTTGTACACTGAGTTGACAAACGAATGGACTCTTAGTTTGCTGTGTAAAGCCCACTAATTTTCAAAAAATAAATTCTTATCCCTATTTACGGCTGAATATGCATATTTTCTGATTATCAGTTAAAATTAATTTCGATGCTAATTATTTAAAAAAATTTCAAGTGTATAATAGAAATGCATTCCGCATGGGATCAACGAAGTAAGTGTACACGAATATAACCCTTTAATTTTGTATTTCTTATTTTTTTTAATTGATGCATTTTTTTATTATTTTTGTAATTCCAGATACATGTTCCTGCCCACCTATATCTTTTCCACCCTGTCCGCCGTCCCTGTCGCCGACATTAATTCCAGGCGCGAAATACGTTCATGAAATCGGAGCGGAGATGGTTGGTAATCAGTTAATAATCCGCATGGAAAAAGATAAAAATAAAGGAAAAAAGAAACGCAATCAATGGGAACCGCCATGTGATTGCGATATGGTAGAAATACGAAGATCATCGAAAGAAGGACCAAAAATAGTTAACGGTGGTGACAACAATCAAATTCTATTTAAAATACATTCAAAAAATCATATGGGTTCAAAGGATGACTCCAACTACAAACCCCAGGCAATTGCCTATAAGGTAACTGAATAAATTTTATATAATAATAATTGGCTCTTTGTACTATAGTGGATCAAATATCCATGTCAAATATATTTACTATAATAAAGGTAGGAGCCTGCAGAGGAGGCCAGCAAACCAATGATCAATGCAGAACAATAACAGTGCATCCTCAATTCGGAGGTCCAGGTTCACAGGAAGTGCACAGCGATCACATAAGGGAAGGGAATCACGAAATTTTTCTTCTTCGTATTAAGAAAAAAGGAAACAGCCCTGAACAAAGACAGCAAAACATAGAATTAGAATTAAAAACACCAAAACCACCGACACCACCACCAACGCTTCCAAAACCACCTGCGAAGGAGGAGACGTTGAGAGAGGAAAAATCAGAGACTAAGAATACCCAAAAAAAAGATGAGAAAAAGAAAAAGAAAAAAGAAAAAAAGAAAAAATAATATCCACGCGATAGTAAATAAAAGTCAATATCGTAAGATCCATTAAATTTTTAATAGATGCTAATTAAATAATTGCATATTTTTATTGCACGTTATTTTTTTTCTCAAACTTTCAAGAGCACGCGAAAGGAAGGATGATCTTTATTCTCTACCTGTACTACTTAGTCATTCGCATATTTCGTTCATTCATAAAATCAGCGTACTATGCATATATTCCGTAGGATAGACCCTACTCGACCGAAGTGTAAAAATTGTTTCGTTACGGACGCCTCAATGAGATTCTTTCGCTTTAGCCTCCTGGCCTCTATCCACTTCTGAATGAAGTACCCAGGGTAATGGACGAGGCGGCACGAGTGAATGAGATTCGTGACGATTTGCAAGGATTGATGACGCTTCGGGTCTCGAGAGACCAGCCACTCGATTGTGTGACGTCCTCATCGTCATCGTTTTCATTCTCCCCTCAAGCTACAACCAGCAGACTATAGTTTCACGGTACATTACTGGAAGCTACTCTCTACTTTTCATACAGCAATACAGTGATCTTTCAGTGATCTTGCTACTGATTGTGAAGAATCACAAAAACCTGCTAACCATTCATGTCATGAATTTTCGACGAATCTCACTAGTTACCCGATTTTGGTCAATGACTTTCAAAACGTCTACTACACTTTGACGTGTCAAAGGAGAAAATTGAGAGGAGTGACTTTTTTTATATCTTCTTTTTGGAGGGTATAAATCAAATATTAAGATTGTCATACAGCTTATTAGGCTGCATGGCTATTATTGTGTTAATTTCGTCGTAAGAAGATGAAAGGTTAAAGAAGACTTTATTTTTCTGTTTTATATTTATTTTTGAATTTCTTACTGCCAATTTTGCACCATATAAAAAAATAGCTGGGTCTTGTTGGCAGACTTGCGTGAAATTCGCTCGACTCACGTAACGCATAATGGACCTAGGTCGATTTACAATAAGGGAAGGAAAAATTGTGGCAGGTTTGTGTGTGTATAAGACGAGAATGAAGGAAAGACATAATAAGAGAAAAATGTAGGTAGTTCATAACCGTGAATGACGTGGGAGTTCATAAGAGAGTCTAACGTTCTGTGTGGCCACGATTGGCCACAATGACGACGCCTATAAATTAGACGAGCTCAAAGACGCGCACTCGGTACTTGGAAAATAGCGTGACGCGTGTGATTGAACAGTAGGAAGAACCCCACATATTCATTCAAAAATCCCATAAAGAACTCTGGACATTTTGCGGTTCGTTTCAATGGCGCGACAAGTGACCATACTGTTATAATAAGGACTCCTCGTGTTGAATGAATATAGCGGAGTTTTTACAGTTTGGTTTTGAGTCTGAACTAACAGCATTAAGAAAAAAATCGCAAAATTTATAGTATTCACAAGATATTTTGCCAATTCCGAAATACTTATAAAAAACTGAAATATTAATTAAAAAATTCTCAGTACTTGTTATCTCTATGATTTTTTTCTACGTATGTCCAGATTTAAGAAAGTGTGAATTTTCAAGTTTTCCTAAAATCTCATGTTGCCTAACCATGAGAACCATTCGCTACCATGAAAACGTTACATTCGCCACAAGACGAATGTCCACGTATTCAGTGTCCATTGCCAAGGTTCTATCCGGAATTCTTTGTCACGGCACAAAGTCACCAACCAGAATCGAATTCACCGACTAACATCTTAGTCGCCATTTCATTGTCAGTTATTTCCCATAGCTAAAGAAAATGATCTAAAGAATGATTTTGATCTTTCATGTCGTTTGAAATCCACGAGGAGTATAGCACGTAGTTAATACTAATGTAATAATAAAATTAGTAGATAGTCGAATATTTTTTATTTTCAAAATCCAAATTTTTTCGTATATTTAATAATCCAACTGTATATGCCATGAGGGATCATTAACTTTAATTCGCTATATTAACAAATTTCACTAATATTTTTATGGGGTACGAGACCGTTTTCCATTTCGTCCTCTAGGTGCGCCATACGTGTCATTAATAATACGAAGAGCACAAAAGCTGTAGAAAAATAAATCAGCAGCAAAGTACACCATAGGTGGTAACACACGGTCCCTGAAGGTGGTCTTCCTCTATGGGGGACAATGCCACCGTAACCGCACCACCATGGTGAAATACATTTGCAAACTTCCCGTCAATTATGAATACAAATCCCCCACGTATGCATATACATATACATATACAAAAGTGGGATATTGAACTGTCGTCAGTTCTAGCATTGTTACCATTATTATGATATCACTGCATTCGGTATTACGGACCCTTAATCCAACGGATCAGCCCCTGAAGCAATTCCCTACTAAAGTTACGTAACCGCATTTGATTTTCCAAGAAGAATTATCAATCCAAAAAAAGTTGGCATTTGAAAAATACGAAATTTTTCCAAAATTTTCCAACAGACTTTATGCGTTAAATATATCAGAAAGAAAAGTTAGATAGAAAAATTCTAATTTACGGTTACACCTGCAAGACTATTTATTTTTATATTTTATTCATATTATTGTCACCGTCTTATTTTCAATTATTATTTTTCAATATCTTTTTCCATGAACCAGATCTTTCCCCGTGGCTCCACGGTCTATCATACGGCACTGTCGTACCATAGAATCCCCCAGGACATCGTTCACTACGAGGTCGCACAAGCATCGCTCACAGTCGTCCTTTTTGCTTCTTTCACAAATTTTCTTAACTGTCTTCTGCAGCCAGGAAGATCGTACGGAAGGACTTTTTCGCAAAGGATCACTATGGTTATCAATGTAATAACAAGGTGTCTTATTGTCGTAAGTTGACTTTCTTAAGCATTCTTGAACTTTCACATTTTCAGAACCTTCATTATGACGATGCTTCATATCCCTTTGACTGATCCTTTTCTTATCTGTTTTACGAATTTTACCGTCGCTACTAGATTTCCCACAGGATCTACGACTCCTCGATTTCCTATCAGTATTTTTACTGTTCATTTTCTTGGACGACGCTCTCGTGACCGAGGTACGACCATCTTCTGTAACTTCAGTCGTTGCCGAGCACGTAACCCCACAAGATGTTGATCCTTTCGAAGGACCAATAGGATTATCAAGCTTCTTAGAATCGATCCTAGTTGTTTCTCTGCTACCGATCAGATCGTTGTATTGTTTGAACACTGCATTGTATTCATCGATGCACTTTCGAAATTCGCTCTCGTTAGGGATGCTGTAACAACTAGGATCCTGAAGAGGTGAGAATCTGGAAATAGGTCCTGATGGTACTGTACACGTGCATGGTGCTTTTATCAAAGGACATTGTCTAAGCATATTATGCGATCCCAAGTATCTTTGGTTATTAGACGGGCACGAAAAGTTTTCGGAAAATATATTTAATCCTTGAGGAAGACAGGTGCAAGAATTTTCGGAATTTTCACAAAATCCCATACTGGTCACACCACGATTACGTTTCGGATCTGATGATCCTTTTCTTCTTGTTACGCAAACTCCATGTTGGGATTGTTCTAGCTTTTTATTCTTATTTGTTCTGCTCATACTTCCACGTAGACGAACACCGCGAGGGGATAAACACTGAAACAAGTTTTTATGGTTAGATGAAAGTCTTTTTTTTTTTTACACGATACGCAATCTTATCTTTCTTACAAAGGTACTGGTTATCAATGAGCAAATACATGAGACGAAAGAACTACAGCAACATATGCCAATCCACTCGAGCATTTCTTGCTACGTGACTGCCGTCTCGGTTACTCTCCAGTTTCCGGTCATGCTGATTGCACTTGGGATTTTGTGTGCAATTTTAATTGCGGTGATGTCTTCGCCCGCACGGATATCTCAAATTGTCGGTTTGACAGGTCATTTATACGATAGTCAATTGACTTTTTGACAGCGAGTCTTTTGTGTTTTACGTCACTGGTTTAATTTTAAAATGAAATTTCCTCGTTGAATTTATGATTTTGTGCAATTACGTTTTATACTTGGAAAATAAAACTTTTTAGTAACAATGTTAATACAGACTTACGTAAAGAGTCTTGTGAAGACATTTTTCTAATGATTTATTTAGTTATAATGTTTTTCGTCTGGATGAATTTTCGAATGCTACAGGTGCTTTCCACTCAGTTGGCAGCACGGGAATATCTATATTATTAGATATTTTTGATAACTCTCCTTGTCGAGATAACTTTCCAGAAACATTTTTTGGTTGACTATCCTCAACTACGTTTTGATTTATCGACGGTCTGTCAAATGTAGTTTCATTTTGCTCAGGAATACTATTATTGTTCGTTTGACGTATTTTATTCGAAAATAATCGTCCCAATTGTTTATCACTTGACGACGATCGATTCGAGGGACTTTTTAACTTAGATAATTGTTTAGATAACTTTCTAGGAGACAGCGTATCGACGGTCTTTGTATCTCGAATGAAATCCTCTTGTGGTACAGCAGCAACCGGAAGTGGTTGCTCGAGTGCGACGTCATCCTGGGATGCATATTTATCGGGAGAGGGTTTTTTAATTGCGAAAAATTCGTTTAATTCTCTTTCCAATTGTGAAGAATTTTTAGATTTTCCTTCATCTTCAGTTAATCTAATGGATGTATCTGCAGCTGCTTCGTTAGATGGTACTCCGTCCTCAGGTATTCGTTTAAGAACAATTCTATCTTGAAACAGTCTGTTTGATATGGACTCTGCCACTTTATTCTCGCGTGACATTGATTTCGATGGAAGTACAGTACGAGACATTTGATTTGGCCCAATTTCATTAGATGTCATTAGTTTAGGTTTTGCTTGCAATTCCATTTCTGTACGATGTAACGAAACACGTGGTAGATTTGACGACCGAACGGATTTGGCTTCATTCGTGGAGCTTTCCTCGACTTTACGTGTACTTTCTGCCATCCGAATATTTCTTGGACATTTATCCGATTGCATACAACATATCGTAGATTTCGTATCGTGTAACGGCGATCTTTTGTCTTTTGCCGGTTTAGAAGTTTCTGAATTGTAATTATTTTTGGTACAGGGTACTCCACCAATTATCCAATCCACTTGCCCTGGTAAATGCTTCTGTAGATAATTGTTACGTACTTCAACTAGGGGTGGTATTAGACACTGAAATAATTTAATTAATGTATGGATTATTTTGTTAATTACTAACTTTCTGTATTCTTGTAACTTACTGCAGTTCCGGCAGCCAAACAGCAAACTAATGATAGACACGCACTGCATATACATAGACCAACAATTTCAAACATTGTTTCAAAGTTAAATAACCAACCTTAAAAATTCTCTTGGATAATTACATATTGTGTAGTTAATATATTTTTAGATTAGATTCACATATTTCTTTTTACATTTTTCTTGTTTCACTCATACAATCTTTTCTTTTGGGTTTATGGGTATGAATGTATATTTTTAATTTTGAATTCTATAAGTCATTATCACGTGTTTGCAGAGATATGATAATTAGCATGTGTTCGACTTGAATCTATCTTCTAAATGCAAAATAAAAATTATTTTCGTTTGTCAGGTGGACAAGCAGCATTTTTTTCCTATAGGGATTTTTAAACATTATCATTGTTAGTATCAACCAGATCCAAAAATGAAGGGCATATACAAAATTTTTTTTGCTGTATACGATTGCATGGTTCTGACGGAAATATTGTTTTTTTAACTAAAACAGGATTAAGCACGTATCTAATGTTACATGGACATTCTCCACTTTGGATCCCACAGCAGCCAACACTACAACCACTTTGAAGCTCTATTTGTTTTGCTAATCGTTTCCTTTCCTCGTTTTTCTGTTTTTCGCTTCGAAATTTTCCTGTTTTTATATCAATCAAATGTGGAAGATATACCTAAAGAAGTCTTTTTTTTTTCAAATATTCATTTTTGAATAATGTCACGTACTTACGAGAGTGCTCGTGCATAAACAACATAAACAGGATATAGACGCAATGCATATGCCCAAACCTAGTAGACCCAACATTTTTAAAAATCATGAAATCAATAATTTTATATGAGTAAATTTACGACGTTATAAAACGTTATTCGCTTTTTATTGCAAGCTTGACAATTTCAGTTATATAAAACTTTCCGACTTCTAGTAATTTTTTTAAAACTTCACAAATCATCTGACGGATAAAATTCCATTAAACCTATTCTGCCATTTTTTTTAAATGTCAAATTCTTTCAAGTGAAACAACGATGTCAGCAATAGGCTGCTAAATTGCTTGTAAATACAAAATGCTACAAGCGATCGCAGTTTGCAGCTGCATCTGTGCCTTTTGTCTTTGGTGTGGTTTTATATCCATATGGTAAGTGGAGTTTCATTTTCTTGTATCTATCCCTTTGTCCCATCGAACAGGAACGCGATTACTTTAAAATTGGTACAATTTAATTAAAAAAATTTTAGTTGTCCACGCGTGGTCGACCGAGTAACCAAACTGTCAACGAGTCAATTCAGATGTGCCAAATGTCCAAAAGTGGTGCAGTGTACTGGAATCCCTAATACAAGGATATCCGAAATACGAAGAGTGAATGAGAAAAATAAAAATAAAGGAGACAATATTACGAATAAAGATATTGTTAAAGATACCGATATGAAAAACGATAAAGAAGAACCTGAGCTCCTGTCCGATTACATGGAAAAGATAAATTTCATTTGTGATCCCAAAAACTTGAAATCATCTTCTTTCAATGATCGTAAACATATATTGGGTTCTTATTAATAATATAAATAATAAGTGTCAATGTTACACACCTTTGCTAATAACTTGAGCAGATAATTAGTTACGTGTCTGAAGTATCGAGCAAATAGATTCGATTGTCGTTTTACTTCCAGCAAAGCGTCAGCTGTCAATCATCCAGAAAATTGTTGATATTGAAAATTCATTGGTTCGTGTAACCTGTAATAAATTATCACGTTTTTAGAAAATGGATTGCTTTGATCATTAATAAAAAAAGAAATTAGTCGCCAAGATGATGTTAGAACCGTTATTGGTGTTAACGGTATTAAATTGTTTTTTCATGTTCAGTTCCACGGTGACCACATGTGCTTTGTGGTAAGTTTATCTTACGTCACTTACGTAAACGATACTAAAGCAACTAATCATAGTACATATTTCAATAGGTGGCAGGGCAGAAAGCATCGTTGTTATCATGGCAATGCTGCATTTTCACATTCGCAAATTAAAAAATCAAGGAGTCATTCCTGCATTCCGAAAAAGTCTGTCAGATCACATATTGATAAGATAATCAGTTTTATTGGGACTGATCATTCGACAATGGGGACTAACAAGGCAGGGAAGCAGAGATTCAAAAATATTTCCAAGCACATGGACAAATCGAAAATGAAGAGGGAGTTAGCGAAGCATCATGGGTAACAAAAATTAATTTTTATTTTTCAGCATATTCTATACTGAAATTTTAACAGGGTGTCCAAAACATCGAGTACGAAATGTTTTGTTAAATGTATTAAAGAAGAAGCTAATCAAACAAACAGACTGTTAAGCGATCGCGAACCTAGATCGAAAGTCGTAATGGAAGTGGCGACTGTTCAAAAAGTTCAAATTTATGATAAAGACTTAAACGAACCTGTAGTATCGTCGATGAAAAATGTGTCATCGTACACAGACTTATTTGGGCAGAAGAAATGCTATAAATCTGCACAAAAAACAAGAGCAGCCAAATCGTCGGAAAACATATGAAAAATAATACAATAGGAAAATTCTTATTAGCTATTTCAATCGTTCATAATTCAGTGCATGAAGATTATTCTAATTGTGAAATGATTTAAATTATTATCTCTATAAAGAACAAAATTTGCATCATACTATAATAAAAATACTTTTAGACTATTTCTTTCTATCGGTTTTATTTTTTCGATTACGCAGTGCATCAAGATAACAACTGTTACGATTGAAGTACAGCTGCTTTTCAACGGGTATTACAATAAAATTCGAACTGGGACTTTTCACTGGTACGTTCAGACTATCGTAGTTATATTTACGTGGTATATTAAGAGCACGTGCGAGTTTGATTCGCCACTTTTTTTTATGTATTGCTTTTTTGCACTCGATATATCTTTGAATTTCTCGTTCATCTCCAAAATTTAATTTTGACTTAGACAGTCTGTCACGTATGCAAGAATTGACAGTGACGTTTTCCAATTTTCCACAGAATTTACAATTTCTCGCAATTTGTTTTGCATTCGCACATGTTTCCGTGCGCAGCTTTTCCCAGTACGGTGATTTACAGAATTCCAAATATCGAACAGGTTCTGTATATTGTAAATAATTCTTTAGATTGTTTATTGCATAATCCAAAGCTGTTTTTTGATGTTTTATTTTTTCTGTATCGTTAATTTTTGGCTTATAACGAGGCCAGGATTTTTTCTTGTAGATTTTTAAAGCATCTCCATTTTTATTCCTGATAACAACACTTTGATCCTGTGGAGTAATTTTACGGTCGTAGGCAGAATGTTCATTATGCATATGAAAATTGCAACATTTTTTATTATTAATGGGATAATAAGCGTCCAATTCTTGATTTGCCAAAATTTTGCAAACTTTTGTATTTCGATTGGACCATGAGAAATTATTAAAAAGTTGAGGTCTTAACCAGCCATACTTTAAGCTGATTAATTTTGGAACTTTACACTGTAATAATACATGTAATTAATATATATTATAATTCTACAAATACTACTAATCTACTAATTTGTAATTTTCGTTAAAATGACTCTTACCGTGCCATTAGTAATCATGCAGAAAAAAGCTGAAACACAGGCACTAAAAATACTGATACTTGCCAATTCTAGCATCAGTACCATAATTCTGATAAGTACAAAGATAGAATATATAAAATTGAAAGAATTTGTAAGGCAGCGTTCCGATATACATACTAAAATTTTACGAGGGTTATTCTCTTGTACAAAATCTAACTAGAAAATTCAAGTGTTCGCAAAGAAGTCTAAAATTACTCAATAAATAATAAGGGCTGTTCGGTCTCGCGGATTTACGGTGTTTCGAGCGCTACAGGTGTGTTAAAAAATTATCTGAAAGAACTGAAAAAATCTTTGCGTCTCACTCGAATACATTCAATAAACAAAGACACAACCTGTTCTTAACACAGCCGGCTCATTTTCGAACACATCCATATAGTGCTTCAAAGCACTTTAAACCCGCAAGAGCGAATAGTCCTATCTATTACGTACGGTTATTTAGAATTAATATGAGAACAAAAGATGCAGGTACCTACTGAAAGTGACTACTGACAGGTCAAGCAATTTCGAAATTGACGGAAAATGTTTCACAAGTAAAAAAAAAAAAAATTTGAACAAGTTCAATTTTGTAAAAATTATGTACGAACTCCTTGCGATTTGTATTTGCACATCTTGTCTCTCTTGTATATGTTGTTTCCTTACCGGAGCGTTGGTAACGTTTAACCTCTGTATAAAAAAGACTTTGAATTTCAATTTGAATATTATACTAATTTTTATTATTTATTTCAATTTAAATTTGCAGTGTGTAACGCCGAAAATTATCGATTTTCGACGTGGTTTGACCATTAACAAAGAGGGAAATAATACGTCGCACTTATCTTCTACTCGCTACAACGACCCTACAAGAAATATACCGGGTGGCAATTGTACCGATGAAAAATGTCCTGGAAGAAAATGGGACTGCGCATGCTCAAAAAAAATAATAGTACACACCCTGCCCATTCCGGAAGATCAAGTATGCGGAATAAAGAAAAGGGATGCCTGTGCCTGTCGTCCATTGCAATTGAAATTAAATGATAACTGAACTCATTGTGTCACATGTATATACAACGTCGATTAATTGTTCAACTAGAACGTCTTGCTTGTATAGAACTGAAATTTCATTTTATATCAATTTTCTACCGCAATAAAGTTTTTGTATAGGTTTTGCATGCTTTGATGATATGACAATTTTTATATTTACTACACTTTATTGTAATTATACGAATTCTTAGTTTTTTCATAAATTTCATATATGACTTTTAGGTTTTCACCGGGATGGCAATATTGTTTCTTGTACGACACTCTTCACAAGTACACTTTTCCGTTGTCATTAAATCTCGTGATAGCCGTTCGGGATCTTTAATGACTTGAATGATTTTTTCTTTAGAACAAGTTATGTCAATCTTTTCTTCATCTTGATCGTTGGTATTTATGGTATGTGGACATCGATAACAAACATACTGCATTGATCTGTAGGCATCCATTTTCTTACAGATTCGGGATGTACTGAAGTTTTGTATGGATTGAGAATTTTATTAATGTTTGAGGTTAATCGTTATTTATTATTATTTACGTAATTAATTTACTAGCAATGATACTAACCACATACTGCAAAATGCCATCCAGAGACACGCAACGCAAGCGCAGCTGCATAATGCCAAAGATGCCATTCCTTAGTAACGAGATAAATGCATTTTGTATTTTATAAACTGAATGAATATTTATATTTTTTAGTTTTCTTCGCTTTTTTTTTCATAAATTTTGCAATGCATGAAGGAAACGTAGTGGTATATACTCTTAAATTTAGGTTTTGAATATTTGAAATTTCACAATGGATCTTTCGTCGGATGATGATGTGAAGCTGGCTTTTGTTGGGAATCGAAACAAGTAAATCTCGCGAAATATTGTACAAGAAGTAATGAGTTACGAAAATTTTAATAATTTCCAGTCGATGAAATTATTGAAGTTTCATCGTTGACTTCGTAGTCGGAATTTAAAAAAAATCGTGATCTCAATTTCGTCTTACTAAAAAATGTTCACCAGAATCGCTAGATCTTCTACTAAGCTTTGTATACAACTTATATCGTCTGATCGGTTTTTGAATTTTATAATCAAAATTCAAATGACTTGAATCCTCTTTGTGATCATTATAATACTCTAATGTCTTATCATCTATTGTCGTACTCTGATTTTTGGATTTTTCAACAGTAATCAAATTCGTATCATTTCTTTTATTGGCAGACGAAATGTCAATCTCTACAGGATCTTTTATCTTTGTGATATAATTTCCCGATATGTCCTTTCCATTAAAATGTCTGGGAGAACAGCCATTATCAATTTCTGAATTTCTCTGACATACGCTCATGCTTTTCTGATTTCGTTTATTTTTATATTTATTTAGGGATCGAAAATCGCTGGAATTTCGTGATTTTCGTGAAATATCTTTCGACTTGCGATTATTGAATATTTTTGAAAACTTTTTCTTCAATTTTGGTTTTCGCATACAACACACACTAGAGTCTACCTGTTTGAGATTGTTCATAAATCTTGGACAACTAAAATGTCAAAATAGTAAAAATATGATATAAGTCCAATTAATATTTAAATAATAATTAATTCCATTTCGTACAATACCGATAATAAAATGCACCAGATGCAAGTTATACATGCACTATTACATAATGCAATTCCTTCCACAACCATGACTGTAAGAATTGTATCATTTTGTAAAACTGTAAATTTCGATGATTTTCATTCTCTTTTTTAATAACCAAAAATTGCAGATCCCACTAGTATCATACTGTCATTCATGATACAAACGTCAAGATACAAATTTCCAATGATATGAAACTAACTTCGCAGCCTGTTAAAAGAAATAAAAATTCGCTGCATTCAGCAGAACCTGCCCTAAGACCGCAAACGGATTCGATTGGTCAATCGATTGTAAATTTTGCAAGAGTTACAAATTTGACCAATCAGACGCGTTTGTTCCCTTAGCACTGTATTTGCTGAACACAGCAATTATTACACAAAACAATCAAAAATGTTCGGTAACGATTGTTTAACGAACTCTCGAATTTGCCTAAAAATGGAACGAAAATTTTTGTGCAATAAATTATTTGCAGTATCGTGTTGTTATGCTAGAAATTCTTGCATTATGCAGCTGTGCCTGTGTCGCCTGTCTTTGGTGTGCAAGCACTCTTGAATCGTAAGTTCATAATTACAATGTAACCTATTAAAAAAAAAAAAAAAGTTCTAACACGTACATAAAATTCATACAATTTTTTAATAGTGATAAAAAATCGAAATCACATCGTAAACGTCATAAGAGATTTAATCGTAGTTCAAGTTGTCCAGCAAATAGAAATTCTTCATACAAAAAAAACCCAAAGTCCTGTCAAAATGTATCATGTTCATTGAATACACCATTTGTATGGTAAGACAGAATATTTTGTATTTTTTATATTTTAACTGTAAGTGGTATCCGACTTTCCACTTTTTTTCAGTTGCAAATGCAACAAAAGATCCCGTAAACAATTACGACGTGACCAAAATTGTGACACTGCACGCAGCGCTTCAAATTTCTGCAAATCATATCCAATTGTTTGTTGCTGCTCGGATCCTGGTGCACAAAATACGGTATTCAAAAAATCCACAAAATCATCAACCACATCGTATGCACCGCCACCGACTACCTCATTACCAACAATGTGCAAAAATACTGGCATCGACAGTGCTCTACTTTCTAATCAATGCTCCAAACAGTCACGATCGAGAATGCATGAAGTGAGCAACAATGAACAAACCATGAATTTTTCGCTGAATTCACCAGAGGATATATCTTATAACATTTCACAAGATCCAATACAGCCATTTTTTAAATCACTGGCACCAACCAATGGCGTAGTACCAGAATTTGTACAACGTCCTGTCTATTCTAGGCTTCGATCTCCACGTACTAATTATTACAACTCAATCAAGAGGTAAAATTAAAATATACTATATATCATTTATTATCATTATTTGTTAATTGCATAATATTAATATATTTTTTTATCACGCATCACAAAAGTTGGTCTCCACGTTATGCAAAACCCTCATCGAATTTCTCTACGGCATTTACGTAAGTTATATATGTATATATATATAAATTGGAATAAAAATTTATATAATTAGCAATTATAGACACAGCAAATTCTTCACATTAATATTACTAATTGATTATTAGCGGCGCTCCATCGTACAAGCTTATATGTAAAACGTGCCAATTGGACAAGCACAAGTGCATTTGTGCTAATTTCTGGTGTAATCCGTAAGTTATCATTACAATTGAATGAACTACTTTTAGATATAATCAATAAATATTTTTGCAGAATAATCAGAGCCGGATATCCACAATTTTTTGGATCGAATTTTTCTTTTTCGTCCGATTCTCCAGAATTTCCTACAAAGGGTGCACTCCCCGATCGTGCACCTATCCTTCTGTATCCATGGTCAACTGTTCGTCTCCCACCGACGTCCGATTTGCGTGGAACAAATTTGAAAAATAAAAAATCGCGAAAAATATTATCCTCGGCTTGTAAACGCCAGAAATCAGGAAAGTGAGAGAAACCCGAACGTAAACGATGATCAGTAGTTTTTGTAATACTTCAATAATTTGTACAACTTGCGCAACAGTACTTTACCTCTTATGATTAGAATTTATAATAAACTTTGCATAACGTCAACAAATATAATTTTTTAAGAGGAAAAATTTCTACGACTATACGTCTCAATATATTATTATACACAGAATGCAATTACAAATGGAACACATGCATTGAAAATACGTCGAGCATGGGCAATGATTATCAGCAGAGGACATTTATTTAATTATAATTTCCTTGTTCACCGTTTATTATACAATCCATCATACAAATTACTATGAAACAACACTTATTGAGGTGTACTAAAATAAAAATTGTTACTTAATCATCATACTACGTTTTATGCATCCCCCTATCATACAAACAATCATCGTAGAGGACATTTATTTAATTATAATTTCCTTGTTCACCGTTTATTATACAATCCATCATACAAATTACTATGAAACAACACTTATTGAGGTGTACTAAAATAAAAATTGTTACTTAATCATCATACTACGTTTTATGCATCCCCCTATCATACAAACAATCATCGTAGAGGACATTTATTTAATTATAATTTCCTTGTTCACCGTTTATTATACAATCCATCATACGAATTACTATGAAACAACAGTTATTGAGGTATACTAACATTAAAATTGTTACTTAATCATCATACTACGTTTGTGATCCATCCTACTATCATGAAAACAATCATCATGTACTTGAAGAGTGACGAGTCAACCATGTCCATTAATTTACATTTACCTAACCGTTACGTAATGATATTTTTCCATTGTTTCATCAAATAAAATATAAATTCCAAAAATCTAAAGTAATGCAATAAATTGAATATATTATATCAGATACGCAAATTCTCAATAATCCAATCAGAGATGTAAATTCACATTGAAGTCGATGAATCAACAAAATCGACTTTATCAACAATAAGATATTTTTTTCAAGCAACAAACGTTTCAGCAATTCTTACGTCATTTCAAAAAAATCCATTGGATGACTTTTGTACTTAAAATAATAAAGCAGCACATACCGAAAGTATCTTGATCAATAACCAATACCGATAACAGTCAAAGTACTTTACATCATGTCCGGTGACTTCATATACCTATGCGAGTACCACAAATATGTAACAACGTCTGAGAAAAATAAAATCAAACACTCCTATGTATCTTGGAGCATAAGGTCGGTGTATGTGTATTTACATTGGCTATTGCGAAAATGTCACAGCCAATACACAGTATCTACGGAGAAGGTGGCATACTTATTCTCTAACAGTTCACGCTCGTATTCGCTTACGTCGGCACTCAGTGCGAGTGCATTGCGTCCTTTTCGCATATTTATGGTGGGGACTGAACGTGGGCTTCGAAAGAGACTGTCTCGGAGTAAATATAGTGACTGTAACGTAAGTGTCAGGGATAGACGTATACCCCATCCTCGGAGTCAAAGAAGATATTGAATTTTGCAAAATTTTTTTTCGGAAATAAAATTTGTAAAAAAGTCGATTAACACAATTTTCGTATAAGGTCACATTGATATTTTACACAGTGAGTATTTTGTTAATTTTTTTTAAGTTATTTTATAATTTTATTTTATTTGAGAACATCAAATACTTTTATGAAAATTTCGTATTTTAATACAACTACGTGAGATTTATTTTTTTTTTTAATTTTAAGTCGCTATGCATCAAATGATAATAGAAAGTCAGTGAATGGTTGTAAGTGCATTGCGTACTTTACGTAACAGTGATTGCATTGATTTTTCATTCTTAAACTATCATGTCTGTATTGGTGACTTTTGAGTCCTATCCGAATATCAATCTCTAAGAGGATATTCGTAGGGTATATAAAATTTTGCATTGTACTCATAGTGGTGCATACAAATTTCCAGTCACGTAAATACCGGAGAAACTTCAAAAATGAATAATGAGATATTTGAAAATTGTCAAACGTGAAGAGAACATTTCTCTGTCTACGATATTGCACGAGGCATATCAATTTTTTACTAGTCGCAGGAAATGTCACTCGACGGATTAAAGCAGAGAAAGTCCAATCACAACTTACGTACAGTGAATAGATATTGGGAATAACGAGCCCCTTGAAAAATTATTTGAACGATATAAGTAACTCTGATTGGAAATAGTTAATAACTTGTAAATTTACCTTTAACTAAAAAACAATAGCACCTAGTATTCATGGGTTAAAAAAATTGCCATTTATATCGTCACAAGAATATATTTATTGAAAATTATTGAAAAATAGTGTCTTTGGTGAATACGTATTTCGTATTCAAAAAGCTATATTTAATGTTCGTCAATATTGAAATATATTCCTCACATTTATCTCCAGCGTGTAAACATACTTGGACTTTACACAGAATCTTCGTTCACATTAATTTTCCGGATGTGAATTGCACAACAATCGATATCCTGCGGAACTTTACGTAATAATGGCCATGAAGTGGATAATAACTCAAGCTTCAATGACGTTATTGAAATTAAAAAAAATCCAAGTCATTTACTTGTTTCAGGTAACAATGACTTTGCTCCCGCCTACAGTGGAGCAGCAAAGACTTATAGACGAAGAACTTCACTCAGACCCGGAAGTGACGAAACGAGATATAGCCTCTCTTAGGGAATGGCTTTCCAAACAGCCTCATTTACCCCAGCACATGGGTCCGCAATTTTTTTTTTACCATTCGAAACTTTTTTCTATTCCTTTTTTTTAAGTCTTGTTTTACTGCAGTATCAGGCTCGTTTCAAAAATTTTACTAAAAATTTGATTTGTATTGCTGTAGAATTTTGATACGTGTATTTTACGACGTTGTCTAATATACCTATTTCATAAAATTTCAGATGATGATAGATTAGAAAAATTTCTTTTTGGCTGTAAGAACAGTGTGGAAAGATGCAAACACATGTTGGAAAGATATTTCAGCGCACGAACCGCCTTGCCCGAATTCTTTGCTGCTCGTGATCCACTTTCCAACGATATACAAGAATGCTGTGACGCTGTGTAACGATTGATCGTCTATGATATTACAAAAAATTGCGAAATCCATATTACGATAATATTACGCAATAGAATATATATCTATAATGTAATTTTTCAATTTCTTATTTTTTTTCTCAATTTTAGACAATACTTCCTTTTGCCATCTTTGACAAAAGAGGGTCACCGTGTGACTATTTTACGACTGGCGGACTATGCCTTAGAACGATTTTCTATTCAGGCTATCGCGAGACGCATTTTAATGGTGATGGATACACGTTTGGTCGAAGAAGTATGTTTGTCGAACATTATGATCTTCGATCTGAAGGTAATATACACGAGCACGGAATTTGGTATAGGATAAGATTTAATATTATAAATAATGAATAATATTACATTTGATACAATTTTCAGGGATTCACAGCTGGGCATTTTGCAAAATGTAGTCCGACTCAAAGTATTGTACGACACGCAATGTTGGCAACACAAGACAGTATGCCACTTCGATTGACTAGAGTTCATTACCTCAACGCGCCTGCGTTTATTGGAAATATTTTAGCAATATTTTATCCACTGCTCAAAGAGAAATTGATACAAAAGGTTCATAAAAACGACAAATAATACTTAAGAGAAAAATATAGTCCATCATTACCTTACACTAATCTGCGTCTATTTTTTATAGTTTCGCGTGCACACGGGTGATGGGGAGGAACTTTATCCATATATCGAGAAAGAAATATTGCCTGAGGAGTGGGGTGGAAAGGCAGGATCTTTTAAGGAGCTCAATGGTATAAAATTGATAAGTAATCGATATGAGGAGATCGATAAAAAATTTATTTCATTATAAAATTCTTTTCATTCTAGACGCATGGAGAAATAAAATTGAAAAGAACCGCGACTGGTATCTTCGCGAGGAAAAATTAAGTCGAACGAACGAGAACGCTCGTATGCCACATACGAAATCCAGCATTGCTGTGGAAATCAATGGCATTCAAGGCACATTTAGAAAGTTGAACATCGACTAAAACTTGTATTCGTTACTTTTCTTCCTACTGTACTCATCCAGGCAAGAAGTATTAATGAATTAAATTAAAATTATTATCAGTAATTGTGTAATTATTATTATAAACGTGACACGTGACTGACCGGAATATATAATTGCACTTGACATTATTTTACGATATTACGAAGAAAAAAAGATGAAAAATCTGATTAAATAATTATTTACACTTTCAACATGAATTGCATCTATTTATTACAAACAACGTAATCAGGCATACAGTCATAAGTTGAACATTTTAAACAAATATATTTCCGTATGACATTTTATTTATACTCCAGTATGTCGTCTTATCCAATCACGATTGCTAGAAACTCGAGAATAAACACCTGGTGAACCAGCCCATGCGCAACCGCTACCCCACGAAACGATACCATAAACTTTCTCATAAGCCACCAATGGTCCACCAGAGTCTCCCTATAAATTGGATTAAAAAATTATATCATTAGAATCAACTAATTTTGATCAATTTCGTACATTCGCATAGTTATATATTAACGGTCACAATATTTCGACCCAGACTAAATATTAATGTAAAATTATTACCTGACAAGCATCAACGCCACCGTCAGGGTATCCAGCACACAGCATGTCTTCGGAAAGAGACGACGGATCATACATGCCCTGGCATCGTTCCATAGAGATTTTTGGTACGACAGCCATTTGCAACTGTTCTGGAGTACTGCCCCAAAACTGAAAAAGAAAAGTTTAAATAATTAGAGAATTACATAATACTTGATATACCATTATTATTGTTTGTGTATTAATATTATTTTATTAATATAAACAATTTATATTTCAAAAACTGTTACAATAGTACTTACGGTTAATGTGCCCCATCCAGAAATTTCTGTCATGGTATCATCTTCCAGTAGTTCATCCTGTTCGGGTAATCTGATTGGTTGAGCGACTGCAGAAAATTCGATTGGATGACGAAGCTTGAAAAATATTATAATATTTTAAATTTCAAATTGTTTTATAATACACACAGGTTTAATATACTGCTTAATGCACTGTGTCATAATTATATGTAAATTGCAGATAATTAGTAATCATGCCATTGGATTGCGTTGCAATGCATGTCATTTATTTTTAATGTACCAGTACCTTAATCAAGCCAATGTCATTGGAATATCTAGATGGTGATGTGTATCGTTCATGAACGACGACAGAATCAACTTCGTGGATAATACCACCAGATGTCCTCATCGAGGAACCAATTCTGACCGTGTAGACGGAAACGTCTCTGCGAACGAAATAATTATTTGATTTTGCAAAAGTTGTATCTAGAAAAGTATGATAAATATATCTAAACCTTTGAATGCAGTGAGCGGCTGTAAGAATCCAGTAATCGTTGATTATACTTCCGCCACAATTATGCCTGCCGCTAAGCAACACGGAAACCTACGATGGAAATTTTCATATTAACGTTAGATTATAAAAATGTCAGAGAATGAATAATTAATCAGTTAATTAATTAATTAATTAATTAAAAGTTTTTTAAAGTACAAATCACTTCCTTAATAAATATTATGTAAGTCTCACCTGAAACGGTTTTTTATCAATAGTGGTATCTTGTCCACCCACGATTCGCGGCGGAACCGCACCTGCTAAAACTGTATAAAATATATAATGAAATAGAATAGATCTGATGCGTTGGTTACTTGATGAATGACAATTGATACAACTTGTTTATAGAAACAATTAAAGTCAATTTTTTCACTTACCGTGGGCCGTCGCAAATATTGCAAAGACGCTCAGTGCTAACATGGTGAACAAGTTTTTAGTGGACAGAACGAATTTTCCAAAATGAATCTTTTATATATCCTACCGAAATCGTTATCTGCGTTGATCAATGTGATTTTGTCGTAAGACATATTGATAAATCAGTTCAGAGCTAAGACAGCTCTGTTCATTAACCTATAATTACGATGTCATCAAATCCATTTTAAATGCGATTAAAATGTAATCAAAATGAGCCATGGACTCATGTTAATCCTATGATTCTTATTAGATAAATGGTTATGTACAGCATTGATATAAAAAATTAAAAATATAATCGTTATCAGGAAATATATAATATTAAGAGGATGAAATATATTACAATGGTAAATAGGTAACATTTCCATATTTGATTTGTATTGTTTCCAATAGGTAACATGGTATAGGTAACATACTGTATGACATTTTTTATTTTTTTCATAACAATAAACTGCACTCTTACTTTTACCAAGAATGCAATAAAATACATAAATGATAAACGCATTATACGTTAAGATAAAAATGAAATGTGTATTCTGAAAAAACAAATTGAAAAGAATATTCAAATTGTATGAAATTTTATGTAACAATAAACAAAATTTTACTTATTTCTTACTAGTGAGAATCTCAAGTTTTGTATTACCGAAATTTCTTAAATTTCAGACAGATAATACAAAAGATTGTTTGATATTAAGCCAGTGTCATGGATAACAAGTAATCTCTTAAGTTTTTAACGGATTTTGTTACCGTACAATGATGGATTATCATTAATCAAGATTAAAATAACTATCATAATGATATTATCATTGCAAGAAATGATTGTATGTGTACGCAAAGAATTTTTCAAGTCGAATTTGCACAACAGAAAGTACATATAGGTGTTACCTTAGAATGAGTGCTGAAAAGGACAGTAGAATCGTACAGTGCATGCTACGTCCGCTAGATAGCACCACGTGTTCCATCGGTAATTTATATTTTTTTAACCTTGTCATTTCATTATTTTAATAAGTATAACATACATAGACTGTCATATAAGAAGTAGTTTTATGACATTGCAATAACAGTTGCATCAATTCAGTTAGTTCGGTCTGTTGATACGTCAGTTAACGAAAAAATTGAATAAATTATTTGACGGAAAGCTTAGAAAAATAATCAAATCATATAATTTTGCATAATACAACCATCAACATTTAGTAGCAAGTTAAATCAAATGACAATAACCTAAAATTGTAATAATTGCAATGCCATACTGAACACATAATTAAATAATTAAATAATGCAAACGAAGAATTTCGTTAACAGCATTTTGATAATGGAATATGTATTTTATAGGTGATGAAAAATCACATCGAGCTTCAGTTTTAGACTTGAAATTCAAGTTCAGTGATTTGAGTTATCCCATGTCAAACAAAGTCGCAATGCCGGCACTTCTTTCATACTTAAACGGCTTGATGAGATAATGATCCTGACAGATATGCGATACAAGAGGAATGCCTTGGCCGCGGATTATCATAACTATTACGCAACATTGCATCACTGTCGTCTAAAGGATAGCCAACCCTGTGTCCACATAGGCCTTGGCATTCGCCTAATTGCGGTTGACGTAGGTTAGGTAGACGTCGTGCAAAATGACTTTGCGTTAAGCTTACTTTTTATTGTAATGTACAATTGTGCTTGTTAGGCGAAATAAATTTCCATTCATATTCTTAATTACCTCGTGGATTTCAGATACATTTGACTGTGATAAAATTCAATGTAAGAGGGTGGAGTAGCGTGGGATAAATAGTAAAAAAAAAACTGAACAATTTGTTTTTATTCATTGCTTGTATTAGGATTATCATCACTGAGTGCAATTTTTTGGTGAATGGACATACATAGGATGTTCATTGGTATACAGTCACTACCCTACCGCACTATACATGGCAGGGTGGATTGATTTTCCGCTGACTGACGTCACGCAGAATTCAGCATGCGCGAGATGCGAGAAAGACGTGCAAACCGACGGAGCAGCTCCAAATCCTGATTTATCAAACGTTTATTCTTAGTGTTCCGAAAATTCGCTTATATCAGTTCAGAGATGGCGTTCTTCTTACAATGTATTATCTCTGTTAGGTATGTTTATGAAATGTCGAAAAAACAAAAATGCAGATGCCTGAGAGTTTATAAATACGTGCAAATATCAGATGACGTAAGAAAATCAAACTTTAGAAACTTTTCAAATAGAATACTCTGAATATAATTTGCAAAATATAATTTATACAAATGAACTGGCATATCCCGCAAACATTAATGAATTAAGACTTACAATAAACTGCAACGACATACGGAACAGCTTAATAATTAATATATATCGCATCGTTGATCAATATTAGAAAATTTTTTTATAAAGAATGTCCTTTATTATACTATCATCGTATAATAATACAACTTACCTAACTGCACTTAGAGTCATAAACCCTAGAAGCAATCTCATAAAAGTGCACAACCCATAAACTTTCCATACCGTTGAAAAATACCTGATAATCCCATAACTATTTCCAATACTTATCATGGACGATATTTCTTTTTAAACAAGTCCAATACCTTCAATCTCACAAGGGTGCAGCACTCTTATCACAATTTAAATGGTCCCAGATAACCTGCGCCCAGCAACACAAGACTGTACCCAGTGTTATAAAAGCTTCTCTTAATTTCCACGCTCGATACTCGGCATGGTATTAAAGCATAAAACAAGAAAGCGTCGCACAATTTGATAAATTCGTATTCCATGCTTATAATAATGACTGTCCAGAGCAGGCAGCAGCGGAGAAAAGGGAGACACGGCGGTGTGGTCGGGAGTTGGGAGGTCCGTTGGGGTCACAACGGGTTCATTCAGTGGCGTGCTTGCCGGGAACTTGGCTCGAGTCGATTCGAGGTACGGCAAAGCGCTGAGTGAGGGACGAACCCGACAGTCGCTGATCGTCCGCGACCCCGTTCAATCGTGGCGTTCGTGTCGTTGGACACTACTGTTACCCACCCTGTATCGCACACTCGTTCAGTTTCTTCACATCACCATTTAACTGCACTTTACCCGTCCGAACAACTTCCACCTCGCGTCACTCTCTCATGACAGTGTACGTAATTGTCAAAAAACATTTATTTTCGCTACCTTAAACAGCAATCCGTGACTTCACGGACATCCGGTATGTACCCGTGCGCGCACCACTGTCAACCACTCATTTTTATCTGATGTAAGATGAGATGTCGGACTGCCACTGCTAATTCTCGCCGATTCTCGACTTCCTAACCCTATTCGTAAAGGTGGGTGCGCAAAACGGATTTCTATTTTCTTTGTTGCCTCGACGTGTTGATGCCGAGCACTGGCGATCAATCCCGGGTACCTGGACGAAGCCCTGAATATGCTCCACGGGGATGCTTGTGACGTTGCCCGGATTCTTGACTCTTGTTGTTTCTATGGTCCTCATGAATTGCTCTACTACGCAATACTTTGCTCATGGGAGGAATGGGTGCCTGTGTTTTCGACGTGTCACGCTTCGCTGTCACTTGCCTAGTTGCTTTCTGGTCAATGTCAGTGGTCGGCTGTCGCGTGGTGTTCCACGATTATCATCTACGTAAGCATGTCACGTTCCTGCGTTACTATCTGTCTTATATATACCGACGCAATGATGATTTTTCGTCCATCTACGATCGGATTAATACAATTATTTACTACGGTGTGACGCGATTTGAGGTTAATGACAGTGTGGTTAGAATTATGAAACATATTCCTGGAGGTTATTCTAGTGACTGTTCGATGCCTTGGTGTATATGACCTCGAATCTCGGTAAAAGCTTAAAGGGAAATATTGATTAATGACTTTTTTCATTCTATCACATCTTATTAGAATATTTTGACAGATCGAGTTAATTTCAATTTACGCCACAGTATATACGCGTTTTATTCAAACAGACTGATAATGAATTTTTTCGATCGATTCTTTAAAACATTATCGCTCTCTGATCCATGTGGATTTGACGATCGATGATTTATCGCTGTATGAAAAATTAATTTATCAAAATATCATCGATCAGCAATAGATAGGTATAAGATCGTAGATAGATCATGGCGACGATGTGAAAATAAAAATTTTTCATTGTAACATTCTTTATGAGCCGTTTTATTTATATTACTTAGCATCGATCCTAAAGGATATTAAATATTTGATTTTACAAGAAACCGTCGCTGTATCACGTATTTGCTCTTTCGCCTGGTTACTTGCATTATGAAAATTCTCTGAATAATGAACACGTGGGTAATGGATCCGACGGAAGAAAATTACAGCACGCTAGAAACTCATCAGTGTTCCCTTTTTTTTAAAATCAAATAAGTCTATTCAAAAGAGTAGCTATATAGAACTAGCTATATAAATTTTTTTATTTTTTTCTATTCACAAGTAGTTCATAGTACGTACACTGTAGTAAAGAATTTTCTCGTCATCCTGCAATGCGACAACCAAGTGTACAGTCAAATGACTTCGAGTTCCGTTCTCACCATAAAAATACATAGCCGCCTAACAAACCATACCAGTTGCCACTTTCATGCCTTCTCCATGCACGAATTCATACTTCCGTGTTCCATGCATTCCGAGCTGCAGGATCGATTACCTGCCACATAATATATTATATAGGACGACCCGCTATAAATTGAGAATCATGTAAAACTCCGACATATTATATCTGACGCATTTCTCTCAGCAATTCCAATTTCAGTTACGCTATAAAATCTATATTTCGTAATACATTCACGGTATACAAAATCGTCTTGCTCCAATTCACGTGTAGCGTCGTTGGTACAGAAGCCCTTCGTGTACGTGGAGTTGAGTGGAAAAAAAAGGTAACATAAAGAGATGCCACATGAAGGGTTAAAAAAATTTTAAATTAAAAGGATATACCAATTCGTAAATCTTTAACCTCTGTCGTATGTTCGTCGCACATCATCTATTTAGTCCGAGGCTTTAACAGTTTCCGGTGTCTGTTTATGAGGAGTGCACGATTACCGCTGCATCAGCCTCGTCTATTTAGGCCATTGGTTCAAGAGCAGGTCACGTGCGCTATATAGACAGTCAACGGTCCTAGGAACAAAGGGAACGGCGGGACTTCCATGCACGAATTTCCCATATGGATGTATATCGAGTCTGATAAGCGTAAGAATGGTCTTGTTGGTGAATTTATACGTGAGTAAAAGTCTGAAAGAATAATCAACATACGACCTTGGGATACGTCGTTGAAAATGATTTAGACGTTTACGATGCCGTTATTACAGTCCTAAATACTTCTGCTTAATTGAAGCAATGCGACTGCCAATTGATCCTGTTTGCGTCCAAGTGCAGTTGATACTTTTATTTTTTTTTCGAGAAATATTGAATTACGCAGTAATTTAATGCTTTATGAAAAGTGAGAGAGTCGTGTTACAGGTATGATCAGTGACGTCACAGAAGTGACATAGTAATTTCGTAAGTCATTAAAACAGCAAATCATTCGAAGTACTCAATGTTGAGACACTTGCTACAGTAACAATTGTCAAAGTTGTGACAGGTCGGGGATAAAACATATTTGAACAGTTGGAATATCGCGTTATAGTCTATCGTAAAGCAAATGCAGTAACGGAAACGGATTTGAAAGCTTTGCGACGAAAGATAAAACGTCGCTAGACGTTTCAGACGGAGGGAATTGTACGTTTGACAGTTTGCCGATGACGCGACCTTTGCAAGCACAAAAATCGATAAGCATCATTCGCAAAAGAAATTTCATTCACGATGCTAGAATCATGTCGAGACAATACGACTGTTTGATCGGTACGAGATATTTTCAAATTTTGATATTTTTTTTCATGAAAATATCTCCCTGCGTATTTACACGTCATCGCGAGCACATATTTTGCACGTGTCTCTAACGAAATTGTTTTCCCCTCGAAGTATAACTGTACTGTCACTCATACTAGCATCAGAATGTACACGAAGCAACCAGTAGAAACTTTACTTAAATATTGTACTTAGACTTTACCAACTTGATATCACAGAAGTTTTCCCAGCTGGAGACAAGGAAATTTTTTATATTTTTTTTCGAGCTGACTGACATTGCGAATATCACAATTTCATTTTCCACACGTGACTGCGAAACAGTTACCGATTTTTTGTATCTTCATTATGAGGTGGATTGATATGATTTTATTTGGACTTGATACCTAAATTACTATTTGATCAGGTACTGTAAACTTGTGCTGAGGATTCTTATGAAAATTTTTACACTCTGAATTAATATACTGTATACATTAAGTACTAACCATTAGAAATATGACAGTTGACATAATTCTCTTCTCCATGCCCGATAAAGCTGTTACTCTTTATTTGAATTTACGAATTTACTTACTTTCTTTTCGGCGCGATTGCAGCACACAAAATTGTCCAGATAGTGCACGCTACTTAAGAATGACATGTACTCCTAGTGCACGTGGCCCTCACATTGAGACCTCCGATCGATTTATGCTTATAGCTGAGAAACATGAGGGAAGACTGTGCTAACTTTTCCATTAAAATTATCGAACTGCATTTGACCTCTCGACACGAAAGAACGTCTAACAAATTCCAGTTGACTAAGTCAAAAAGTAATTTCTTGTTCTAAGCTTGTCTGCATAATTTTAAAATAACCCATAACCCTTAACGTTCGTAACTTAATTAGGATTTCTTATAATCAACTTTACCATAATTTGTACGATAACGATTTACAAAATTGTACCTGTTAAAGTCTTTCAATGGTAATATTTCCTTCTTTCCATATATACATATATATTCCTTTAGGTCAGAGATATGGATCGATCGAGCGTCGCGGCGTCGGATCATCGGACGCAATTTCGCGAGTCGATACCCAAGAATGGCGAGATCTTGTAGCTTTGCATAATGGCGATACAGTCTAAAGAATTTTAGGGTCTAGAGAAGATTATATATACGTGCACATGGCCAGGGTTAAGGTGAGCTTAAGGCAGTGGAGGTTCGATTCTAAACATAGACTAGACTCTCGGGGTCAAATCAATAGTCACATGGAATATATATGTACATACATACACATATAATGTTCATAGATCCGGACTACCGTACCAGCATGCCTATAATATTTCTTTATTGATGACCAACAGCGTGGCTTTGTTGGCTCACATAAACGGATTACAAATAGCCATGACTCTTTGTGAAAAGTTTAATACAGGACGTAATCAGCCACGTAGGATTTATGCTGAATTATTATTATGACCGTAATAAATTAATAATGAAAATAAAAGTTGAATTGACACCAAAATTATTTAGAGAGAAAATTTTGTGACGGCCTATTTTAAACGTAGAGTATTCGTGACTCCTATTCGTACGTCTCCTCGATGCGCGTGGTACCGTAGGAAATATTTTTCTTAAAATAAATTATTTCACGTAAACTTTATTTGATGCCTTTTAATTTTTTTTTATCGTAGTAAAGAGATAACAGTAAATATTTTGTTCCATATTTGAAACACTAATTTTATCTGTGATTTATGGTGTGTATCGAAATGTTTTGCGAGTAGTCAAAATGATTGGTTAATCGATTCCAAAAATTGTAAGGTACAGTTAGAGTGTGCAACAAAAAAATCTGACTTTAAAAATCGATATAACTCGGTCGATTTAATAGACTGTAACTATCGCTAATTAAGTGCAAATTAACGTTCAGACACGCGAGTCTTGAATGCTCCCAATATAACCGTCGATTCAAATTACTTAGATTGCAATTTTGATCACTTTCATTTTTTTGCCGTGTATGAAAAATCTTTTTTTTTTCCTTAGTACGAAAACCAATCTTAATTTAAAAATCCATCCGAAGCCCTAAAAAAGCATAGTCAATAAAATGTAACAGTGATTTCCTAGTATTATAATTAAAATAAAGAATCCCATGTTAAAAATACTCGTAAATTCTCATTTTGGCTTAATAAAAATTTTAATTAAGTTAAAACCTCCAAATAGCAAATTTCACAACAGGCTAAGTTTATACCCAACTATAATCACATAACCAAATGTCCATATCACGATAAACCTTTAAAGTATTCTCATTCCACAAGAAAGGACAGCGCCAATCGCGCGGCCGAACCTAAGATCAATAAAAAGGAATGCCGCATCGTCAACTTAACTCGCGAAACCCGTTCTTTCCTCGGATTTAGCAACGGTGTCGAGATGCAAAATTGCTGCAGCAATTATAAACCACACCTAACCATTCATTGCATTCGCGCATGCAATCATTTTGATAATCATCAGGAAAATTATAATTTCCACCAGACACCACGTATTCCATACATATGTGTTTAATATATATCTCAAAGAGATATTATCCTCGATTATTACTTGGTATAAAAAAAAAATGACCAATTACTACATGATATCTGGCCATGAGAATTAATTAGACATACAGAATAACAATGGTGATAACGTAATCATAAAATCCATATATGAAAGCATGGGCTAGTTATATTAAAAAAAAAAAAAAAAAAAAAAAAAAAAAAAAAAAAAAAAAAAAAAAAAAAAAAAAAAAAAAAAAAAAAAAAAAAAAAAAACCCATGATCTTTCCCAACAGATCGAATGCGGTGGATGCTTCAGTTGGAAGCAACAGAAACGTCACGTGCACCAGCAAGGAAATCGAACGAACTGGACCGAGAAAAGGGACATTGGATGAGAAGGGGTGATTGCCGGTGATGGACAATGAGCAACCGCACCAGGAGCTGGTCAAGTGTGTGGTCGTGGGGGACACCGCGGTCGGAAAGACCAGGCTGATCTGCGCCAGAGCTTGCAACAAGCACGTATCCCTTTCGCAGTTACTGACGACGCACGTACCCACAGTCTGGGCTATCGATCAGTACCGAATTTATAAGGACGTAAGTGCACTTGGATATTGGGCAATATCGTATACAGGGTTGGTTACTTTTTACGTGTCTCTCAAAGACATCACAGCGAATAAGATTTGATTGACAAGACGAGTAGTAGGTAAAAAAAATTATTGTCGCACCGACTGAGGCAATATTGATAAGAATTTATAAGTCATAATACTTATTGGATTCATAACCGTTTTTATGAGGAATCGGGTATAGTTTTAGTATTGTATACTGTATATGGTGTTCTTTGGATCTGAAATATGTTATAGGTATATGGTATTTTTGGTACGTTGGACCGACGATAAATACGAATTATTTTTGTATCCCGAGAGACTCGTTGCACGGTAGACTGTTACGACTCACGAAATGCGTTCTTTTATATTTTCTCTTACGGCTACGTTTCTACGCGACTATTCCATGGCTTCATTTGTACCTTTACATTAACTGCTATCTCGTGCTGTTGCACATACAAGCGCACTCGTCCATTGCCATGATACTCTTTTATACTGATAAACCAACATTGGGTTTTATCAACGTAAATGGGATGTCATTGGCGGCCATCGATCTTTGTGAAATCCTAACAGACTTCCATAAAGCCATTTCACGACTGGGATAGAGGTTATGGCATAAAGGCTTTACCCTAAAAGACAATTTAGCTCAGACACGAACCACTGTAAATTGATGATGATCTAAGGTGGGTAATAGTAGGAATCTGTATATCGATTCGTAAGGTGAAATGGGAAAATGAATTTAAAAAAATAATCTATCAGACGGCGGACTGTGAAATCTGATTCAGAAGAATCCATGAATTATCGTTTCGTGAATCCTCGTGTTTACTAATACCTATTTGTAAAAGTCCTATGCTCAATTTTCCATTGAGCTATTTTCATGATGGATCGTTAATATTCAATTCCCTATAAAATCCTTTTGAAACGGAACGGATTTTTGTGTATCTTTGATAAATAAACGAGTGATACGAGAAACGAATGAACGAGCGAACAGACTGGGAGAAATAGATATTTTATATTTCGTTATCAAAGCGAGCTTGAAAAATAGACATAAGAAAGCTTGTTTTAGGAATCTCTTTTATCATCAAAGTTTCATATCTATGCATATATTATACTTTTTTGAATTTGTCAAAGGCAATTCAGGAATTCTTATCTATCCGTAACAAACCAGTAAAACGTTTACGATCGATTTGACATATTTATGGCAAACTTATTCATTCATACATAGAATTTGCAAAACTGTACCTTTGGCGTACCTGTCTAGCTATCTACGTGGTTATTGTCAAAAATGAGATAAGATCGTCCTGAATATTTTTACCGATAACTTCCTCTTATATTTTTTCAGTATTAAAGTGAGAAATATTGCTAAATTAAACGAAACTTGTATCGTCCACTACTAGGGTGCGAAATTTATTAACGCTATACAGATCACTTGTTTACATAAATTCAGTCGCGCATTATTACTCGTTTCTGGCAAACAACTCACTGTCGTGAATGTCGTATGACGAAAACAAAAGTGTACAGAGTAATTATTACCGCCATTATTCACGTCGTCGTGAAAAATATACATTCGTTTGCGAGCTTCTACGACGCAGTCGCATTTCTACTTGGCCGACCAATGAACCTTGAATCGGGCAAAGCACTTTAAGCGACGCGCATTAAGAAGAGAATTTGTCTCCACAAAAAAAAAAATCTGCGGCCACCTTAATGATCGTGTATACTGGCACGATAAAGATATTACAATTAATGAAGCATTTTAGTTGTTAGGCTTTGGCAGCCAGAATTTTTGAAATTCATAGCTTCCAGAGATGAATGCCGAGTCCAGTTTCAGTGACGTTTGTCGACGTTTCGCAAACGTTTCAGTCTACGTTATCAGGACTAGAAAGCTCCGACGCTGAAGTTCCCTTGTTTCGTAGAATCCTCACAAGGAGTCCTCCCTGATGATGCAGACCCGAACGTTTGCGAAACATCGACAAACGTCACTGAGACTAGACACAGCATAACTTCGGTAGCCGTAAATGTTAACAGCGCAAACAACATAATAAATTTCACAGGAAAATTATTTTTTCGAATTAATAAAATTTTTTAGTAAAGTACCTGCAGAATAAAAAGCCGCGTTATAAGATACGTAGAAACTATAAGATTTGCGATAATACTTTATAATACAAATATTTGCGTATTCATCATTACCATAGAACAATCGTATTTAGCTGTTGGCGCTGATGATAATAATGCAATTAAATTCTGATAGCGATTCATGGCTGAAGATTGATTTATCATTTATATACGATATTTGCGATTCATTTATAACGATCATTTTCTTCCTAGGTTTTGGAACGTTCCTGGGAAATCGTGGATAATGTGAATGTCTCGTTACGACTTTGGGACACTTTTGGCGATCACGAAAAAGATCGTCGATTTGCATACGGCAGGTAACGATACCCGACGAGCATTATTACAATGAATTATAAAATCCAAATGAACGCTTTACAACGTAATAAAAAATTGAAGTATAGTATAAATAAGCCTATCATCCGGGCATTTTGAATGAGAAAATTATTTTAAAAAATTTATTACTATTCTACAGCATCATTATATTTTTGTTACAACAGATCAGACGTTGTGCTACTATGCTTCTCCATTACGAATCCCGTATCGCTGCGAAATTGCAAGGCGATGTGGTATCCAGAGATTCGTCGATTTTGTCCCCAAACTCCCGTACTACTTGTGGGTTGCAAAAACGATCTCCGATACATGTATCGAGATGAGACATACCTCAGTTACTTCCGCGACCGCAGTCCTTTTGTAAGGTAGGTCGCCAGCTCGGATGGCATTAAGATAGAACTTTAAGAAATACCTATGTGAATAACGCTTTCGTATACTTTCGTTTCTTACGTCCTCTATCAGACTTTTATCGCTTTCAAGAAATCTCATGATAACGTGATATCGCATCCTGACTGACTGTTGTGCAATTATCGATTTCAATGTACCTGTGACATTAGACATAATTCAACTTTGCACGATCTTGACATATCAGAAAGGTCTATCGAGATGATAAAGTTCACACTGATACCCTACAGTATCATTCACGGACAAAGTCGATCTTAAGTAGAGCTATAAGCTTAACCCCTTTCCAGACTACCTGCTCGATAGAAATTGGCACATAAAGTCTACGACGAAGATAATGTCATTACTAACATCGAAACTTGCATACAAAGTTCAATCATCGAAGTGACACAATTTTCTCCTTATACGTAGACTGCTAGTATAATTTTAATTAAATCAATACCATCCAATCACAGCAAATATAGAGCTTTGCCACGAGTAAGTACAGGGTGCGCTAATTGAAACGTACAATTAATTAAGGGCGACACGGAAGAGTGATTTAGTGATGCCTGATCAGGCAAGAGCAGTAGCAAGAGAGTTGGGAATCTGTTATTACGAAACCAGCGTGTTCACGTATTACGGCGTGAACGAAGTCTTCGAGAATTCCATACGAGCTGCTTTGATAGCGCGCAGACAACAGCGATTCTGGATGACGAATCTGAAAAGGGTACAAAGACCGTTACTTCAGGTATACACATTATACAAGTACGTCGAGAACGAGTAAAGAATTATCATACCTAAATGCACTTTATGGTTTCAGGCTCCGTTCTGTCCACCAAAACCAATTCCGCCTGAAGTCTCTTTGGCGCCGAGCACTTACGAGGAGAACATGAAAGCTTTGTGGACGAGGCCTGTTCATACAGATGTCACTTTAATTGCTGGTAACTGCTCGTTTCCGGCACATCGATGTCTCTTGGCTGCGGCCTCACCGGCGTTTCATCGGCTATTCTCAATGGAGCTGGTTCAGGAACTGACACCTCGTAGCTCCAGCGAATCCAGCATGGTACTGTGTAATCATTAAATATTTGTATTAGATCAAGATCATTAAATTAACTTGATATTAACACCAGGTGAGTACCTTCGGCGAAGCCACAGTCGGCGACTTTAACGACGATACCGAGTGTCTAATTCGCATAGATCAGTGTAAGCCTGCCAAGTGAGTAAATCAGACTGAATACATTGATATACTGAAAAAGAAGTAGGACCCACTTTTTAATGCCGTTCAATATTTTCATCCAGAGTCTGGGAGCAGCTTAAGCGACGTTCGAGCTTTCAGGTGCTACCGACCATGGACAGTCAGAGAAAAGCAGCAGGTGCAATGAGAGAGCTTAATCATCCGGCTTTCCAAAATATTCGTATATCACTGGTGCGTTTGCACTGACTAACTGACAAACTGACAAATTTAATGAATCGTCGTGAAGTATTGAGATGCACTTTTCTTGTTTTTTTTTTACAGACTGAAAATTCACATGGAGTACAACAACCAACGACAATAGTAACGCTTTCGAAGCTGGTGACGCCACAGGCAATGCAGCAATGCTTACAATTCATATACACAGGAAGTCTGGATAAACGTTATCACGATCTCCAAGTACGTATATCCTTATGGGTCAAAGCCAATTAAAAGATAAACAGTATTATTAAATATTCTTTGCGAGCTGTAACGCAACTTTTCATCAAGTAGGTACGTAGGTTACGCAAGAGGTCAAAGGTAGTCACCGCGTTAATGACGTTATAAAAAAATTGACCAGGGAATCTAAATGGCATTTCTTCATCGAGACATCATTCCTTGTCTAATGAACGATTAAGAATTGGATGATCTTGCGATCTAAATGATCTTCGATCCACGTGAAACAGTCGTTTCGCAACGATCAACCTAGTAGTCCCGGATAACGTATTGGCCCGCTCCGTGTAACTAACGCGAATCTATTCTTTCAGACAGCTCCTATCGGGCTTCTACTGGTTAGTACTACATTAATGAATGTTAGATGATATCCATTATACGGCGGTACGTACAATCGTTAATGAAATAGATTCATCTAGTCTCGAGAAGAATTTCCTGTCATTGCCCCTTTAGCCCTGCGAGATCATCACTCATCCGACGAGCATGTTTTGCATTACGAGAGACAGTACTCTATTGGCGAACTCATGATCGTTGCTCATCTAATGTATATCTCTTGATTCTTAATTCGACCATAGGTCATATTCGAAGCAAGAAAGAAAGCAAGAAATGAGTATCGTTCCGACTCGAATTTACATTCCAATTGAGATACCACTGAATGAATGGAAGAATCGATAGGAAATTAATCGAAAGAATTCGAGACGGTTCGAAAGAAGTTATTATTTGTTTATTTAGATCTTACGCGTAGGATCCACATTCGAGAATTCGTAAACGTACCGAATAAAAAATTGAATTTAAAATATATATGTTTATCGGATCTTGAGATTTGGTATGTCTATGGAAATTTTCGAATGCGGTATATATATCGTTCTCATCGACATCCGATCTAGCACCACTTAGGATTCTATAGTCTTATAGACTTGACTACAGTCCTTCACGTTCCCGACTGTGCAATTCTATTTGAATGATGACGTAGGCCATTCTTCGATCTTGTCCACAGGAGATCAGGCAGGCAGCTGAATTTCTCGAGTTGCCACAGCTCTTGATGGTCCTCAGCAGCATTCAGACGAGAGAGCAATTCATCAACAGTGATCTCAATAATCAGTACAAGCAAGTGGTAAGACAGCGACTCGATGACATCTGCTTGGAGCAAGGTAAATTTACGTGCAGGATCGTCCCTTTGATAAATCTGTTGGCCAGTACTGTAACAAGAGAATATTTATGCAATAGGTTTATTCGCTGACGTTATGTTCGAATTGGATGACGGAAGTATGCCAGCGCACAGGGCAATACTCACTGCTCGATGTGACATGATGAAAGCCATGTTCTCTGGGGATTTCCGCGAGAGCAGTGCTAAAGTCGTGAGAATCTTTATCAATATCATTATCGCTCTTACTAAGTTTTATATCAATATCCTTATCTTCGGTTCTTTACAAATGTAGATAGTCTTTCCTGGCGTGAGAGAATACACGTTTCACAAGTTACTGTGTTACCTGTATACCGACGAGGTTCCGGCGATTTCGTCGGCACGCTGTCTGAATCTTCTCGAATTAGCCAACAGACTGTGCTTACCGCGACTTGTGAACTTGGTCGAGAACAGAGTGATCGAGGATCTCGATAGACTTTCGCAAAACGATAGCAACCAGGCGGTAGAAAACTGTCTGAGGTTACTAGAGCCGTGCAAGGTTCGTAGAAAATGAATTTATTGGGCACTGGTCGAATGATAACTGAGATTGAAATTTTTGTTTTGTACAGTTGCACAATGCAGATCAATTAGCCGATTGGTGCATGAATCATCTATGCGTGAATTACAATAAACTATGTAAAATGTCACCGCGCAGCGTGCGGCTTCTGCATCCGGAGAATCAAGAGTACCTGAACGAGCACCGATGGCCGCCAGTCTGGTAAATGGAAACTGATTGTCATTGTTTTTTTATTTTTTTTGACGGAACAAATTTTTTAAATAATTTTGAAAAATCACCTCACCAAGGTATCTCAAGGACTACGACTACTATCAAAAGTGTCTGGCCGAACACGACAGAGAGAACAAACCCACGCTCAAGAGGAATCGGAATCAGTCGGGGTGTCTTTGCTTTTCCGGATCGAGCAAAGCAAGACGAGAAGCTAATTCAGCAACGAACGAGACCCCCGTCGATCGGCCGCTGTTTGATGCTTCGACCGAATCCGGCGAGCCAGTATGACAGGAGCCAAGCGGCTCCAGCCGCTCTGTCAGATTCATTCTGATCCTCCCCGTGCTCATGATATTCATCTGCACTATTTTTACTATTTTGATACTGCTACAAGTTTCTACTTAAATGTCGAATAACAATATAGATGAGAAGCCCCCGGTCTCTCGACGAAGACACGCGTCCGCGTAAAATCGACGTGCCGTCGTTTCGTAAGAGTCGTCGACGGAGAAAGAAAAGTGAAGAAAATTAGGAAGAAAAAAATGAACAACGAACAACAACAAAAAACAGTCTCGTCGCTGCGCTCTCGTTCGAAGGAGAGCTAAACGTCATTAATCTTCTTTTTTATTTTTTTAAATTCGTCATCGTGCACGATCTTTTAAATTTACCAAGAATTCTCGAACGTTACGCTCGAGTAATGTGCCATTTTTAAGATACGATATTATTAGTCAAAGAGGAACTTTGACTCAAGGTCTCTCCAGTCGGAGTTACCACGAATCCACCTCTGCTGCTTGCCGATCAGTTCATTCATAAAATTCGTATCGATGCGTGCCGAGCAAAGTGAGTGAGGTTCTTGAAAATTAATGGAATCTCAAAGCATAAACATTTCTATCCAAATCTTCTTTGATACGCGTAATATGCATTAACGTTCTATGAAAAGACTATACGATGTCCATGCGGTATGCAAAAAAAAAGCTATACTAGAGGAATATCGAATCCATCACCGAGGGATGAATCAAACTTTTTTAAATTTACGTAGTACAAAACATTCCTGATGTCGTGTAGTATTTTTAGATATCCAATATAAACACAGAATTAAGTCATACATATAGCATATAGCATAAATCGCCGTGCCATTAATCACTACGATTATACTCACACGATGCAACTGATGAAATGAACAAAAAGAAAGAGTCGAGTCGTATCTGAAATCAGCATGTGAGAATAAGTCAAAGTTCTTGGCTTCGTTAGCTAATTAGAACCACAGAGTCGTTATACACATATGGTGGACCAAAAGACTAAATATTCTCCCTTCTCGGACGGATCGTTTTCCCATTACGACTCAAGCTCATTTCTAGTATTGACCTCGATCGCCTAATCGAATCGAAGAATCTCTGCGATGGCTCTCCTTTTCGAAGCTCCCAATCGGATACGCGACGATTTTCATTGCAATGGGTAACGAGACGAGCGCTTGGTGACGTAAAGTCAATTTTCATTTTACCAGAACAGACTGGGGCGACAGATGTAAACTTCGAAAGCTCAGAGTCTCGCTTATCTTTTCAATGAAAAATTAATACGGATTCCACGACGAGATAGGTCGCAATCCCAACGTATGTATGTTCACTGAAATATCGATAATAGAAATTATCGATCGCTTCCGGTAGCACCATTTGTCCTGCCTCACATTCACTTTCTTGGGCGTCCTATATTCTAAGATTTCGAAGAAATCAGACGAATTCGGAATTTTGCTGGTACGTAACGTCTTCCGCGTGTCGTGTGTCCGATTTTCGAATCGGTTTGACATTCCGTTATTATAACAGTACGATAACGAGTAAACGATTTTAACGAGTGAACGATTTTCCCATTGCCCTCTGCCCAGACTAGATGATAGAACGAACGAATGATCAGTATTAACGTTACAGCAAGACGTATTTCTATGATAATTACCATTAACCCGGAACCCGGAAAATATACGAATCGGTATCAATTGAAATATCATTTTAATAAAAAACCACTTCTCAGTTCCAAACGAAAAGTGGAAGCGAGTGCTCGTATTTATGAGGAATAGGGGAAAGGGGGAAAGTGCAACAAAGTATAATCGAATAAGTTTAAGCGCGATAGGATATAAGTGAGAATAAAGTACACGTTGATTAAGTGTATCGAGAGAGGTGAGAATCGAGGGAGGAAGCAAAGTTTTCACGGAGGCCGAGTAAACTGTCTCAGAAGAGGAAGTAAAAAAAAAGGTCGGCGAGAAGATCAAGTGAAAATATCCGCATGAAGAGGGAGTCAAAGGTCGTCGTATTTATGAATATAAACGTAGGACTGAGGGAAGTGAGCCATAGGTACTATATAGTTCGTGTATGCGTTAATACGCGATGACGTAATAAGATAAGAATTTACGTGAGAATCCACTGAAGCATCTATAGACGATTCGAAGAGCATCCAATTGGTTTAACGTGTTATCGTGCGTTATAATTCGAACTTGACACGTTATCATTAAGCTGTACGGTGTTAAGGAAAAGCATTAATAATTGGATCTCGCTGGCTTAACACGCTCGCGTCACACGTGTTACGCAGTTTTTTGTCCGTAAAAAAGGAAAAAAAATTAACACAACACAAAAACAATAACACTCCACATTAGTTTACGAGGGAAGAAAAAGGAAATGGATTACGTCACACACTCACGCGCAATACGCACATATACTATATATATATAATATATATGCATATGTACTATATATATATATATATATAATATATATGCAAAATATATACAGGCGCCTGCGCCGTACATAAGGGAGACACTGACACAACGTGTGTTACTGCCTGAAATAATATTTATCTCTGCGTAAAGTATATACTGGTAAGAAGTAAGAGATACGTCCCAGTTATTACGCCACGTCAATTTCGATGTCAATGTTAATAACCTCCATTACTCAGATAACATGTATATTTTCTACGGATATTGGTGGTTAGCGACGTTAAGTTCCTTAGTGATCGCTATTTAAGAACAGGCCTCGGATCTTCCTCGATTTTTTCATGCTGTGGTCTCCGATGGGTGCTATTACGAATTGCGAAGACGAAAAAATCGCAAGATAGGGTAAAAGAAGAGTTCAGTTGGTTTTGGATAAATTGGTAGAGAGTAAATGAATTTTAGCGCGACGAACAGGTGGGGACTGATTTTTACGAAAGTCAAAAATTTCTTGAATGGTTACAAAAGCGCTTCTTGATATCGGACGACATAGAATTGAGATAATAATGTTGCTGTGGACTTTTGCGGAAAAAAAATCAATTTCACCCGGATCCGTATTCCAAGACTGTCTTTGTGGCCGATCGATTTTTTCTTCTATCAAGAAGCGCCATTGTTCCAATACTTGAATTTGCGAAACGCTAAGACTAAGAAGTGTGAGAGACTAATGAAAATAACATATCCACGTTCATTCACAGTCGCCTTTGAGTTTCATTTAATATTTTCAATCGTATCGGTAACGTGGATGCTCTGTGATTCGAAGAAAAATCAACCGATCGAGCCCACTGTTATTTTTGATTTTCGTGTGTCCGAAAATTGTGATAAAATTTAGGCCAATTTGTGGATTAGAGTGAAGGGAGATGAACGGATCGAAGAGAAAGTCAATGATCTGTAAAGGTGATGTAATAAGAGGGGAAGAAAAAAGAGAAAAAAAAAAAAGAACGAAAAGATAAAATTGCAAAACACGATAACGTCAGGTCCCCTTCGTAATGTTATCGACTTATAAATCTACCTAATCATTAACGATATTAAACGAACCGTGTATCTACATGCCTATACCTACGCGTTTCCGAGTCATGAGTTTCGCTGTGAGTCAGCTCAACCCTTCGAACCTTTCATCTCATTGTAACTCCAATGGCTTTAAGTCTGGAATATTTTCAAAGCCAGACTAAGCGAATGAGAGGGGAAAGCAGAAGAGTAAGCCAAGAAATTGCATAAATTTTCAAACAATACGTCATACTATCTCCAGATCCTCTTACACCCGCCATAAGCGACAATCTACAATTTATCATGCGCGTACGTACGAACACTTGTACTTTCGTACTGTCGATTACAACGTCGAACGAGTGATCAGCGAATACGGGATACATTGTATAACTATGGAAAGTCACTCTGGCTCTAATTGTCAGCCCGTTCGTTTTTTTTTTTTTTTTTCAGGGATATTTGCAATAAAAATTAATATGTATATGGCAATCGATTACTTGCAATTCTACAAGCCCACTGAGCTTACAAGCTATCACACTTTGATACACTTTCCTTTTACTTAGCACAATCGAGAGATACAATATATCCATTACATAGGTAAGTATTAATATAATCTATATCGTCACAATACCCACCGAGCATCAGAAACGTAATATTTTTCAAAATTAATATACGACGTAATTTTTAATAAATTTGCGAAAAAAAATTTCTAATCACAATTCCATCGCACGTTCCCTTTCACGAAGAAAGACAATATGATCGAATATCAATATTAGTTCTCTATTTATTTATAATCTCGGCAATTACAGTGTTATAATTCTCATAACCGTTTACGGCTCTTATTTACATACATTTTTCCTTATTGTTATTAATCATCTGTTAACATTTATACTCGACAGCGTATACGTTTACGCATTATGATAATCTTGAAAACTAATAGCTACGTAACACTATTGGAAGGCTTTTCTTCACTGTCCTCCCAATATCCTCGCGTTTCGGGAAGAAACCACGTGACAAACGAGTCCCGCAACAATTCCAATAATTAGGAATCGTTCTAAGGATTTTTTTTTTTTTTTTTTTTGGAACGCATCAAAGGCTATCAAGTGTTGCAGCCCCGTCTAGTCGAGTTATCTATTAAATAATTGTTGTACGGCTCGAAAAAAAGGGAAATATCTGTAACAACCTTTAATCAGCATTCTGTATAGAAATTCCTAGAATCCTTTTAATCAGAGCGATCGCTACGATCTTTCAGTAGACAACACACCGTTTCTCTTAGGTTAGCATCATTTCTCATTTTACCCGTAATTCGAGTCACCGCAATCAATGTACATTCCATTTGACACAATGAATTTGTTTGTGACACTTGTAAAAATTCTATCAAACTCTCAGGACGTTCCGTAACATTTAATGATTTTCTTCTTCTTATTATTTCATCCGACTTTACATCGATTTACATCAATTTTATGAGTGACTTGTCATTTAAACACCGCGACTCTAATTATCGGGCTAATTACACAGCGTTCTGCAAAATCATTGATTTTAACGAACAACGCTAAAATTCTAGCTGACGTTAAAATTAGTCTTGTTCCTGAATTTATTTTTCATTCTTAATATTTTTATTTTACTTTTTTTTTTCGGAACGAGTATTATCTTCTTTAACGTGTCGATCTTAAAATTGTTAATTGAACATTTGAAAGCGCCTATAGCCATTAACATTTATAAAATATTTTATACGTGCTACTAAGCGTAAACGGTTATTGGCATATACCACGTTCCAAAAAAGTCTCAAAGAATACACGTCTAATAATATTAATTTTTTAAAACCGATGAAGTTCTTAATGCGTAAGCACTATATTATGAAATACGAAAGACGTTCGTTAATACTATTTCACTTTACCGCAATCTTTCGAGTATAGCGATTCTTTTTGTAGTTTCTTTTTTTATATATAAGTTTTGCACGCTACGTTCAAAAGCATTATATTTCGCTTACGTTTATCGAAATTGAGGGAAAAAATACAAAAGTTTCATAAAAGATACAATTTCTTCGAATTCGCACAAAAACCTCTTTTAATCAAGTTTAATTAGTCGTAGGACTAACACAGGATGTAGAGAAGAAACTGAATTTGAATGTTTTTTATATATCGACAATTATTTTTGCGTCGATTGATCTAGATGACTGATCATTGGTATAGCAAGAAGTATCTATATACATATATATATATATATAGGATAATTGATCGATCAGATTCACACTACAATTTTGTGAAAAAGAAGTTGGGTATTTGGTCCGAGTATCACAAGGTACCAAGAGATATTTCATTGATATACTGATCGTCCACCAAAGTGACTCCCATCAGCTTTCTGCTGGTTTTCTCAAAAAGAAAAAAAGAAAAAATCCTACGTATGATTTATGCATAGCGCACATTTTCTCTTAATATAATATGAACATGAAATTCGTACGAAGTATGTTTTCTAGTCGTTAGTTACAGCATATCGATATCCTTCCAATGCATCCGAAATGTCGAAAACAAAATTACGAAAAGCGATACTTGTCATTCTCCACTTAATCAATCATTCAGTTTCAACTAAGAAATTCAATCATTAGGTTTCCCGCATTTACGCATACGCTTCGTTTTGTTGTTAATAGCAATCTTATCATTCTGGTCTTATCAGTACCTTTTTGGCTCAATATAATGAAATTTTACTGTTCGAGGCCGTCGGAATTACGAATATTTTCGAGTGTCACATGAGATCTGACATTTTTGTGAAGAAAAAAAAACTTCGTGTGTCACGGAAGATTAGTCCACGTGAATTAGATAATTACAAATAGAAAAATGTCTTCATTATTCAATCTGGACAGATATCTTAGTCTACGTAGATAGATCTTTACCTATTCGTTGCCGATACTCTTGTACTAAAATTTTCAAAAATTTTTATTAATCAAGTCAATCTCGAGCAAAAGTCCTCTACGGATACAACCTTGCTTTATCCACATATGATTTTTAAACATGATCTGTGACAAGTGAAAAGCGGCGAGTGTTAACAAAATGAAATTGAGATAAAATGAATCATAAAGCAATTATATATTGAAGGGTAGATATTCTTGTGCATACTAACTACAAAATTTCCTTGAGGGATTCTTTTGGATCTTGTTTTGCAATTTCCAGATGATTTACTTTTCTTCGTATATTTACGGTCTAACTTTCACAGCTGCTTGCGATATACCGAAAATCCACCACCACATCCCGAACAACCGACTATTCTTGATCCAGACTGAACATTATTATTGGCTTTGTCGACATTCCCTCTATTGAAGAATATGAAGAACAAATTAGATATTTCTTTGATACTTAACGTAATGACAAAGAAAAACAATATCCTGAGTATCCATTAATAGCGATATCTAGAGTAGCTGCCATCGTTGCGAATACTATGATTCAAAAAATACTATAGGCCCATGTGAAACAGTTGTACAATTTTCGCATGAAATTCGTATAAATAAAACAAATTAATCTTGGAAACATCGGGATCAAGTTCACGTAAAACTTAGTATATCGAATTTGTTGTACGTAGATGCCTCGTTAATTATTATCAACGCGAAAGGAACGTCTTAATATCTAACATCCTGATTTGACCGTGTACAAGATCTACCAAACATAAGGAGGAATATAAATTGTTTATAAACAAAAGTAGGATTAATTAAATTAGTCATTTAATTACGTAAAATTAGGCGCGTGACATGTTTCTCGGATCAATTTTTCGAAAAGAAAAAGAATATCGTCCCTCTCGAAATTGAGATTTACGCGAGTTAAGATTAAATAGACTTTTTATACCAAACTGATACAAAGGTGAGACGCAATGAGATTTAACGGCGTGGAGTGGAGGAACGTTTATCTAAAGAATATTCTATTGAATAGAAAATGATTTCTGATAAACTAAAAAGAATCACAGAGACTTCATCGTTCGAGAGCGTATTACGTTGCGCTTATTATTGCTGTCTGTTAATATATTACTTTTATATGAATGAACAACGTCAATAGACTTTATAGCACGATTTAATTGTGAAGTTTATACGCTATTTCAAAATAATCAAAATCTACTGCTCACAATTAGTTCTAAACACTGTACGAGAATATAGAAATTAAAAAATTTTTTTTTATAGTTTCTCATGAGTTTGTACAATGACTGTCAAAAATTTTGTTTTATTTTAATGACATCAGCGAGGCCTATTATGCTTTTATGAATGCTAATGATCAAACGTTCCCATCTATACTAATTAAATAAGACGGTACGTTATGGATCGTCTAAGAGCAAAATATGTTTTCCAGGGGTAATCTTCTTATGGTTTTCAATAAAAACGAGTCCTCTAGATATTTTACTGGTAGATCGACTACAATGTTAGGAAGAGGACTTAACTGACACGAGTGATAATCAAGATAAGACTTGCTAGAAACGATACAGATATTAAATAACGAATGATACAGGTAAAAACAAACGAAAGATCGAAGCATGAATGTATGTATAAATATGTTTATCTACTTGAATCTTGATCGTAAGTGATTAATTAATGAACTTCATTGTTATGCATAAACTATGCATCTTCTCCAAAATGCAATAATAAATCTATTAATGGACAGCCTACAACAGCAGGTGTATAAGTTGTGGAGTACCTCGACGTGTTTTCTCTTTTTATACTTTTAGTATTCTGTAATCTAAAAAAAACTACTTTGAAAAAATGTACAGCAATGATCGTATGAACATATTGCGCGCTATGTTTCTTTCCTTTGAAAATTTAAAATACACCAATAAGTGTATTGTTTAGACGTAAAACCGGCTGACACATAAATATATATTTTTTGAATCGACATCTCGCACCTTTTCCGCTTCATGAGGAATGGATTTACATAGAAACAAAAGAAATGAAAATACAAAAAATCCCACTGGGTATTTTAGAACGCCTGATTATAATGAAAGAAAAAAAAAAGGGATTCTAGCTGAAACGTTCAAGTTGATACCCTTTTATATGTATCCAAAATGTATCTATTCACATTACAAATTAATAATTAATGATCACTGACAAATATTTATAATCGATCAAGAAAGCTCACTAAAAATTTAAATCCATCCCATTACCTTTCTCGCAGATTAGGCACGTAAGGCCGTATAATTGCTTCGTAACGCCACGCGTTACATAATGGAATATCATTTTAAAAAGAAATTCAATAATACATACGCTTCTTTAAGAAATCATATCGCATCCCTCAATGGAACAAAGTCGTATCATCGATACCTTTTCACAGCACTAATACGGATCTTCACTGACCTCGATAATAAAGTCACTGAAACGTGCCGATCGATCGAATCAAAAATAGAAGAAAGAAAAGTATACAAATTTCCCCCTCTATGGACGATTTCTGTTTTTCTCAGCTATTTCGAGTAACTAATCTGACTTCAATTCGGAATCACGCACGCTATCACAGGATGGCACGCACTTGGCACGAGTCTTTGAATTTTCTCCCTCGTCGTCGTTATTATCCTCATTGTTTAAGTCCACCTTCTCGTCTTCATCCTCATCTTCGTCCTCGTCCTCGTCGCTCTCTTCTAAAAGCTTCTTTCGCGCTAATTGAACAGCCTGCCATTCCTGATAGTGACCCTTTCTCTTGGCCTCGAAAGCTTTTCTTTTTTCTAAATCAGAAATAAGTTTATTTAAATATAGCAGAAAAGTAAAAGGTATAAACTATAAGCAAGATAAACAAATATATATTTACACACATATGATAGTACAACTGACCTCTTTCTTCGGGCGTCTCCTCGTCCTCTTCATCGCTCGATTCTTCAAATATTTTCGGTTTATTACTCTTGGCCAACCTTGTGTAATTAAATATCAGTAGTATCTTCACTGATTGCCAATTTATTTATAACGGTATCATTATACAGAATTCATAAATAACTTACTTCGAGGCAATGGTGGTCGAGTCTAATTGATCCTGTTTATTTTCAACACCATCGTAATTATATGGCGTTTTCGGTTCGTCAATTTTCATGTGGCCATAATCCTTATCTGGTGGATGAAGAGTGGCTATAATGTTCATCTCGTCCCATTTAGTTTCCTTATTTGGTCTGCAGTACATTTAATGGAAATCAATCTTTAACCACGCTATATAAATCTGTGTGATCTTATACAGGTATGAATAAAGGTGTGAGAGGTCAGAGATAAGTTTGCAACTACATAAGCATGTATAATTCATAAATGTAGTCGATCCATGAGTTCAACTTGTTTTTTTGACAGATTGCAAATAATGGGGGTTTCAATGAAATTACAGAAATAGTTGTTGATATTGAGGAATAAAGTATCAGTGAAAAACCTTGCGCCTGCATAATTTGTAATAAAAATATTATGCACAGCCATGTGTGATTTGTTAAGATTGCATTGTTTGCAAACTGTCAAAATACTACATTGATCTCGTGGACAGACTGTATCTCTAAATGCAATCTGCATATAAAGCAAATGATAATGGTCGATAATATAGAATGGACTTATGAAAGTAGAATGGAAAATACGATTGTATATAATTTTATTCACATAAATCGTTTGACGGAAAGGAAAAGGAAACGTGATAAATATCCGCAGTATTAAAATGCATCAGGAAATATATTTAAATACAAAGAATGAATTTTATATAGAATACAAAAAATCGAATGCATAATCGGACTTCGGGTATTATCGTATATTTTTGCAAAAATTCGAACACTCGTAATTTTTTAAGAACATTCGAAAATAAGTTTGGCACGCATGCATCGCAAGTAATTACATCTAATTTACTTCATAAATTATCGTTGTTATGATATGATAATGATATATTACAAACTAAACAAATGTCATACTTGTTTAACTAGATATACTTCTTGCAATTTTAGGTATTCTTTGAGCTAAAATATCCTCCGATATTTCAATATCAAGAGTTTCCACATTTTGGTGTGAACTATAATGGCCACAAATCCAATCATGTAGTTCCTATCCCTGTGCAACCTGTCAATATCTATCAACTCCACGCAACGTAAACACAAAAGCTGTTATGGTTTGTCGTTATCGGAGGCTAGCGTAGCCGCTAATACGTTTCCCTACATACATAAAATGAGCATACACGTATATTTATTATGTGCTTTGATTTGCGCCAGGCAATGTAAACAAAAATATAATGAGAATCGTTTGCAATAGCATAAGGAAGTATCTTTTTGAAAATCATCTTTGTGATTACTATAGAAACGTATAGATGTATAGATGACCATGCATTAAAAATATGGAACGATTACAAGATAAAACGTATTTAATATTCATTGTCACATTACTAATAAATATGTAAATAGGTGATTCGTACAATAATCGTGAAATACTTTCCACTAGAGACAACTATAGCAAAACAGCTTGCATCTGCATTCTCTTTCATTCATCAATTGACATTGTCTCTACTTTGCGCAAGCTAGTCCCATTTAACTTCTATTAGTGTGAGACTTTTATTCTTGTGCAATACAATCTCTTGGTCGGTGATTGTCTATAGTGAAGATTATGAGCCAAATTCAAAAATGATACTTTATCATAATGTACTCTAGGTAGTTACAATAAGCAAGCAAATCATTTTTTATGTAATATATGCAGGATTTATTTATGACAAAGTTGAGTTTTGCTGATTGTGTAACAAGTAGTATACTAAACCGAATGTAATAACAATTACTGATATCCAAATAAGTCATGGAACTGTTATCGATTTATGGTTTGCAATAAGTTAAATGGTAATGCAGCAATTAGAACATCATTTTGTATATGGCAATTAGGAGTATTAGATTTATTTGATAACTTTCTATTTCACAGAATTGGTAATACCCTTGTGGAAATCAAATTATAATAAAAACAGTAGGGATGGTGAATAAATTTTTCTCTAAGGAAATATCTAATCCAATTGACCAAGGCCATTCTATTTTTAACATATTTTAAAACATGGTGTGGAAAGGTTAAACCCAGATAAATTATGTGAAGAATTTAAACCCATATTATTAGGGATTAGTTGACCTTTACCATTTTAATTAGCAATTAGTGATTCGATAAGCATATATTGAATACTGTTATACAAAGATATGGATCGCAGTTGGTTAATACAATCGTTTTATGGACTAATAAAACAGAGAAAAATCATATTGCGATACTGATTGATGTGCATAAATAATCCGATCGTAACACAGATGTCTATAACACAATAACTTATATTTGTTCTTCTAATTACGGTAATTTCATTATAAATCAGTGGACAGACAATTATTGTATTATTCACATCTGCCCACATCCAGTTAAGAAGCATGCAGTCACAGATTAAACTACCTAAATAACTATGAAATACTTCAAAGTTAAACCAGAATTCTGATGTAACAATGGTAAAAATCAAATCAAAACATTAATGCTTTTATACAATGTACCACCTGCTCTATTGAAAATCATGCAAATAGAGAAAGCAAAATCGTATACACTTATCTTATTGATTTTAGAGTTAATAATCAAGCATTTTATTCATTTTGTGATGATTTTTAGGTTAGAATCATAATAATTTCGGAACAGAAGATAATAAGTCCTGTGATTGCTCACCTAGGCGCCTCTTGGTTGTCAAAACTACTGGATGTCTTTAAGATTCCTTTAGAAGGTCGCTTTCCCAAATTCTCAGCCATTTTTCATGTGTCTCTCGTCTGCATGCGGTTTTCAATCACATTTGTCGTTTCAAATATATTCAGTCCGTACACGTCGTAACCCTCCGCTTCACCTCGCGAACGAAACAGTGCGTTCACGCTAAATTTTCTGTCTCAAAAGGTGAATAATCCTCTGCGCATAACCACTGCGCATTGGAACAATGGCGTCAACGAGGTTCAAAAGCGGTAAAATGACACTACCGTATCAATAAAGATCATATTAGGGGGCCCGTAAACAAATTCATAATTTCTGTCCTTAATATAAAGGTAAAATAATGGATTTCTTTTTAGTCCCTCTAATATTACTAGTAATATTGCTGTTGGCTGAATTTAAATGACCCAACACACCCATGTATCCTGTGCTACGCGATTCTACTATGTAGAATATGTCTATATATAGCATGTTAATTCCTAAAGTCGACCTGTAGGTACCCAGAAGAATCTGATTTGCATCACACCGTATCCCGTAAGATTCACGACATTGTGTGTAGCACACGACTGTTACACATGATCCCAGGCATAAACGTTCAGTAAACGTTTGCGATTAATTCTCGGCACTGGAAAAATTCCATGATTTAAGAGTCCTATTCGCGACGTATTATTAGCTCATCAGTAACGACTGAGCACAGACGCACGATTGAACACCAACTATCGACCAATGGTACAACACGTCTACAGAAGCCCTATTCTCAAAATTAACAGTGAGTTGACGCAGCTGGTACTTTGTCAATTTCGATAACACTGGCTTCAGTCATTACTGAGCTATAATTCAATCTGCGAGTGTTCGTAATGTCCGATGGTGAGTTCTTATTTATATGAAACCAAATTTTGTAGGATGTTTTAGCTATTTATCTCTGTTTTGAACGTACGTGTGTGTTATATAATTTTGCTAAGTTGAGTGAACAACTCAACAGATTGTAAGCGCAGTCGGTAATTTATCGACACTGAACTGCATTCATTTTTGTTACCGACTAATCTTGAACGTTATCATACAAAAAATTGAATACCAATGACTTCATCGATTATGGCGCATTTTGTAAGTCAGAAAAAAAATTGTAGTACATCAGCGAAGGCTTAGTTCTTATCAAGTATTACAGAAGAATCGTGTAAGTTGTATGAATTTTGGTTTAACTTATAAATCGTCCACAAGTGGAATAATTAATACAATTGACTAGGTTAGTGTCTTTAATAAATAAGGTAAGAATATGCATGCCTTCCAAATACGCCAGCTGTTACATTCCGTATGATAATAGTTATCAGATAGTCTTTTTTTAATATTCTCATACCATTATTTTTCTTTACAATTTCACAAACTACTACGTGCGTTTTCTTGCAGAAAATTGCATCGCAAAATGTGACAACCCCTTGATCGATTTACACAACTTCGTTGAAGTGTTACGGTAAGATTTACGAAGTGAATTTCAGGAGATAGATCTATTTATAACGTGTCTCATGGGAGTCTGTAGGATTGGCAATCGTTCGCCCTCGTCATGTTTTCATTGATCTTAAATTTTCACTTTTCTAACATTTTCTCCTCTCTATCAAGTTTAAAATAACTCGTCCACGACACTTCGTCCCATTTATAGATACACCATAAAACTTCGTCTTAATATCTTCGATTTTTATACCTCTCAATCGACAAACAATTATGGACTCCTTTCTCGCTAAATAAAAAATTCTCAATGGTCTTACACGGACTCGACAATTTCATTGTCTATGTAATAAAAACGATATATTACGAAGAAATATCGTGCGATTATAATACAGAGCAGTAAGCACACACAATCCTTTACCTTTTTAATTCAAAAATAGTCTTTCCAAATAAGTATCTAAAAATAGTATCGTCCATTCTAATTATTAAACTAACAATAAGTTAGCTTTTACAGATCCTATGTGCTATGATAATTACTATATTAATAAAATTATACAAAATTCTAGTTTTAAGCGATTCAATCAAAAAATGTAAAAGATCTCGCACTCCGTGCAACCAACGGAGAAAATTAGGATGTACGATACAAGATTTCAAATCGAGATATAGGGAATTGCGAAACATAAAAATTCTAGAAAGTGTCAAATTCTGTATCATATATATATATATATATATACCGCCACTACTCTCACAGAAGTGGCGCAGTAACATTATCAGAATTTATGAGTTCTGAATTTTCACAGAATCACGCGTTAGCAATATCAGAATTTCAAGCGTTACACATGTTCGTGACACATCATTTTCCCTCTAATACGACCTAATAAACAGCCTAATGTTAAAACATGGTAATAATAATATAGTAAGAAAATAGGCTTGCGTATAAACAGTATCTTTGGATAACTATAAGCTGATGGATTAAGTAGAGTCGATGTTTCATGGTAATCTTGAATTATGTTAGGCTTAACCTTAAATCCGGTCCCCGTGAATATAATGGCGATGCTGTTAATAATGTCGTCAAGTCGAGCCGGTTGATTTACCCGTAAAGTACTGGCTGGCATCATCTTCAGATATATTTGTGTTTCAGTGACAGGATATATAATTACAAATGTAATATATAAACGTATACAATGCAGTAACGTGGATATTATACTCTAAGCTTAGCAAATATCCTTACCTTGAAATTTCACGGTTTTGAAACTGTGCCTATAGAAAATTTCAAGCGGCAAGGTTAACGGGTATACATATTTTGTTAATTGAATTAATTACTGTAGCAGCGCTTATCGTGTTACCCATTTTGAGTTTAGACATTTGTGTAGGAAAAAATTTGACAGGCTAATTGTGATGTAAATTCTTACAAATATTTATTTTAATATTAATTTTTTCTTTCAGAATTTTAAGTGGATTTTTAGGTGATTTTTTTTACTACACAGAAGCTAATTTCAGTTCCTTAACTTATCGTGGCCGAAGAATGTTTTCCGCTTAAAAGATGCGAGAATTCGAGAAGAATTTTAATTATTAGGGAAATTATGGTATATTTAATAAGAGTTACGATGAGGGGAGGGGGCGTGAACTTCTGTTTTTTGATTTTGATTTTTGTACTTCTACTGGGTATACATATGTAGTCATATGTAGTCCTTATGCGTGTTGACGTTCGTTAGAGAATTGACTTACCGCAATTACTTGTAACAGCTGACGGCAAAGTTTCAGGGAAAATTGTTAATTTTACGAAACTTTAAACGCCTGGCAAACTTTCCTTTCTCGCAATTTTAACTTATGTTATTAGAGGCAATAAGTTTTAATTACCTGAATTAACAAATGAGGAACGTTCATTCTGACTGCGTTAACCTCATAGTGTCGCTTTATTTTGTACGGTTTGCACGTTGGCTGATATAATAATTAATCACCGTTCTCTTGTTTCTCATGTTGTTCGTTACCGTCACTCGTTAGAGAAAATTGTGGCGTTGTCATTAACTTCGGTGACTTAAAGCAAAAATGAGTTTTTACATTTTGTAATGATTTTTGCTTAGTATAGAGGATTATTGCGCGCGATTATTTTGAGAAAAATAGATTTGAGGTGCCAAGCAACCAATTGACACAACCGTTTTTCCAAAACCAACCAAATTTTGAATTAATTAGTTCTTTCATAAATCAGTTAGTTAAATCCGAAATATAACGAATCCTTCATAAGTACATCACATTACCTCTAAAACAATTACAATTTTCAGGAGTAAAATAGTCCTATTCGATATCCACCTGTCTAACTTCAAATTCAAATACATTTTTCAAAATCGACCACTTTATTGAAAGAAAAAAAAAAATAGTCGATTAAAACCTCACATGGATTATTTACTGCACGAAATGGAGAACGTAGCTTATATATGTAAATTAAATGACAAAATCAAACTTTATCCTACAATAATTTGCTATTATTATATATTTGATAGTTTGTCAAAATTCCCTATAAAATGATTGTAATTCGCGACACAGAGATTTATTTGATTTATATTCACTTTATAACAATAATAAAATGTTCCCTGTTTGATCCTATCGTATTTTCCAATTGAGATATCAAAGTCGTTTATTTCTTTGTAATTGACATGTATCAATATTTGATGTAAAAAAAAATTTCACTGTCACGTTTCACGCTCGCGTCTCTCTGTAACTTGAATTTCTGTATGATAATAGATAAAAAACTGACAACGAAGAACGTGACCGGTGGCCAACGTTTTTATGTGTCTCTCAGTAAGAGACGTAAATTTAATGGTCGTTCCCTTCGCCGTCGTGGAATCATCCCTTCAAAATTTAATATCCACTAAATCGCAAGGGACGCCAAACGAATGTACACGTATAAGGTCGGTCGATTGTCCCAATTCTAGACGGAAATCGATAGCAGCCCCAGAAAATTTATTTTAAATGTAGGTAGTGATGCGGTCGTACTTGTCATTAAAAACTCTACGGAATTGTCGACATCGTGACGTACAGTAAAAAGAAGACTAGTGAATTTGAAAATAATTAAAAGAAACATTCCAAATTTGGGTATAAATGAAACAAGGGTTATTTTGAATTTCGTAAATTATTCATATTTATTTAATTTACCAGTCTAGATTGCATGATATTATTAAAAATTCTAATTGTCTTCTATCGGTCCACTCCATGACGTCTAATCGAAAAACGTAGCATCTATAAATGAAAAATGAAATTTTATACAACAGTTGGATAAGACACTCTTCCTTATATCTTGTAATCCCATGGGCGAGTGCTGTTGACTCAAATACTTAAACCAAAATTTAGAAAAATCCCAGCACGTTTCTCCTCATATTTTATCTCGTCCCCTAATAAGCTGCGCCGATTCAACAATGTCTACAGGCGTCCTGAAAATATTTGAGGAATAATTAAAGAAGATATTAAAAGGTTCCACAGGTGACAGTCTTCTGGCATTCTTTATTGCACGAGGTAAAATAGCAGGCCTGCTTCTGCTTTTGCTGTACTGCGATACTAGTGAAATATTGGCTTATACAAGGACATTGAAAATATATACGGTCATCATTCACATGGTTTCACGTGGAAGGCCGATACATTAGTTTCAATAAAGAAAGGTAAATTGAAATATATATATATATATTACCTTTGTTAAGTTATAAATATTTAAACTGATCAAGCCTTATTCTTCGCAGGTACTAACAATAAGAATGCACATCCCACTGCAGAGCCAATCTCTAATTGGAATGCGTGCTCAACATTCCCCAATGCTCGGAGCAATTCCTACATGCATACAGATGCGATCAGTAATATTACTGTTATAGCAGATAAATATTCGAACGTGACGTAATAATACTGCAAGCACAGTCAATCGTCTGTAACGTACTCTGGATTAATAATATTGTACTAACACGGAGGATGAATTAATACGTTTAGCTGAATTATGGAAAACAATTTTGCCATTTAAGTAGATGTCATTTACACGAGTTTCTATACAAAGTAGACACAATGTGGTAATTCGATGGAATCATGCTGTGTCTTATCCGAGTCCTTTTTACAATGGCAATATAGTAGCATTATTTCCAAACGCGAATGGAAATGGGGGCTGGCTTTGTTTTCTACGATATTGCAGTCTCCTTTCTCGTTGACCTGATGTAGGTTTAACGTAGGACGTGTGTTTGAATTAACGTCTGGAAATAGCGGTAGGCTTTCACCATGAAATTACCTTAAGAAGTGATACAGCTGACAATTACGTGGGTCGTGGTTCACAGAAATGAAAGTAGGAATTGTAGCAGGGTTTTTGGGTCGAGGGATGGAGCAATAGGGCGAGATCGTCGGTAATAAAGAGAACTCGTTATTTTCTTTTGACTTATCCTGCTATACCGATTATTCACGCAATTCTTTGCTCATTGCGAAACCAGAGACAGTTTTGCGATAAACTTAACGCTCGGTTCTGGCAGGATAATTATCAGGGGTCAGTGATAAAACGTGTCAAAAGTTTTACCATTGACGGTGAACTTCCAGTATTACGAACTTTTTATATTCTTTTATGGCACGATGTAATAATCCAATACGTATGTTAAGAAATATTTCTATTCGCTCTACGGTGACTTGCTTTCTTATCGATTCTTGAAAACGAGGGCTTTCTTTATCGTTTGGCGGTTCTTCAGATGGTTTTCAGTTTCTTTTGAAATGGTAAACCCAAAGGCAGCTTTTATACGTGCTATAGAACTAATGGATCTTGCAATCCCATAGATTTCTCTATGCCTCGTTTGCAGCTATGAAACAGCAAATAGCAATCGATAGCGTCGTGTAAGATTGTGATAGAGATATGGATTGCTTTGGAATTGCTTTATTTTTTTTTTCAGGAAGTTTCTATAGCGAGAAAAAATTACTAGGGTGATATTGCGTGCCGCACGATAATGTGAGAATCTTTTATGAGGTTCGGAACACTGTATCCATGAACAGGAAGGGGAGGACAAGTTGGTATTACTACTACTGGTGCTACTGTATGATACAAGAGATAAATGCGCCAGTCAGATTGAAAATATGAGTAGCAGCAATGGCAATGGCAAACATCATAAATAATCGTTCCAGACAATTACGATGTGGAAAGTCTTCTGGTAGGTATGTCGAGTGGGGTAGATATACCTTGACTTGATGCGTGAATTTTTCTATTTTATGTGTATTTATTTTATTACATTAATAATTGCAGGACACTTGAATGAAGTTATGACACTGTTTACCTCTGTTGAAAGCATCTATGGGTAGCTTACATGAAAATTGATGGTAATGAGAAGATGACGTGAAAATGGGAGATTATGGCATGAACGAGAACGAATATAAAAAACTTTCTCATTCTGATCTTCCCCTCTTTCCTATTGTAACAGATTTTCTTTCTCTCGGCTGCTACGTTTTATGCAAATTATGACCATTTTTTTTTCGCAAAGCGTTAATCTCGAGCCAGGTGAACTTACTTAAATCCACGAAGTTGCCACGTGCCGTCGTAGAATGAGAGACGTCGACCTCATTTGGTCCTCGTTCGCTGAAGGATTATTACGCCTGAATTCATTCGGGAATGAAATGGCATCGATCAATCACCACTTCTTTTTTATCATCCACTTTTTCATCCTAACCCTTGGTGACACAGTAAAACTCAACCTCTGCGAATTTCGAGTCAGCAAGGGACGCAATGGGATGCTTAATCGTATCGATTAGATTTATAATTTCTAACCAACCCTTGATCGAATCATTATAGGATCTTACTTCAACATACTCAAAAAAGATGTGCTCGACAGGCCTCTTCTATTGTCTGTTGTCAAATCAATTAATGTAATCATATCAATATATTCCTTAATGTCAAAAAATTATATTCGTCAATGTAATGCTCTTATGACTTTTTAAAGATTAATCTGTGTTATCCTAATTATCTCGATTACTTATAGAATGAAGAAAATGACTGGGATGTTCTTCTTTCACGCTGAAATATCCACATTCCCTGTATCTATTCAATGGATTGGAGGGGTTCAAGGTTGAAAGTTTCAGGGATTTAGCATTTCAAGGTAGAAAGGGTTGGTATATGTATAGTATAATCAGCTGTGATGATGCACTGTCAGAGAGAGAAAAAATGATGTATGCAATATAACATAGTGCTCAATTTTTGTTTTCCTTTTACAGGGGCAGCAATCGCTATTACCTAAAAGAAATTGCTGATCATCAGCGTTCTAGCCAATTTCTGCTTCTGACGTCTAAACACATAAAATGACCCCAATTTACCACTGATTGACAGCCGATACCTTTTATTGGCATACATATCGTGGCTAAACAATATGCTCTCATCTTCGATCTCCTGATTTCTCAGTCGGCAAATAAACCCACCCTTATATGGTTCTGCGCTATATGCGTATAGAGCCAGTGGTGTTTTCTGTTTGCTATGGGAAAATATTGGCTCATTGTAAGCTCCCACTTCTCTTGACAATCGAGCACTACCCTATTCCACGTTGCCACCCTTTAGGTCCTTGCGACCCTGCTACCCTTACGAGCCTTTTCGACCTTCGCTAATTTCACAAACCCTGGCCTTTAAATTAGCTATCGATACATTATTCTCTGGGACTGAATATTTTCGAAGTGTTTGAGAATTTCTACTGTCTCGAAATTTTCAAGGTGTATCGTGAAAATTGGGTAATTAAACCGTAACTTCGATTTTATTTATCCCTTTCTCTTTCAACTAATTGTTATCTACACTAAGTTTTCAAAATATTCATTATTTTTATAGTTGAATAAATTTTTTTACATAAATGCAATACAAAATTGATTATAATTAGTATGTATAAACAATAGCCATTGTATTCACTATGTTTTATTATATCTGACAAAATCAACATTGCACTTACCCTTGCGTTTTTAATTTATAATACCGCAAACGTCTCTTTTCCGTAATCTCCATGAAACAGTCTCCAAGATCTTGATAGCATTATTTTCGGTCCAGTGCACTAAGAGAAAAGGGAAATACCAGGCCAGAAAGTAATTCCGAGACGAAGTAAATTTACGTCTTGATTTCCTTTTTATTCCGTCAACGTACTTGGCCAACGCAATACGCAATAATAAAAAATACCATTTCCCTCGCTCTCGTTGACGCAACTATTTTATTATTTTTACGTATGTCTCTTTTTTCTTCTATTAATTATATCGTTTGTCTAATGCTGTTTAACCTCACGTATTCTACGCCCATTATCTACGACAGCAGTTTAGCGTCAAGTTTTCCATCTACCTAATGCATAGGCCTTGCACGAGTCGCAACGCTAACTTTTCTCTCAGACGAATAACGAGATTCTTGTGACACGTTAGACTTCGTACTTTAAGCACGTTTTTTTCTCACTAGATCGTTCGTTACATATTTTTCACGAGAAAAATTTACGACTGCTTATTTAATTTTTTGGATTGTCGAATTCAGCGTAGTTTACTGATCGAGGGTATGTTTGTCCACCGTGTCAAAATCTGAAATACATAATTACGAAGAATTTGATTACGTGCCTTTTTTTAACAGTAAATAGTTGCGTGCATTCGTTATTTTTATTTTATTTATCATTATTGTGGTTTATGTCGAGAAATTCAATCACGTGTTATACCGGTACCGGATGAAGTAATAGAATAAAAAAATTTCAGATTTTGATTAGGATTATTATTACTGATTATACCTATATCAAACGGAAGCCCATTGCTAAATATCACCTAACTTTACAAATACGCAATGTAAAAATAATGAAATTATATCGTACGGAACTTATAAAGCCCTCTTGAAAAAAAATAAAACTGATTAATCGTCAGTTTTTCGATAAAACGTAAATTGATAAGAAACGATCTTCAATATTTTTTTGAAATTCGACGATGCGATCAAATTATATAACTACAATATTTGACTGTGAATTTTGACTGAATTTTCGTTTCAGACGCGCGCGTCAGCGTCCGCGTTCAAAATACGCCCGATTTCATTGAACCATTGTTATTCAGAGATCGAGTGTAACGCTCTGAATAGAACGAGAGAGACTGGCGTGACATTTTATAATAAAACAATAGAGAACAGATTAAATAATGGGAATATAAAAAATGTCAATCGTAAACGTGCGTCTAAGGAGAACAGGGTTAAAGGGTGTTTTCTCTGTCACATGACACAGAAAACTCAGACAATTTCCCAAAGTGGTGGAACAGCGAATAAAATATCTCTTAGGAGAAAAAACTGATACGAAAGAAAAAAATTGGCCTTAACACACTCGGGTTCCATAAGAGCTTGAAATACGATTCCTTTTTTATAGTAGCTAAGCGCGGTTTCTATACTGCTGTATATTCTGCTTGACTATAGCTTATTGAGATTAATCGTCATACACGGTACATATATATATCATACATATGCATAAACATGTATTTTATATACTTAGAAAAACAATGAGTACTATCGTGAACGATATATTAATTATTTACAATTTTTGGAATTATTGCTATAATACATTTTTTACACGTCTCGGATGACGGCACGTCGTAAATTTTTTAACGAAGACCATTTGGCCCGAGACTAATATTACACTCTGTACATTCCTTCTGCTTGTTATACGAATTTAATTATTATCATTATACACATTTAGCATCGCAAAGTATCTCTATTGTACATCTAATCAGCGCAAACTAATCCTATTAGTTTAATTACGTGTCCTATACACTTCACAAACGTATTTACAGCGTCAGACGCTTTCCCTTTAAATAGGTGAAGCGTCGCAATAATCACATTTTATATTACGTGTATCAATACATTTATTCGATTCGGCAAGCTACAGACTATTCGTTGTGATCCAAGTGTATAAATCAATCGTATCCCGTACTAATATACTCTCAGGAGCTTAATCACGCAAAGCCGATCGACGAGTACGATATATTACTGTAGGATTTGTTTTTGTGCGAGAAATTCGGTTTTTTGAATTTCATTCAAAATTTTATTTAATTCAATGAGGGATATAAAATAAAGCATAATGTGTGTATACATAGGTATATATGCCAGTGAGTGATTAACTGACAGATCGAATTGATACACACGAGAGGACCCTAAGCAGGAACAATTTTCATAGGGCTTAATTAACTTTTCCCTAATAAATCATTCAACCGTCACAATTGCGTCCGGGTTACCCAGAAATAATTGATTTCTGTTTGAACCAAGTACACGTGGCAGCGACGACCCTGGACCTTCTTTTCGAGACTTGGTCAATTTACAATTTGTCAACCCTTTCGGCTGCGAACAAACGAATGAATTTTCAGATCTACTTTCGCCGAATCTCCCTTTTCCATTATTCCAACCGGGAAGCAGAGATAGTCTGGATGTTCGATCCAGAGTTCCTGAACGTCCCCTTTGCAACCCCTCAATTCTTTTATCACAATCCATCCCCGACTCTCCCCGTGCGTTATCTTGTCTTCCTTCGTCCTGTTCCTTATTTTGATTCATCCCTTGATCTCTTCGCTGACCTACGACACTTGGCATAACATGGAAATCTTGTTTTCCAGAATCCTTGGCTCTCCACGCTCGCTCTTACCACGTTATCCGGCTAGACGAACTGCGAGGGGATCTTCCAGCAACTGGAGCAGCAAGGCAGGGCGCTCTTGAGGGTGTCTTTGAAGGCGTCGCGAAAGTCACGGTTGAAGTATGCATAAATCAAGGGATTTAATGCACTATTGAAGTAGCCTATCCAGAAGAGCAAAGAGATGACGGCGTCGGGAGACGTGCACGTGTCGCCGCATAGGGAGGTTGTGAGATACCTGAAATCATAAGAAAGTAATGTTAACGAGTCATTGAGCATCAGACGTAATATACTTGGCCGCAGCCTCTAAAATGAATTTTCGTCGAGGAAATGGAAAGATGTTAATACAAAAAATAATATTTTAGCCAATAAACGTAAAGAGTCCTTTCTCATCGTGACGTATACGACCACGCCTGACGCGCGCTTTATCACACAATTTCCAAATTACAAAGGAGTACCGGTGGACTCGCTTTTGTCTCTATTTAATTCGACTAAATTATTACGAAGGTGTAGGGAACGAGGAGACTGTCAGGTACAAAAGACAAGGGATGTCAGATCGTGATATGTATTAGGTCGACATACGAGGGTCGGTACAGGAGAGAACTGTTTTATCCACCGTGAAAAAAGTTTCACATATTGTACGCTAAAAGTAACTTACAACCCATAAGGGACTGTATTACCACTTTCATGCAGATTAAATCCAGGTATTCCGGTATTTACGAGTCATTCTACGCCATCCGCCGTTATATCGCGTCGCCAGAGAAAATAACAGTTTTTAAGAGGGACAATGGATGCTGCCAGGCACAGATTTACATTTAGATGACTGAGGATTTTCGCTTCCAAAACTATTAATATCCTTCCACACACGTCGTATTCACATAATCACACGTGCATACTCTGAACACGTTGGAGGATCCTGGAGGTCTCCCCAGAGGATCCTGGACCGATGGCTGTGTGTTAACGTATGAGCCTGGCATACTGGGGGATACGGGAATTAGTAAAACGTTCAGAACTGTCACGGCATACGGCTTCATATTTGTTAAAATTATTACCCACGGGATTGAGGCGTCGCGACGCTCCCGCATCGACGATAGAAATGACTGTAGTGAATAGTGCTTGATATATGCTTAAAACAAATAACGTGTATGTCAATCGCAAGAGAAAATACTCGAGATCATTGATAAAGAGGATAATATCTTTTGTTCTTTTTCTCCTTGGTAACGTCTGCAATCATTTCCATTATCTCAAACAAAGAGAGCCATTATTCCGTGCCGTACAATCCGTTAGACGGATGTGAATCAGGTGCGACCAAAGAGGAAGAGGAAGGTTGAGTCAATCAATCTGAAAGTTCTAGAACGATATCATTCATTCTTGAAGTCGTTCTTGGTATCAAGTTCTGGGTTAATTGTCTACCCATATTCTACCCATCTTGCGTTTTTATTTAATCATAGGGATATTTTTTCTCATTACTATTCTACAGGTTTCAGAGGTAATAATTGAGATTTTATACGCAGCGAACTTTACATTTATAAGAAATTATATACATATTTCAAAGTTATCAAAATCACGTACCATTACCGAAAATGTATTAATTTAACATTAATGATGTTTGCTATGATTATTTTCCGTGACTAAATCACTCAATTTCCACGATATAATATTTGCTAGGTTAGAACTTTCGTGAATGATTGAAGGATCGATTAATCGACCGGAAGTTGCGTTACGAAAGGTTCCTGTCACTTTGCCCCTGTTTGCTTCAGTAATATCGCCCTAAACGCCATTATCTGGTAGTACCGGTAGTACTGTTACCGGTTATGAGATCAGGATATGTAAAATTCCTGAAGACAATTTCCCGAATTTCAGAACTGTTACTCACCATAGAAAAAAGGGTAGCCAACAGAGTAGAAATGCGCCCATAATGATTCCTAAGGTTCTCGCAGCTTTGTGTTCAGCTCTCCAACTCTTTGTCTGTTGACGTATCGTCGTGCCTGAAAACAAAAAAAGTTTACATTTTTAATTATACTGAGTTTCGAATAAAAATGACAATTCGGATTAAAATATTACCTCGGGATATCTATGGCAATACGAAATTCGAATGGGGGTAATAAATTTAGAGATGTAGGATTTTTTTTAGGGTACTATGGTCACGACGTTTGCATCAGGGTTTATATCTTCCACGGGACAATCTCTGCGGATAACATCGGCTACGGTCAAGGACGTCGCAATATCAACGTTCGAGGACAATCATGCGAATGGTTGGTTTATGGATTTGGTTCGAGCCAAGAAAAGCTGGCTAACCTGGTTCCAGATAAAATTTTCCGGAAGATAAATCATCTGAGAATAATATTCTATATCTTTATACGTCGATATTACGTAAATCGAACACAACACTATTACGTCAATCCATTCAAATATTTGTCAAAATCCATTCGATATGCTATATAAGATTTTGTGTCACAATAAGATATACATATGTGATACGATATATCACTATATCTCTGTACAAATTTTCTTCAAACAAAAATTCAAAAAATTTGAGAATAAACTATCTATAGATACATATATGTATATCAATTACAATAACTGCTACGATCTTTGAGGTTAAATCATTTATTTACTCGAGCTTTACAGTCTCGAGTATCACTCGAACGTAACACGTATTAGTGACAAGACTTTCTGTCTCTGCGAGATCTATTTATATTAGCTCGGTCAGTTATTCTAAGTCTATCGAGTTTGTAGAAAGCTCTATCCACGTTATTTCCGGTTCTGTTTTTCTATGTGTCGTAGCTATAGTCAAAGTCATGACGAACGCAGTATAGAACGTTGCGGTAAAACGTAAAGCGGGTTGGCGCTACTATATGTTAACTGTACTAACCTTTATTCGGATTCAGAACAAAGTTTCACTCCCTGGAACGATAGCTTGGAGGTGGATTCGAGTGAAAACGGATCGGTGGTAAAAATAATTCGTGGGACAATGTTACTGGTGGTTCGTCAGTAGTTTATAATTAGGTTTAAAAGTTAAAGCGAGTCGAAAAGTTCCGTGATTTTATTTCAGCATTACATTAATCCAGATGGGTAAATAAAAATATGAAAAATATTATTAACATATTCGTGCGTCATTTGTAATCGATAATCCATATGGAGTCAATCGTTTGAGAATTAGTACATTTGTGCTCATTCAATTCCCTTGGCGTTCAAGGCATATGTTCTAGACTGTAGCTTCAGGCAATTGGTACGTCTAATACTACCTATCCTGCATATTAGATGCTGTCTCTTGGACCCTTAGACACGTGTTTCTATCACAGAAATAGGAATCTATTGGCATTAGTCTCAAGCAAATGTCTACCATAGCTCCCAAGTTATGAGATTGCTTCGAATAGCAGAACACGAATGTCCGAGCTTCTGAGCTTCGTCGGGCTTGAAATTGAGCTTATTTTGAATTCACTACTGGCTGGATAGACATTGGTCATTCTGTAATATTCCAAACTGTATAAATAAATGTTAAGATTACGTATGTTGAATCGATACGAAGAAAGTACAATTGGACATGTACAATTTACAACCAAAAACAAAGTTTTTCTGTTATTTTGTAAAAATATTTTTTATTTACAAAAAATATTTACGAGCGAACAATATCCATGATAGGATATGATATGCAAGTAGCAGGCAGAAGAGGGAGGAATGTTCCTGCCAAAGATCAATGATCCGGTTGGGCAAACTATTTTGCAGGTTGTTTAGATAATACAGAGTAGAATGAAAGGTTAATCGTTGAAGTGAGTTGAAGGGTTGCGTGTTCTTGTGCAGTAAGGCAGATTTAGGTTGGCTGGTCATTTCTCCACCCCTTTGTGAAATCGATGTGCTCATCTATCAAGATATAAGAAATACGGAACGGCCGCGATTCGTAAGACAACGGCGGCCTTGTTTCTTATCAGTGCCAACAGATATTCAGAATAACAGCAGAATCTGGATGCTGGGAGACGAGTACCATAAATTTATGTGAAGCTGGGAAAGGCAAAGAAAATTGAAAAGAGAAAGAGACAAATTAAAGCCAGATAAAACGACAGGAGCAAACATGGCGAAGCGTCATCGATGTGGCATCGGTGGCGTGTAACCATTAATGGTTACGGATTTGGTAACGGTTTTGGAATTACGCAACCTATAAAAAATATTGACTTTACTCGTGAAAAAGTTTTAAACTGCAGTTCAAAGTTACGACGGCAGTTTTGCTCTTGGTTTCTGAACCATTTATCAAGGAAAATGCATCCGTGCACAACGATTGCAATTGCGAAACTTTTGACGGAAAACTTCCTGGGTAATGGTATCTGCAATCAAAGCGAAGGCAAAGATTGCGCAGAGTGGTCCCATGGGATCTTTGGTTCTCCGAATCAAATCCCTGACCTCCTGACCTTTGGAACATGGCGGCCCTCTGAATGTAGCCATAACGATAACCCTACGCGTAGCCGACCTCAGCTACCCTTAAGTAAACTTAGCTATTAAGATAAACCGTTCGGTTATCGAGTAGCCTCGAAGCTTAGTTACGGCATTGATTATTGGAATTTTAAATATAATTTTTGTTGAAAATGAAAAGTCAATCGCGTAACAGACTCAAGACTTTGATACGTAATCCGAAAATATATTTGACTTTTGTTGTTTATATTTGCAGGTCTAACTGGAGCCATACCCAAAGCTTCTTTCGTATTCAGCAAACAACGTGCGATGCTATATATACCACAAGCTATCATAAGAGCATATGTATATATAACATATGGGATTTTGTTAACGTCCTATAAAAGATTCGCCATCGATCTGAAACTAGTAAGTTCACACAGATGGGAAAAGTAATATTGAAATTATCAGGAATGCATGAATAACGGGCAATGTACGAAGAATAATGGCGGCCCATTTTATCGTACAGTAAGATCGCAGAGTTTCATCCCCCTTCCCGTGAGAACGTAATTCTGTCGTCATACGTATACGTAATGGACGTATAAATTCAGTAAGGTATGGTTGGAAGATCGTATCGAGAAAACGTAGCCACGAATAAACGTGACATCTTTAGGAATAAAAAGATACCGATCCTCTTTTCAAAGAGTAACAATAGAATTGATCATTGAATTACGTGACCTCTCAAGAGAAATGCTATATTTACGTACACTATATATATATATATACGTTTATAGTGCATCCTCTCTCCTAGACTCACCATAGAGGCAGTTAAAATAGCTGAAATTACTGTCGCAGGAAGACCCTCAGTACCAGGGAGTAATCTCCAAGGTGGACCTGGGAACCACGGATGACAATTTCCAAGGATAAATCTCTAATCCTACTGGAGCTGGAGCAGGTCAGATCTTTCTCATGATGTAACGCAAAATAGTCAGGTAGATAGGTACCTGGCAAATATTCTATAAGAATAGCAACTCTAAGAGAAATTCAGGAACCGTAAAGATACTGGAGAGGCTTTTATATGAATTCTAGTACGGAGCGTGTCTTCGCTAAAGGAAAATGTAATCTTTCTACGCGGTCGAATGCTGTCACGTTAGGACGACGTGCTTTACAAAGTCGAGTCAATTTCACGGCCATGCCGGATACAAAGAGGTCTATAGGATCGAGTATGGGTACTCTTTTCAAATTCTTCACCTACTCCTCTGTCGAAGCGTACCACCCTTGTGCCGATAAAGATTCGATACACTTTCTTGGAAATGGAGTGCAATAAGGGCCATTGAGAATCGTCATCTCCCCGGAGAGTGAAGTCAGGGAAATTTTCCTGCCACGAAATGCCCATTTCTTCTGCGACGATCTGCGTCGTCGAGAGAGCTACAGACTTTCAAAGTGTTTTTTAAGGGCTGCGTTTCGGGAGTCGTAAACCCTGATACCACGATGAATTCCTTTGGGGTGTTCCTTTTCTTTTTGGAGGGGTCTTGTGGTTGCTTACGAACTTCCCTTAGTCACGGTTCACAGGTAGGTGTCAATATTGGTTGCAATGTACACGTGGCGTAGCACAGAGCCATTTCACGTTCTGCAAGGGGGTTGGTGATTGGACGGCGAGTCTCGGTGAGTCTCGGGGGTGCGAGTAGAAGCAGCCCTGGATAGGCTAGCCCCTCTTTCCTATGTTCCCGTAGTCTCGTTTCCAGATATCGAGCGAACAAGTAGAGGCCGAGAGAGTCCCGGGGTGCTCCTGCTGGAGCTGGCTGGATTCCCGTTCACTGACCTACCCTACCCTACCGCAACCTGGGGCGAAACAAACCCCCATACCGTTAGTCTTCTTCATCCCATTTCTTAGCTATAAGCTACTACCGGTTATGGGATACATTTTTTTTTTCAATGGCGAGAAACTTATGAAAATTTAAAATATATCATTTTTCGAATTCATGAATTTTTCTCTTCTTCGTCTGACACATTTTGCTTTTTCTTTTTGGTTAATTAAGGAAAATTCTTACTAGAAATTCTGAAGGAAATTTGAAACTGGCACGAACCAATGTTTGCAAGCTTCGCTACTCGACGTCGAGTGCTTGTCCTATATTTTTGGAAAAAGTTCATTTCTGTAAAAAAAGCATCTTGTACGTAATACCGGTGTATCCCGTATACAAGTATAAAAAAGATACCGCCTTTACAAAACACCGGGAAATGCCTCACGTACCAACTCTGCAACTTTCCTATTTTCACCGTCACCTCGCGGTAATGGCGGAGCAGTTGGTAGAGGGTGGGGTCGGCGTCGGCACGTGATTTGCGGTATTTCCTTGAGCGTGAACCCCCGAGAATCTTTCACCTGGAATGTATTCTGGTAAAGTAAAAAAAAAAAGAGAATGAGGAAAAGTAAGAGAAAGGTTTTTCATTCGTTATTTTAATATCCATTTTTTCCTGTTTTTTTTTTAAATTAAAACTTATCCGTTCATGAATTCCTCGTTAACGCCTAAAACACGGATATAATTATTGCTCACGGGAAAAATTTTTTTTTAATTACATCAAAACTTTTATATAGCCCATCCGCCATATTTTTGTTCTCAGTATTTTATTCCGTCTACACGTAATGCCAATTTAACTGAAAAAGTCTATCAACAAATTTCGTAAATGAAGAGAATTATGTAAATGAAATTTTTTTTCCGAAGGAAAAAATCTCAAAATTTAAGAAAATCCCGAAAACATTTTCTAGAAGCTCAAGAACCTCAAGAGTACACTCTCTTAATCCTACACTTTCACCTTTATTACTTACGCCTCGATGTGATACTGCCGTATATCTATCTACACACGTATCACTATAGGTCCACGTTCATTCTCATCAAAATTTCATTTCACACTCGAAATCCTGTCAAATCACTCCAAGTACATCGCGAACCATCTTTTTCGCAAATACTCCCTTCAATGTCAAATATATCCATGTACACTACACCAACCAGACTATACCGATACACGATGCATATATTATTTTCATCTGTCATTAAATTACCAGCAATACCAGAAGTGTAAGACCTTCATTCCCATGGGAAATTTATGCTACAGCACGTATTTCTGATGATGGCCTGTGCCATGGTCTCGATACAGCTGACGCTGTCACTGAGTGATTTTTAAGCAGCAAAGTCATTGCATAACTTTTGAGGGTCCTGGCGGTATAGCTCGTGATTTCGAAAACAGGTTAGATACAAGTAGGCCGTCTGGGACACAAAAGTCAACCTAAGATCATACAGCAGACGCTGATCTGCAAGGGTCCGATTTCTATGTTAATTTCTCCAAATAAAAAAAAAGATCTGCAGAGTTGGCAACGTCGAGTGCAGAAGTACTTACTCATCCCTTATGGATGAAACGATTACATACTCGTCAGCATTTAAACCAAGGAGCAGTACAAGTACCACCCAGGTGACCTATCAGGAGATAGGTCCCTTATAGTCTGCCAGATACCAGATAAGCAAATCAGGCAAATCATTTATAACGCCAAAAACAGCCCCTTCAACGACTTGCTGGATACTATTGAATTGCTTTTTATCGTAGCCTTGAATTTTGTATATTGAAAAAAAATATTACCAAGTATCCAAGTGGAGAGTTAATCAACTCGTTAATTCGCAATATTTATTTTCCTTGATTTAATTACAAATCAAGCTTCGAGGGTGAGCCTACTTTCTTCGCAGATTCAATTTCAATGTTACATGTCGCCAGTCGACTGCAGCTCGTTTTAAAAGTCAGGTTCAATACTTTTCATTCCCGCTTGCTACTCCTCAATATTCTCTGCAATAGTCAATGAACTTTATATACAATATATATATGTATATTTTCAAGCTATTCCGTCCAAGGGATTTCTAGTTCCAGCCCTAACCAGATATTCTCCACTACTATTGCCAGCCTACGTTAACCTTTAGGACTGCCCTCGAAGGCTACGCCGTATTCTAGCATATTTTCTCGATGGATGAAGGCTGGTTCGATACAGAACTTATCTTTTGTCGTCTCTAGGAAAGTTTTGCTATAGTACGGCTTTCATTAAAGTTTTCAGAGAACTGCAGAGATGCTGTGGAAGATTCTACAAATAGGAAAGTCTCGTATCTATACATCAAACATATATATATAATACACAGACCAGCATTGTAGTCAAGTACATGTCTGAGTTCACTGATAAAACTTTCCTTCTATAGCCATTTTGCCAAATAAGATATCTGGACTTAAAAAGTTTCCAAGAGAAATCGGCTACGGATTCGCGTCCATTTTCTCAATACCGTTCAAATCCGATGTCTCGCGAAGAAAAGACATTTCACAGTTTGCCCGAACGAGAATCCTACTCCTTTTCACGTGACTGTCTAAACTTGAAAATCAGTACGAGAGGTACGATAGAAACTGTCATAGCACCGAGCCAGTGAAATAGCTCGTATTTAAGTCTGTTTCTGTTGAAAGTCCGATATGCACGTCGATAGCGTTACTATACGTTACGTACCTACATATCTTCCAATACCATTTCCTTCGGCTGCCGACATGCAATCTCAGACTACCTAGCTTGCAGGTCTACCTTGCAATATCTGCGTGTCTCCTGGAACACCAAGAGAAAGTACCGAGGAGACCCAGTTGTTCGATAGCACATTCAATGCTAGGTCGAATCTGATTTCTGACGGCGCAAGGAACTCTGGCTGACTGTACTGTAGATTGTTTTCATTGCCGACGTAATTTATCAGAAATATACGAATTACTTGTACAATCCCATTTATAATTATCGTTCCTTGTAAGAATTGTAGTTATTTTAGGTAATTGTTATGATTACTTATTAACAGATTAAATTGACTCTTTAATAACATTCTCTTGGTAGTAAAGTTACCAGTCGAGCGAATGGTGCGTAAATCACTTGCTCAATCATCTGACACTGCGTGTCGATGATGAGCTTTATTCAATTTATTCTATACAAGCAAGATTCAAGATGGTATTATCGTTTTCATCCACAATGCGACCTGGACGATGCTCTCTCATCGCTTCTTATGGTATTTTTCCAGACTTGCCACAGCCGCCTGCAAACTCCGAGATAACTCCCTTCCCGCGGTGAGAATCTTTGCACGCTTCGAAGAACAAAGCTTCTACGTGGTCGAGTTCCTATGATAGACACACGTTCGTGCATGTGTGTATATGCGAGGGTTGAAAAGGATTATTGGACTCTCCAAGGAGAGAGCAGTTTTTTTACGTCCAATTTTTTTGTCATAAGGAATTTGACGAGGCAAGATACCAGCCGGAATATAATTTGATGTTATCAAGTGCGTGTATATATATATATATATATATATAAATATATTCATATATATGTATATCCTGCTCGAGAAAGCTTACACAGGTATATTTGAATGCTGGTAAAACTTAGTGGCAGGCAGGTCCGGACGATAATTGTGAAATGGCAAATTCGTAACGTGCAATTCTAAATATATTCATATATATGTATATCCTGTCCAATTTTTTTGTCATAAGGAATTTGACGAGGCAAGATACCAGCCGGAATATAATTTGATGTTATCAAGTGCGTGTATATATATATATATATATATATAAATATATTCATATATATGTATATCCTGCTCGAGAAAGCTTACACAGGTATATTTGAATGCTGGTAAAACTTAGTGGCAGGCAGGTCCGGACGATAATTGTGAAATGGCAAATTCGTAACGTGCAATTCTTGGCAGCTGTTCTGCTGGCCGCTCTCCATGTGAATTGCTCGTAAAACGACGAAGGCAGGGGAATTGGGGGTCGAGGGTGACTATAGGGACCACCTCCATACTTAAGCCTGTGTATTCAACCTGTGTATCCATATATACAACACGTCTATATAGTACTAAGTAGGCGAATAGTATTGCTGCCAAAATGTGCATTAGCGAGCTAGAAACACGTAGCGAGTCTGTCGTTAGCACGCGAATGTAAGCAGCGCCGCTAACTGTTGAATGCAAACTCGACCGCTGTCTAGATCGTAAATTTTCTTGTAATAATCCACAGCCATGTATCAGAGGCAGTGCCGAGTTATTCTGACACCATTAGCCAAGTGGACTTGGCGAATTTGATAGATTCTCAAGAAGCCTGGTTACTTCAAATCTTTTTTTTTCCTCACGAGTCTGACCTTGGTATCGTGAAGTCTGTGGGTGTGGAGGGGACCAAATGGTGAGAATTTTTTTGTGTCAACCTTCGATACCACTCACCGTTTTTTATGTTGAGCTCTGTTGCTGATCTGTAAGACGGTCTTCTCATGTCACTTGCGTCACTCGGATGTAGTAAAAGTTGATGAGATGCTCTGGAATTATGTCTCGATGTTGATACTCTGTGCAGGTGGACGCTATTTAGTACGGTGTTGCTGGAGGCTCTGCTTAAGGCCTTGCGCTGTCTTACGGCCTCCTTGTATATCTTGTAATACATGACGATCATCACGATACCGGGTATCCAGAAGGATATGGATGAACTTATCACTGCGTACGCTCGATTCACGACGAAGATGCATACCTGCTCGAGGAAACTTTTATCGTGAATTTAATATCGGATTATTGGTGTTATCGTAACAGTGCAAAATTTTTTTTTTTTCTTCTTAAATCTAACGGATGGAACAAAAGCGAAATTTGGCGATTCGGCCTAATGCTAAGGGTAGCGAAAAAACAAAGAGAAATTAATTGGATCTCCGGCGAACGTTTTCTTAGGATCACGCTGAGTGGCTCGAAAAAACAAAATGGGTCGAAATTCGTAACCTTTCTTCGTTCTATTTTCGACAATGTTTAAGAGCAAAGCAAACTTACCGATTTTACCAAACGAGGCTTTTATCTTAATTGAATCGTGCTAGCTTCACCGGACAATCGTTGTTTATCACACACGTCAAAAATATCTGCTTAGCAATTTATCATGGAATTGAAAAAATCAGGTGTTTGAATTTCCTGATGAAAATCAAAGAGACTGTATTGTGATTAAATTTAATATATCAATCTTGAAATAACGAATCCAATCAATATCCACGATCAATTTATTGGATACAAAAAGTTTCTTTATCTCCTATAGGAGAGACTGGAAGAAGACTGGCTAAAAAAATTCTGTCCCATGGAAAGCAAGCAGCAATTAAAGAAATCTTAAGATCGGATAAAATCTCAAGCGTCAAAAACACGTTGGCAAGGTAGAAAAGGAGCTCGAAAACGAATAAAAGGTTAATCTGATCTTATCTGGAGTATCTACCTGAGGATTATTTTTTAAAAATTCCAGATTCTTCTTGGTGGTGTACCACTCCATTAAAATTGGCACAAAGCTTATAAAAGCCGGAAGTAGCCAAGCACTGCACAACATACAAGTCACAGTGTTTCTTCTCATAATAATCGGATACTCCAGTGGTCGCACTATTGCGTAATATCTGTCGACACTTATACAACACAGATGAAGTATCGACGCGGTTGAAAAGTACACGTCCAACGAACTCCACACGTCACACATGAAACGACCGAATATCCATTTACCGGATAATTCGACGGACGCGCTAAAAGTCATGGCGCACATGGCTACCAGCAAATCAGCCGCCGCTAAGCTGACTACGTAACGATTCGTCGGTACACGTAACTTTCGGTGTCTCTTAACACTTGCTATCACTAAGGTATTACCCAAAAGTGCTGTCACTATAATGCTCACTAACACAATTCCCTTGAGTACGGTAAGTGGCACGTTGTCATTCACTGCACTAACCGATGCACCTTCTATCTTGGATACATCGAAGGATATCGAGGTGACGGTCGGAGTATAAATTTTTGAAAAATTATTAAATTCGTTAGAATTATTGATTGTCGTTATAAAACGTATCTCGCAATCGGGTGGTTCTGTGATTTCCATTCCTCGTGTGACGTCCATACGTTCTTAACTATTATATTCTCTGGATTCATTAGCTCCGAGAATCTTAATTGGTCGTGATGATGAAATTTCAAAAATTTTTTATATTTAAGATATTAGAAAATTTCTTAATCTTTTTTCGTACACGTTCTTGATATATGTTCGGTGGGATGTTCCACGAGCGACAGTCATATTTAGGGTGGTTTTACGAACTTTTGAATTTTGCAATTTTTTTATTTTAAATTTGAAAATTCCTTCCTCTTTTTCTCGCGAATGGATTCTGTGATTTTGGCAACGATCCTTCCGAAGCTTTTTTTATGTTATATTTTCCTCCGAAACTTTTGCCAGTCCCTTACGATTCCAGATGTTGGCAGCTCTTTCGCTCTTAGGTACTTTCGGCTGAGTAGTTGCGCACTTCTTCGTTATTTCCTTTTGACTGTGAGCTAATGAACTAACCATCTTTACTGGTCCAAAACGCAGGACGACACTCATTATTTAACGGCAGGGAAACATCTCTGACGTGCATATTAATAAGACTCGTCATGCTTGCCAAGTTTTTCAGCAGCGCAACGTCGAGCGTCCCGACGCCACTCGTCGATTATCGTATCGAGTTATTAATTATCACTTAACGATAATATAGCAATGCCATCACTGATACTCTATATTTCTTTTAGAGAAAACAAAGTTTTTCTTTATTTTACGTATATCTTCAAGGTCTTCGCATCTTACTCCACCTGACGTTGAAATGGTAATTTTCAAGAAATCCTTTCCCCATAATGGTTTTCTTCATTTAATCGGAAATTGGCTGTTATGCCTCTTCGTTGCGGTTTAATTAAACCGGGTTCGAGCATCCAATTCCAGCTGCGAAAGGCTCGCGAAATATCGACATATTTGTAAAAGCGATAAGCGCCTGAGTCTCTGATGAAAATTTCCTAGATCATAGAATACAAAGTTTTAGTTCAATGCAAAATCAGTATGCTTATACCAACAGTCTGATCAGGTCGTTCATTGATTGCTGTAATATAAAAAATTTGCTTATTTTTTATCATTTTTGCTATAGGTACCCAGTCTAGGTTATTCTCTAGGAATAATTATATTATTACATCAAAAAACATTTTGCATATTTTTTATTTCAATTTTCAAAAATTATAATCTGATCGAAGTACCACGAGAGTCACGTATGCGCCATCTTGATATATTTTTCTTTAGATTGGTACAGGCAATCGATTGGTCTCTTCGGTAAACTTCCCCTCCGCCGCCCCCTGCCGATACGATCCTTAGTAATCTTCCTTTTTTATTTGCCATACATTTTTTTTCCATACCACATTTTCCCACATTCTTTATTCACGTGTATAATATACTATGTACGCGTTAACCTTGATTATTCACGGCCATTTTATACAGCCTCAAAATTTCAAACTTCTGCACAATATCCCCCCAGGGAAACTTGCGTAGCTCCGCAAAATACTTACGTCCCATTTCATTAACATGGTGGGTCGCGAAAATTGCCAGAGTCCGTAACCGAGTCGCTAGAATTTGCAATGCTGCAAGAGATAACCTCCGCTATACCTATAGCTATATTCTGCAACCACTGCTTCGGCTGGTTACCCTTTATTGCAAATGCATCGTCATCCTGCACCAGATGCACTTTGCTTCAGTTTTGCATATCATTCCAGCAATGTTAATTGAATTTGCTGTATGGCTGTCGAATAGCAATTTTATTTTTACATAACCTATTAAAATCATTGCAAAATGCATATATACATGATCTTTGACTCATTAACTATTATCCGTATGTTATAATATTTGTCTTTAGAATTTTAATGGTTCTGACAAACATGTTGTTGGATAAACACTTGTTTTCTAGACTTTGGCCCTTTTTCATAATTTTTTCCCTTAAATAATACTCTCATGGTTTTTCAGCACTTTATTCGTAACAACTGATAACAGCGATCGCGTGCATGATAGTATCTCGATAATACGTGCTTTCCTTGTGGAACATCATAATTGCATAGCAAATGAAACGCGACTCGTGCATACGCATATACCAATATACATTGTTATTCTACGTATATTAATTTGCAGCAATAGCTCGAGAACCAGCAGGCAATTTTCATTATAACCTTCAGCGTTCAAAAAAAAAGAAAAATCACAATTCTGGGCGATACATCGCTCTCGAACAATTTCGAAAGTAATATTTGTGCAGTTGCTTCTCGCAAATATTTGATTCAATAAGGGTGATACGTGAACATAGGAAAATACCTATAGCTATGACAAATAGTAGCATAATAAAACGGCTCCAGCTTTCCGTCTGAGAGCTTTAGATGACCACCACGTGCTTTTCGATATATTAATAAGGTTATCGACACTATATTTTTCTCATGGGAAAAAAACATTCCAAAGTTTCGCGATACTCGACAGGATCGATCACTGTTGATATATTCATTCTATGACAACAAGAAAGCTCAGAATTTCTCATTCACACTTTGCAAGCTCCATTGACTACTAGTCACGTTTTATGCTTTGTTAATAAAAAAAAAAAAATACACGACGGTCTTCTACTCAAAGAATATTTCTCATTGGCGTATATAAGAAACGCACGCTTGTTACAGGTGTATATATAAGGGTAGCAGAAACTACGAGCACGGACGACGCCGGTAGACTGAGCGTCGCGACGCACCACGGCGCCGCAGTCCTCGGCCGAGGGCACACTTCACTTGAAAAGCACAGCCGTTCTCCCACGCAGAAAACCCCACCAACTCTGAATAGATATTATGTATTATCGAAAGCGCCAGACGTCCGCGGATGCTTGCTTGGTTTTTGTAAGTTCTTCGAAAAGCTCAAAACTTTCTCACAGAAACAGCGAAAAACAAGTTTTAGCGAAATTGTAAAAGCACGAACTTTTATTATACAATTCAAGTTTATACCAGACTGAAATCAATGGATCGAGCTTTATACAGCTACCTTAATTGTCGTTCATTTTCAAAATGGGTTTTCTCGATAAAAGCTCCTGGAGACGTATATCCGGAGCTTTAAGCCGTCTACCATTCTTTCTTGGACTGGTAGTTCAAGCTTCAAAGAATTTCCATAAACAAATTCGTCTCATTGCGTAATATCGAAAGCTCGAAGTGCTGCGACTTCCGCTTTATATTGTTTAACCTAAAGCTCGTAGACCTTGCTCTGAGCTTGGGTCGCGGGAAGCACGTTTCATTGTATCGATCGAGCTTCAACTTCCTACGTGCTGCTACTGTCTTATTGCATCTATTACGTCGAGGTAGCCCGTACTATCATGGCAGGACTGAAGTTGAATTTCTGGAATTTTTTAGATCCATTAAGAAGACTGTTGGTAATAAACGTGAATGCTATGACGGGTTATTAATCAAATAATCACAATGATAGTAACAATTTTCGAAATCACCATTCAACGTCTTTCCTCCATTTAAATGCCAGCCTATAAATAACTTTTGTGACTAATAAGCTAAGACCATAATTTTAGCTCGTAACCCCTAGCCCGCTTAGTTGTTTTGTGACTGCCGAAGAATCAATATATTTAGTAACTTCAGAAATTCGTCTAGTACGCATAACAGTGACGTGAAATTACTGCTGGGAATAGTGCGTGCTGTATTTTACGAGTTTACGTAAATTTTCATGGAATATTCGAACGAGCGTAGTTCATGTGTATAACCAAGATTACAAGCTCGATTACTCTTATCAATGACAGAAATGAGTCGTAGACTCCAAAGGCTTGCTGGAGGCTAATTCTGTGGGTCGAGTAATAAATGGTTTTGTGGATAAATATCGTGAAGCTTGCGGACCACTCATTTTCAGCGACAATGGGCCTCTTGCCGAAATATTTAAAACTCTATATTTAAATAGGGAACAATAAAGAAAGCTTCGCGTCGGTGTGGCAGGAAACGACAATGGCTAACTATTCACATATACGTATATTACAGCCCATTTATATATTCTATAGAGCTCTGATATACGTAGGTCGATTGGTAGCCATAGAGAGTTGGAGGGCACGCAAAATTCAAATTTCTTCCACATTCGTTATTCCGTCGTTTGGAATGCCTTTTCGTGCGCCTGTCATGCCTCTGACGATTCGCGTCAATCGCTCACATGCGAACGCTCGACCAAAGAATTAAGTGAAAGTAGAAGGGTGATTTAAAAGATGCGAACTGTGGTTTTCGTCCATACGGCAAGATTGCAATAAAGATAATATTTATTAGATATTTAGAAAATGTTCACAGGAATTTTTTCAAAGTTTAATTCTTAAGTTTCAAGTGAAATTTTAACCCGTTACTTGACCCAGTTGTATTTTGCGTTCAATATAAGGTTTTATGTATGTTCGCCTTGAACCATGTCAGTTGATTCTTTTTTGTGGTCAGCTACCGTAATTAGGCTTGTCTGGGCCAGGTACTTTGAAGGTGTTCATGCGTGCTTCACTCTAAAGGCATATGGGTACACTTGTGCACTTATTTGGGATCCGTTGTAAAGTGCTTATAACCACAGCTAACCGAACGTTTACTTAATACAAGAAAGTTCTAAAAGCCACCACCAGGTCTAGTATGAGCCTAGGCTTCTAGTTAGGTTAGATTCTGCGTTGGGCATGGCTTGATTTTAATTTGAAGAAAGTGTCTGGCTCGTTACGAAAATTCAATTCGTCGTTTGATTACATGGGGCCAAGAATCAGCTGTCAGCCTTTGCTTCATTGAATCATACTAGTTATTGAGGAAAGAAGGTTCGGAGTTTAATAATTTTGATACCAACTAACGTCCACCTTTAGATTGTTGTATGGTTTATCACCCGTTAAATAACGACAGAAGTTTACAACGCTATCATCGTAGTTTAAATCAATTTAATGAGTAGGTATCAAACAATAATTATCTAATGGATTTTCTTCATTGAAAATTTAGGCAGAAACTAGTTTGACAAGAGGACTTAATGTCAAATGTGTAGGTCTGTGTAGCTGAGGGTTATCAAATCAATCAACGTGACAGCTATTGAAACCGGCTGGCTCAGTTTACGTGAATCGCTCTGTGCATTCTCTTAAACTGTATAGGTTATACATAGGTATATATTGTGACGTGATTTTTTAATCACGGTCCCAAGGCGGCTCCGGTTACCGATACAGATAACATTCTCGATTTCTGGTTCCCTTCGGGTCGCCACCCTGCTCAGAAGCTACGCTCTCGGGTTGATTCGTACAGTTATGTCAAGGCTCTCGTAAGATTTCGTTATTGTTTAGTTGAGGTCGAGGTGCTCGAATCTGCCGTGGGGAGATGGTCTCGACGTACCGAGTTGCCCGGCAGAGGAGACGACCCGACGGAGACGTCTCCACGGACCGGCAGAAGCCCGGGTGAGATACCGGCGCCCCGCTGGAGATGGGCAAATGGCTGTAGAGCGGGCGGAGGTAGTTTTGATACGGTTAAGGGCAGGAGAGGAACCTCCTGGCCGAGTTAACCCCTTGCACTATTTGGAATCTCGGGAAAAGTCAGGCCAAACGCGGCTACCTCGATTGTTGTGGTGGAAGGCGAGCGGTGGAGCGTGCCGAAACTTTATACCTATTCTTACGACCGAGCGCAAGGTAGTCGTGCCCATATTTACTGAACGCGATGGAACTCTTGTGAAATTCAAATGAATTTGAATCAAAAACTTTTAAAGAATACTTTAATTATTACATAAGATGAAAACAAACTCTGATTAATTATAATAATATAATTTGGTCCAAAACTAAGACCACGAGTCAGACTCGTGATATTCATGTTTGGTCTGGAACTGAACAACGAGTCAGACTCGTGAAATCCATGTTTGGCCTAAAGTTTTCATCACGAGTCAGACTCGTCAAAATAGTGCAAGGGGTTAAGGACGTGGTGCCCAGCTGTCGTCCGATGCCCTGGGGAAGCGACCGTGGAGGATCTCCAGAAGTTACGTACCGATTCGTTAAGGAACGCTCTCGATTTGGTTTAAAGGGACGACTGGAAGGAGATGGAAGGGTTATCGGTTAAAAGGCTCTCGACCAATCAGAATGATCAGAATGATTAGTTCTCGGATTTGGCTATTTTGTCAAAGCAGTCTGTCTCGGGACACCGACCGAGGTGTCATGAGGGACATCGCGCTCGCGTGCTGTCTGTTGATAGTTTTTCTTGCCGTGTTTCGCTACAGTATAGCAAGTTCTCGGTTCGTACAGTTCTCGCGTTGTTCTCGCGATATCCAGGCAATTCTATGAATTCCTGTGAGTGTTCCGGAGGTGTAGTGCAGTGTGTTAGTGCAGTGTCCACCAGAGTGTCCTTTGGATGCAGTTCTCGGCCTCCACGGATTAGCTGCCCCAGCTCCGGTGAGTCTCCCAATTTATTAATTGGTGAAGGGATTTCGATTTTACAGCTCCGATTCGTTGTGCTACGTTCTCGGTTCGTTGCTCTCTGTCTCTCGCACTATTTGCCGGACTCTTACTCCGACCCTGTCTACCCCAACCTAGCAGCCTGAGCGGCCGTGCATTTCCGTAACCGTCCGCTCCCGTTCGTGCCTCCAGTTGCGTTAGCTGATTTTACGCGACCCCAAAAATCGACAGGATCCGTTAAGCTATCGCCTCGTCCGATAGGTTCCGTCAGAGCTCTCGTTCGCGGTGCAGTTGGGCCTGTTCCACCCCAACTCCCAGTTCATACCGGCTCGTCAGTTCCCGGTGAAAAAAGAATTGGCTGGCG